CTCCTCACACTCACCGTCTCACACTCACCGTCTCTCTCACACTCGCTGTCTCACACCTCCTCCGCCCCTCCCCTCCCCCCTTCCTCAGCTAACACAAGCCAACACCGCCCCCCGAACCCCCGGCCCCGCTACAGAGCCAAAAGAAAGGATTGGTGGTCAATATTAACAGTGTTAACAGTGACTGTTTGTTGCCCCTCAGTACAGGAACAACAGGACGTCCCTCCTCTCCCGGGTCACCGCGTTCCTGGATAATCTGGATAGGAAAGGCCCGGACGCCATCTCTCAATTTTATCGGGCGTTTGAAGAAGCAAACAACAGAGCGTTCCATCAGCTTCCCTCCAAATCAAGTCAGTGAGGCTGAGGGAGCAGGGGAGGGGATAAGCGAGGTGCGGGGGAGAGCGGGGAGGGGGCAGGTGACAGGGGGCGCACTGCTGTCGGGTGGCAGATGAGATTCTAAACCGTCTGTGTCTGGGCACAGACGTTAAAGATCTTGCGACCCTATTGGAAACGAGAAGGGATCTTCTCTCTCCTGACGGCTTTGCCCGAATACCACTTTGCACATGAATATTCACATGTGCATAGTGACCTCTATGTTTGCCTACAGGGGCAGAAGTGGACATTAGGCTGGAGACCTGTCCAGGATCAGCCTGGGACATGCACACACACAACACACCACACGCAACATACCACACGCAGCACACCACACACAACACAACGCACACAACATACCACACGCAACACACCACACACAACAAACTACCTGCAACACACCACACCACACACAACACATCACACGCAACACACAACACACCACACGCAACACAGTAACACCACACGCAACACACCACACGCAACACACCACATGCAACACAGTACACCACACGCAACACAGTACACCACACGCAACACACCACATGCAACACACCACACACAACACACCACACACACACAACCCACCACACACAACAGACTCACACAGCACACAACACACAATACGTAATACACCACATGCAACACACAACACACCACACGCAACACACCACGCACAACACAACGCACACAACACACCACACGCAACACACCACACCACACACAACAAACTACACGCAACACACCACACACAACACACCACACGTTACATACCACGCGCAATACACCACACACAACACACCACACACACACAACCCACCACACACAACAGACTCACACAGCACACACAACACACAACACGTGATACACCACACACAACGTACCACACACGACACATGACACACACCACGCACAGCCTCTGTCTGTCCAGCTCCGGGCGGGAGGTGGTGGCTGTCGTGTGTACTTCGCTGCCTTCAGTCAAAGTGTAGAAGTTGGGCAATTGCTCAGCCTGTTCTCACACTCTTGCAGTGTTGTGCGCGCGCGTGTGTGTTGTGTGTGTGTGTATGTTGTGTGTGTATGTGTTGTGTATGTATGTGCATGTGTGTGTGTGCATGTGTATTGTGTGTGTATGTTGTGCGCGTGTGTTGTGTGTGTGCGCATGTGTGTTCTTTGTGTGTGCATGTGTGTTGTGGGCATGTGTATGTTGTGTGCGTGTGTTGTGTGTGTGTGTGCGCGTGTGATTGTTGTGTGTGTGCATGTGTGTTGTGGGCGTGTGTATGTTGTGCGCGCGCGTGTGTGTTGTGTGTGTGCATGTGTGTTGTGGGCGTGTGTGTGTTGTGTGCGTGTGTGTTGTGTGTGTTGTGTGCATTTGTGTGTGTGTTGTGTGTGAGTGCATATGTTGGGGGTTTGCATGTGTGTTGTGCACGTGTGTATGCGCTCATGTGTTGTATGTGGGGGTTTGGGGGAGGGGAACCCAGGGCTGCCCACAGTGGCCCTCACCTGATCCGCTCTCTGTTCCAGGCTGTGATGTTGATGGACCAACTCCTGGAGCGACAAAATGGTACCCGGAGTCTGAAGGTACCTTCCCTTCTTGTTCCTGTCTGCGGCAGCTCAGAGCAGCCTCGCTGCTGCTCAGCCTTCCTCACCTTTAAACCATCCAAATAGGTCATCAGCTATTCCCACCCCCTGCCTCCTAGCCCCCAGCCCCGCCAGGCCCAGCCCAGCCACCCAGCATCGCTTCACCCCTCATCCTCGCCCCCCAGCATCCCGCATCTCACCCCAGCCCAGCACCACCAGCCTCTCGCCTCCTGCCCCTCAAATCCAGCCCCCAGCCCAGCCAACAACCAATGGTGGGGCAGGTAGGTGGGTGGGACATGAAACAGGCTGCTGCCCACCGAGCGGCGGGAGCGACCAGGATTGTGGGGTTTGAGATGGGCTCAGAGCCAGGGTGGGGCAAGTCCGTGGAGGGATCTGAAGGTTAGGATGAGGATCTTGAACTGGAGCCAGTGAAGCCGGGGTAGGATGAGAGTCCTGGGAATGCGGAGCCTGGTGCAGGACAGGGCACAAGCTGCAGAGTTCTCAATAGGCAGCAGCTTGTGAAGGGAAGAGTTGGGAATGTCCTGTGAGCAGAGAGTTGGCGCAGTCAAGCCTGGACATGATAAATGTTTGGTTTAGGTAGGGTGAAATATTGGGCAAGTTTCCTTACACCACACACCTCTATTTACCTAGCAGTAAGTAGGAACCCGGTGGTGAGTCGATTGGCGGATTGCTTTTCTGTGGGTAATAACCCAAAAACCCAATAATAATTTGGTCACCCAATCCACGACTGTTTGTGGGACAGACGCTGCTGTGCACAATTGGCTGCCGCGTTTCACCCACAAAATATACAGTGAATTCACTTTACAGTATATTCTGTGAAACGCTTTGAGATGTCTCGAAGACGTGATAAGGCTCTGTATCAAATGCAATGATTATTATTAGGATCCTGGGGCGAGAGGTAGTGTTGGAGTATCTCACACAACTGGATGAAATAAGTTTCTGATGGCATTTTTGCCCCGTGTGTTTCCTTCTCGAAAGGGTCTGAGATCTACTGTAAGAAGCTGAAGCAGGACATGCCAGAGCTGACAAACGGCGCTAGGCTGAGTGACATCGTTCTCCAGCAGCTGGTTCAGTATTTGGCCATTGAGAAGGTCTTCAATGAGGCAGAAAAAGAGAAGGTGAGAACCTTTCTGAACACGGGATGGATTTATGCAAATTATTTTCATAGAATGTCTTGGAAATGTTACTTTTCCCTGTTTGGGAAGCAGCAGGCCGTCAGCACCTGGTCAAACTCTCTCAACACAACTAAAATACTATACATCACACATAGAGCAATCCATCAACAATCTCAACAACAAATTACATTTACACAGCGCCTTTCATGTCAGGAGGATGTCCTAAGGTGCTGGACTGTCAGAGAACCACACCCGAGCTGGTGGTCGGGATCAGGAATAGTGGAGGGCGAGGAGGGTAGACAGAGATACGCTGAGAGGGAACAGATTCACAGGATCACCACAGGATCGGATGAGGGACTTACTTGAAGTCCCCTATCAGTACTACCTTGTTTTTGGTCCTCTGTTTCCTTTTATTCTTAACTTCATCCTTTCCCATCACTTCCTAGATCTCACCCACCCCAGCGTTCTCTCTCGGCTCTGAATGTACTTTATACCAAACTTTCTCCATCAGTCTCTCATTGTCCATATCAGTCTCACCGTCCAGTCTTGTTCTCACGGCCTCTCTTGGATACTCAGTACTTGACCAGGAATGAGGAGTTGCACTGGCGAGTGACAGAGTTTCTCAGAGACGTGAGGAGTAAGGGCAGACGTTCCTGCCGCCTTTTCTACCAGGCTCTCGAGCTGTATAGCAGCGACGTCCACAATTCACTTCCCAGCTCCAAGTTCAACGGTAAGAACTTCCCTGTCACCACTCTGATATTACCGAGAGAGAGATGGGGGTAGAGAGGGAGAGAGAGAGGCGAGGAGAGAGAGAGAGATGTGGGGAGAGAGGGAGAGAGAGACTGGGAGAGAGAGACAGGAAGAGAGATTGGCGATGTTGCGGAGGTGGGGGAAAGCAGAACGGATAATGGTATGGATGTGGGGTAGAAAAGACACTTTAGGGTCCAACAAGACGCCAAGGTTCTGTACTGGCTCAGTGAGGGTTAGAGTGCAAGTATGGATGGTGATGCTGAGGTGTGAAGGCGCTGATAGGAGCCAAGCAGGAGGACCTCGGTCTTGTTGATAGTCAACTGGAGAAAATTAGTTCTCATCCAGGACTTGATGTCTGACAAAGATTCTGTCAGGACAGCAGTGGTCCTGGAGTCAAGGGTGGAGTTGGGTGTCATCCGCACACATGTGGAAGTTGATCCCATGTCTGCGGATGATGTCACCAACTCCTATTGAAGAGGAGGGGACCAAGGACAGAGCCCTGGGGGATGCCGCAAGAGTAGATGCAGTGACTGGAGGACACAAAATTGAAACGATGGGAAAGGTAAAACCTGAACCAGGCAAAGGTAGAGCCATGAAGATTGAGCTGAGCAGCAGAGGCGGGTGGAGAAAGATAAAATGATCAACAATGTCAAAGGCAGCAAAGAGTTCAAGGAGGATGAGGAGTCAGAGGAAGCCCTGGTCACAGGTGGACAAGATGTCATTTGTCAGGTTGTCCCAAGCTGTTTTTGTGCTGCAGGCAGCATGGAGACTCGATTGGAGGGGTTCACAGAAGAAGTGGCGGGAGAGGAAGGAGTGAAGCTGGGAAGCAATCACTTGTTTCAGGACCTTGGAAAGGATAGGGAGGTTGGGGATAGAGTGGTAATTGGAGAGCAGGGATGGATCCTGGGACTTTTGTTTGAGGATGGGGGTGATGATGATGGTGAGAGAGAGAGAGAGAGAGAGACATGGAGAGAGATGCTGGGGGGAGTGTTGCGTGCTGTACTGTCCTTCAGAGAAGATGTGAAACTGAGGTGGCAGCAACCTCTTTGAGTGGAAATGAAAGATCCCACGATACTATTGGAAAAGAGAAGGCAGTATCTCCTGATGCCTGGGCCAACAATCCTCCAAATAAAATTGCCCACTTGCTCCATTGCTGTTTGTGGGATGTTGTTGTGTCAAATTGCCAATCAATCACACAGTCACTAAACCTCTATGAAGTTCTTCAAGACTTCGAGGACTATGATTGGTTAATACTGGGTGCCTTCATTCTCTCTGCCCCAACCCTCTGGAACTCCATCCCAGAGTCCCTACACCTCACCCCCTCTCTTGCCTCCTTCAAGACCCTCCTCTTCGACTGTGCCTTCGTTCACCCTCCTATTCCCTACCCTCACCACCCTCCACCCCTCCTGATCACTACCACCAACTCGGGTGCGGATCCCTGACTGGCCAGCGCCTTGGGAAGCCCTCCTGACGTGAAAGGCGCTGTGTAAATGTCAGTTGTTTTTGTGTTAATACTGTGACAGTCTGTGACAGGCTGCCTGGCCTGAAGGGTGCTATTCAGCTGTTTTTGTTGTCGTTGTTCCTGTGAGGCCAGGCCTGTGTGACTCTCTCTCTCGCCTGTAGATATGGAGCCATTGCAGTTATGCTGAAAAAGATGGAGAGCAAGGAGCAGTTTGCGATCCCCAGCCCAGGGTTTGCAGTTTGGGATAAGCTGGCGTTTTAATAAACAATTCTAAACCTTCTCCCGCTTGTCTTTGTGTTCAGGACATCCTCCCAATGGGAAAGGCACAATACAAATGTAATTTTGTTGTTGTTGTTGTCACTGCCTGGCTCTGAGCCTCTGGGTTCTATTGGCTGTGATGACTCTGAGCTCACAGTCAGTGCAGGAACACCGTCTCGTCACAGACATTGTTTTTCGGATGAGATGTTAAACCAAAGTCCCATCAGTCCCTGTTCAGGTGGACATTAAAGATCGTGTGACATTATTGGAAATAGACGAGAGGTTTCCCTTGTTTTTGGTCACACAGGGAAACCCATCACCGTGCTTAAGAGTATCCAAACCAAGATGAGATTTCCATGCATGGAAATCCCAGAGATAGTTAGATGGACTACGCACTCTCTCCCTGGAGGGACACATCCTGTTTACCTAATTCCAGAAATCATTGGGTACAGGTTGGCTGAAACTACCTCAATCCCTGTCTCAACCCCTCCGCCCCTCTCCCCCTTTATCTATCTTCAAATTCCACCTGAAAATTTGCCCGATTGACTGCTCCTGTGGTCCCCTGACCCAAACCCCCCCACCTTGGCCCGCCCTGCCCGGCTTGTGGCCGCTTGCCTGTATCAATGCAAGTTGTTGTTGACATCCCACTCCCCAGACACAAAAATTCTAACACAACGCAAATAAAACCATAAAATTTGAGATGAAATTTATTCATGTTTGACATAAGCAGAATAATTAGAATTTTTTTTGGTAAGAAAATCAAAAATAATCTTTCACATTCCCCGCACATCCTCCCCACAACAGGTGGTGCACATTGAGACCAATCAGCCCAGAACATACGTATAGAACACCCTGTGCACAACATATAGCAACATGCACAGAACATTCAGTGACATGCACAGAACATACAGCAACAGAATACCCCACAAAGAACATACAGTGTCACAGAACATACAGGAACATGCACAGTACAGCAACACGTATAGAACATACAGCGACACGCACAGAACGTAGAGCAACACCGGGTGCCCCGGACAGTACAGTAAGTTTGCATTGATGACATTGGGGAGGACACTTCAAAGCGCTTTAAAGCACGGGTCAGAGACCCATGACTGCACGAACAGTGGACACCAAAGACAAGATGTGTGTCAGGACTTGTGTGCTGTGGGTGGGGGAGGGGGTGTGGTGAGGGGGGGACAGTCCATCCACTCACACCCTTCAACATTCACAGTGAATCTTAAACTGTTTGGAAGACGCTGTGGAAAAATGGCCTCCAACTGGTGTGGAGCTGGGAAGCAGTTCTCTGCCTTTAAGGCAATGCTGGGTTATGGCTAAGACTAGGGGGGGATTTAGTTCCCGGGAACCATCTGGTAACATCCCTGACGGTGATGTGTTCCAGGCCCAGAAGCCTGCGGTTCCCTCCGGTCTCAGCTTTTAGACCACTGTCCTGGAATCTGACTGGCCAGGCAGAAGGTTGGGAAGCCTTCAATTCAGATTTTATTTGGAAGTTGTTTTTCACACAGACGTTTTGAAGGAATTCTGGATCTCTGAACAGCCCTGAAATATTGCTTTCTAAAAGGCACTTGATTTATAGTAGTCACACATGGGGACAGAAGTTTTAGAAACACAGAGAATCACAGAACGAGTGGCTGCCCCTCCACACCCCCCACCCCAGAAGCCCAATTCTTTGCTGAAGCTGCTGAGAAAGGGCAAACATTCCCACTCACTGGGACCGTCCTCTCTCCATCCGCTGTGATCCCGAGGCCAGAGCGGTCTCGCCGTGCTGGACTTTCTGTTTCTGTGGCCCAGTTTAAAGAAAATCTGTTGGGAATGGGAGTGAGCAAAAGAGCAGCAACATGAAACTCAGCAGCTTGGAGGAAGATGTGAGAACGAATGACCTGAGAGAACGTGTCAGTAATTCCCCATTCACCCCCGAAAACCCGGAGCCAGCACAGCACAACACACTACACGGTATATGTTACATGGCACATGTTACACGTGTCCCATGTTGCACTAGTCACTTCGGCCTGGACGATTAAGATTGAGCAGAATTTTTGGTAAAGAAATGACTCAATTCAGTCTGAACTGGGAAACAAACTGTTAAAATCTGTTTGCACATTCACACGCAATATTTTCCAAATTAAGTTGGATTTTAAGGCCTCGGTCTTCAGGCTGAGAGCAGCGCCGTACAACAAGGCATTTGGGTTTGGGCGCAAACCACTGAAACGGAGCTGAAAGTATTGTGAGATGAACCCCGCGCGCACTGAGGACCCCCTTTAGCCCCGCCCACACCGGAGCCCCGCCCACACCGGGGCCCCGCCCACACCGGGGCCCCGCCCACACCGGGGCCCCGCCCACCTCCTGAGGATACAGGTGCTGAAGGGCAGGTCAGCATTCAGTGCCACCAGTGAGGAGCTGCCCTGCTCTTCCCCATGAGTGAGCTGAGGGCGGGGCCGATGTGGGGGCGGGGCCGATGTGTGGGCGGGGCCGATGTGGGGGCGGGGCCGATGTGGGGGCGGGGCCGATGTGGAGGCGGGGCCGATGTGGAGGCGGGGCTTGGTGGGGGCGGGGCTGAGGATCAGATTGACTGACAGGAACAATGAACAAGTGTGTCATGTGAAAGAAGTCACATAGTGTGACATCACCTTCAGCGAGTGAGACCCACAGCAAATACTGACTCACACCATATTAGAGACTGGCACAGGGGTGCGTGTGCGTGTGTGTGGGGTGGGGGCTGGCATGGTGGGGTGGGGGCTGGCATGGTGGGGTGGGGGCTGGCATGGTGGGGTGGGGGCTGGCATGGTGGGGTGGGGTTGACAGGGAAGAGGTTCCAGCGTGATCGGCTTCACGTTGAAGAGCACAAATATTCATTAACAAGAAACACATAAACCAGCTTTGGTCGGTCTGGAATGTCCCATTCCCTCGCACCGCCATCACCACAACGAGTGCATAGCTGGAAATGCAGTTGTTTGGTCGGAGACAAATGCAGATGGGAACGGTGGGGTGGTGGGGGGAAGAAGACGGGGTGGGGGGGGGGGGGGGGAGACATTCCCCGCACCGAGCCCCTGTTCCGTGCTCCCGTGCCAGCCCGTGAGGCAGGCTGAGTCCTGGGCGGGTGCAGGGCTAGTGAAACGCTGACTTCAACTCTTTGAAGGCATCACGTCGCTGCTTCTTCTCCTCGGCTTGTTTCTTCTTCTCCTCCTGCTCCGCCTTGATCTCCACCTCAAAGCGATTTCCATCCTCAATGGCTTTTGCCTGAAACCCAAGGAGCAGTTACCAGGGATGTGGCTATCGGGGGGCGTGGTTACCAGAGGTGTGGCTATAGGGAGCCTGGTTACCAGGGGTGTGGATATCAAGGGGTGTGGCTATCAGGGGGCGTGGTTACCAGGGTTGTGGCTATCGAGGCGTGTTTATCAGGGGTGTGGCTATCAGGCGGCGTGGTTACAAGGGGTGTGGTGATCAGGGGCGTGGTTAGCTGAGGTGTGGCGATCAGGGGGCGTGGTTAGCAGGGGTGTGGCGATCAGGGGGCGTGGTTACCGGGGTGTGGCGATCAGGGGGCGTGGTTACCGGGGAGTGGCGATCAGGGGGCGTGGTTACCAGGGGTGTGGTGATCAGGGGGCGTGGTTAGCAGCGGTGTGGCGATCAGGGGGCGTGATTAACAGGGGCGTGGTGATCAGGGGGCGTGGTTAACAGGGGCGTGGTGATCAGGGGTGTGGTGATCAGGGGGCGTGGTTACCAGGGGCGTGGTGACCAGAGGGCGTGGTTACCAGGGGGCGTGGGTTCCAGGGGCGTGGCGACCAGGGGGCGTGGTTACCAGGGGCGTTGCGATCAGGGGGCGTGGTTACCAGGGGTGTGGTGATCAGGGGGCGTGGTTACCAGGGGTGTGGTGATCAGGGGGCGTGGTTACCAGGGGTGTGGTGATCAGGGGGCGTGGTTACCAGGGGTGTGACGATCAGGGGGCGTGGTTACCAGGGGTGTGGCGATCAGGGGGCGCGGTTACCAGGGGCGTGGCGATCAGGGGGCGTGGTTACCGGGGTGTGGTGATCAGGGGGCGTGGTTACCAGGGGTGTGGTGATCAGGGGCGTGGTTACCAGGGGTGTGGTGATCAGGGGGCGTGGTTACCAGGGGTGTGACGATCAGGGGGCGTGGTTACCAGGGGTGTGGCGATCAGGGGGCGCGGTTACCAGGGGCGTGGCGATCAGGGGGCGTGGTTACCGGGGGTGTGGCGATCAGGGGGCGTGGTTACCAGGGGCGTGGCAATCAGGGGGCGTGGTTACCAGGGGCGTGGCGATCAGGAGACGTGGTTACCAGGGGCGTGGCGATCAGGGGGCGTGGTTACCATGGGCGTGGTTATCATGGGCGTGGCGATCAGGGGGCGTGGTTACCAGGAGCGTGATGATCGGGGGGCGTGGTTACCAGGGGCGTGGTGATCAGGGGGCGTGGTTACCAGGGGCGTGGTGACCAGGGGGCGTGGTTACCAGGGGCGTGGCGATCAGGGGGCGTGGTTACCGGGGCCGTGGCGATCAGGGGGCGTGGTTACCAGGGGTGTGGCGATCAGGGGGCGTGGTTACCTGGGGCGTGGCGATCAGGGGGCGTGGTTACCAGGGCGTGGCGATCAGGGGGCGTGGTTACCAGGGGCGGGGTTATCAGGGGCGTGGCGATCAGGGGGCGTGGTTACCAGGGGTGTGGTGATCAGGGGGCGTGGTTACCAGGGGCATGGTGATCAGGGGGCGTGGTTACCAGGGGTGTGGTGATCAGGGGGTGTGGTTACCAGGGGCGTGGTTACCAGGGGCATGGTGATCAGGGGGTGTGGTTACCAGGGGCGTGGCGATCAGGGGGTGTGGTTACCAGGGCGTGGCGATCAGGGGGTGTGGTTACCAGGGCGTGGCGATCAGGGGGTGTGGTTACCAGGGGCGTGGTGATCAGGGGGTGTGGTTACCAGGGGCGTGGTGATCAGGGGGTGTGGTTAGGGAGGGAGGAAGCGGAAGTTAGAATGTTGCAAATGGTGTTGGGCCGAATAAATCACCACCGGGCCGGTTGCGTCCCAGGGCCACCAGTTGGACCAGGATAAACTGTACAGAATTGAACCAGAGAACACGGTCTGCGATTGAAGGGGGGAAATTCAGAAAAAATCTATGGAAACACTATGTCAGTGAGCGAATGGTAAATGTATGGAACAGAGACGGTGGAAGCAGAAAGTGTTGTTTGTTTCAAGGACAAATTAGATAGATTTCTGTTAGGATAATCCACAGTGTATAGTTTGAGATGTCAAGCGACTGCCAGGATAGTGGAAGGCAAACTGGATGGACCTTGGTCTTCTTTCGCCTTGTAAATTCTTATGATAGCAGCTTTCCCGCTGCTTGTCCAGCTCGGACCACCCTACCTGTTAGGGCTTTGGCTGCAGGTTAACAGGAGCTGAGGGGGATGATTCCCTGCCCCCAGTGACTGGTCGGCCCTTCCAGGTCCTGCCAATGAGCCAGGCTGCGCTGGGCTGTCATCAGCAGTGAGGGCCCTGGAATACTGTGACCTGCCTGGCTCAGGAACCAGACTAGAGACCGGCACAGAGGCCTGGCTCGATGCTGTGAGGTGCTGTCACCAGAAGGGCATTGTGATGGGGTCGCACTGTAAAAGAATAAAACGTCACTTACTTTGGCTTCAAAAAAGACTTTGCTGCCTTTCACTCCCTCGGTGGCAACGTCGATCTCGGAGAGCTGGGCCAGCACCAGGAGGCCCCCATCCTCGGCCAGCTCCCCTGCTGCAGCCTTCCGGAAAATCAGCAGAAACTGAACGAGAGAGAGAGTGCTTGTGTCTGAGAGAGTGAGAGAGAGAGAGAGAGAGAGAGGCATGGGGGTTGGGAGGATGAGGGGGTGGGGGGGTTTAGGAGGATGGGGGAGCCAGGGGAGAACCTTGGTGTCAGTGAGGGTTTGTCGCTCACCTCTCGGAAGCTGAGTTTGCCATCAAAGTCCTCGTCCACTTCCTTGATCATGTTCTTGAGGCCCAGGTGGGTCTGAGGTGCCTCCAACTTCTCCATCATCAGCTTCAGCTCCATCAGGTCAATGAAGCCGTCCTTTCCCGCGTCGTACCTACACGGTGGGGCAGGGGTGGGGAGCACACACACACAGCATCACTGGCAGCCCAGGAGGACGGAGGGGAAACACACACACTGCGAGGGGCAGCCTGGGGAAGGGGGCATCGCGAGAGAGGGGGACTTACTGATGTTGTGTGGAATCTTAGTCCTGACCTCAGCCACTTGTCTCAGGCTGGAGAGGTGATGACTCAAAGGGGACTCAGAGCTGTGAAGGGGCAATTTCAGGACAGACACCAGGAAGCGTTTCTTTAGGGCAGAGGGTAATTAGCAACAGGAAGAGGACACGGGATTCATTTAGAAAGCAGCTGGATGCTGTGATGGGTGGAAGTCAAAGCCCTAATGGGTAGGGTGGTCCTAGCTGGACAAGTAGTGGGAAATCTTACTAGACGGCGATAGCAATGGCAAGCTATGGTTAGACTCCAGCAGTTACTCCAACAAACACTCTGGGGTCCCCAAGCTTTGGCTCTTGCCAACTGGCGCCTAATACTTTCCCGGAATTAGGCAAACTGCGTGAAGGCAATGAGAAGTCCCAGAGGACCAGGAAGCAGAGGGAGCCCTGGGCACAGAGAGGGGATGTCATTTGTAATATCACAACAAACGTGAAGTCCTGTAGCTTAGTCCTTAGTGCATTCGTCTTGCAAGTGAGAGGACCTGGGTTTGATTCTCAGCAGGATAAAACTTTATAAAAAGTTTATCTCGGCAGGATAAAAACTAAAGGTGGGTACGTTTCTTTACTCCACACACACGCGCCTGTTTACCCAGCAGTAAGTAGTTGTTAGTCGATTGGGGGATCGCTTTTCCGGAGGTTATAATTCCTTCAATTTTTAAAAAAAAGTAACAAATAGGTCACTCAATCCACAACTGTTTGTGGGACACTGCTCTGCACAATTGGCTGCCAGGTTTCGCCTACAAAACATAGTCAATTCACTTTACAATATTTTCTGTGAAGCGTCCAGAAGACATGATAAGGCGCTATATCAAGTGCAAGGATTCTTATTATTATTCTGTGAAGTGCTTTAAAAGACATGTTCCAATATGAAACGCAAGGAATATTACACAGGCCTCAGCCACGGGCACTAAGTAACACAGAGTTGCTGTCCTCAGTGTCTGAGCTGTGAGTGGCCTCTGACACATTCATTCTGAGGTGCAGAAGTTCACGGCTGAGTCTCGGCACAAGAGGAACGACAGCAGCCCCAGCCTCTTACTGTGCTTCCTGCCCTCACCACAGCCAGTCACTTCCTTCCCCATTCCCGCAGCCTTCGTTCGTCTTCCCCTTCTCTCCCTCCCTATTCCCTCTCTTACTCCCCCTCTACCCCTCCTCCTTGTTCTCCTCCCTCCACCCCACTGAATCACAGTTGCCCCCAGGCCTTGCCCAACCCCAACTCTCGGCCTGACCACTATGGGACTGGCTGCTCTCGGATTCAAAGAGACTCTGCTCCTCAGTTGTTGCCCACAAACATACGCTCAGCTTCTTTTCTTATCCGTCAAGGACATTGTTACAGCACAACATTGTTAGAGACAGAGTAATGTTCACTCTGCACTGTCCAAAACTATTTACAGGGCAGTGCCAGTCAGGGCTGGGGAGTTCCATATTGCTGGAGGTGGAGGGAGGAGAACAAGGAGGAGGGGTAGAGGGGGAGTAAGAGAGGGAATAGGGAGGGAGAGAAGGGGAAGGTTAAACCAGCTGAGCCTGTTCAGAAGAAAGTTAAAGATCCTGCGTCACTATTCAAAAAGAGAATGGAGTTCTCTCTCCCGGCTTCCTGGTGACAATCTCCCGATAATATCCGTCATCCCAGGTCACAACTGTTTGTGGGACATTACTGAATGTACACATTGGCTGCTGCGATTCACCCACAAAACACACACAGTCACTGTACGACTCTGCAAAGCGCTCAGAGGCATCAAACGAATGTGTTAAGGCAGCATATCAAATGCAAGGATTATCTGTAGTTATTATTACATTAACTTTGCTGGTCATACAAATAACTGTGAGGTGACTGATCAGTTTATCCAGGACCAAGACATCGGGACACTGAAAGAAGCTTCTTTGTGTTTCCAATAGGATAGGGATTTGAAAGTTCCTCTGAATGTTTGTGTGTCAGCCTGGCTCAGTTGGTAGCCCTCTCGCCTGTGTGTTCAAGCCCCACGTTGGGACTTGGAACTCATAAACTCTAAGATGACAGACACTCCAGTGCAGTGCTACTGGGGCTGTTAAATCGCGGTCCTGTCTGCCAGTTCTGGTGGTCCTGAAAGGGTTAAAGATCCCATGACATTGTGCAAAAAGAAAAAGGAGTTTTTCCTGGTTTCATGTTATTGTATGGATCAAATCCAAGTTGATATTATAAAAAATACATATGCGTAAATTGGCTGCTGAGTTCGTGCACAAAACACAGTCACTACACTTTACAGTATATCCTGCAAAGGGCTTTGAGATGTCCCAACTTCGTGATAAGGGGCTATATTAAATGTACAGATTATGATTGTTATAATGGTTATTATGATACCTCAGTTGGCAAAAGACAGAACCTCTGACAATGAGAGCATGAGCCCAGGCTGGGAGCTACAACCTGGTGTCCTGGAGTGACGAGCGAGGGCCTGAGCCAAGCACCGAGAACAGCGAGGAGCAGCAGAGGAGACTCGCACACAAGAGAGGCCAAAATGCTGCACGATTTCAATTCCGAAAGTTGAAATCTGTATTTTTTTGCAGCGTTGAGTAAAATTGCTTTCAGAGCCAGAAACCGGGTGACTCAACAAGGTGAGGTTTGCACTCAGTGATCGTTGAGACTAAGTGTCTTCCATAATCTGCCCCAGAGCCCACAGGGAGCAGTGTCTGCCCACAGCCACACACACACACACACACACTCCGCCCAAACTTTAAACAGGTCTGGACATAATCTCTGTTTAGCAGATCAGTATCAGTATCAGGCAGTAAGTTTCCCAATTCACAGCTGCGGGGAGTTTAACTACTTTCCTTATGTGGTATGAAACGATGGGTTTATAGGAATTATCCTCCTCCCCCACCCTCACGCTTCCTGCCCTGCAAACCCGCCACTCTGTCGCCGGAGGACATGGACTTTCATCAGATTCCGGGGTTGGAATCTGATTGATCCCCCGCAGTCTCAGCAACACAAACATTCATTCTGAGGAGCAGGAAGAGGTCATTCAGCCCATTGAGCCTGTTTTAAACCTGTTTGTGTCCCCTTCGCCTGGTGCTTGAGTGGCTCACGTCTGAGCCAAGGTCAGCTCAAGGCCGTCATATCATGTGCTGGGCAATTGTCACATTTCTCCAGGGTGATTAAAAATGTAAATTGTTTCCATTTCCTTCTTCAGAGCTTCTCCTGCCTGTGCACCCCGAGAAAATGGCCAACTTCAGCCTCCACGCTGTGACAACCTGACCTGATGACTGCCCAAGGCGACCATTTTGTAGCGCAGGAAATTGGAGAGGGATCCAGGGAGAGGTGGTGGTGGGGAGGAGGGAGAGGGTGATACCAGCAAGAGATGGGATCTGAGGAATTTCTCTCCCCCCGAGACCAGGAACAGTGAAGCCAGTGTCTCAATGACTGGGATCAGCACATTGAGACTCCGATGGCTCCTCTCCTCCTCTCTTATCCCACGTTCCTCACGATTCCCTGGAAACATTCTCACTGTATCTGATCAGAATGTCTACACCCTGTGGGCAACTCACACCGCAGCCCAACAGCAAGAGGCAGGCACTAACCACACACAGCGTGCGGAGCCCACACACATGCACTCACCCACACACTCACACACACTTACTCACACTCATCCGTGCACTCACTCACACACTCACCCCACACACTCACTCACACTCACCCATGCACTCACTCACACACTCACCCACCCGTGCACACTCACCCACACACTCACCCTTGCACACTCACTCACACACTCACCCTTGCACACTCACCCACACACTCACCCTTGCACACTCACTCACACAATCATCCACACACTCACCCGTACACACTCACTCACACTCATCCATGCACACTCACTCACACACTCACCCGTGCACACTCACTCACACTCACACATGCACTCACTCACACACTCACCCACCCGTGCACACTCACCCACACACTCACCCTTGCACACTCACTCACACACTCACCCTTGCACACTCACTCACACAATCACCCTTGCACACTCACTCACACAATCATCCACACACTCACCCGTACACACTCACTCACACTCACCCATGCACACTCACTCACACTCACCTGTGCACACTCACTTACACTCACCTGTGCACTCACTCACACACTCACCCACCCGTGCACTCACCCACACACTCACCCGTGCACACTCACTCACACACTCACCCTTGCACACTCACTCACACAATCACCCACACTCACCCGTGCACACTCACTCACACTCACACATGCACTCACTCACACTCACCTGTGCACACTCACTCACACTCACCTGTGCACACTCACTCACACACTCATCCGTGCACACTCAATCACACACTCACTCACACACACTTGCACACATACACTCACTCATGTTCACTCACCCACACAACAAACACACTCACACCCACACACTCACTCACACTCACCTGCATAACAAACAAAATAATAATAATAATAATTTGGTCACTCAATCCATGACTGTTTGTGGGACATTGCTGTGCACAATTGGCTGCCGCGTTCGCCCACAAATATACAGTCAATTCACTTTACAGTCTATTCCGTGAAGCACTTTGAGACGTCGAGAAAACGTAATAAGGCGCTGTGTCAAATGCCGATTATTATCATTATTATTAATGCAATTGACCTGAAACAATACCTTTCATGTTAGCGGGACATCTGAAAGTGCGTAACAGTGTAGACCTGGGGGTGGGGGCAAGAGGTTTGTCTTGAATGAGGACAGGGAGAGAATGCGTCAGAGGGACGGAGTTCCAGAGAGAGGAGAATGGCAGAGTATTGAGCAACTCAGAAACCGAACTGCACATTCCACATTCCTGATGGACGTTCTGGGCAAAAATATCAACCATTATGTTTTTACCAAAAGTGAATGAAAATGTCTGAATTACACGCTCGGTTTAACAATCCATTTATTAAAATAGGACGATTTTGCAACATACTTGTCAACCCTCGTCAACCATCACCAACCATCACAAACCCTCGTCAACCATCACCAACCATCACAAACCCTCGTCAACCATCACCAACCATCACAAACCCTCGTCAACCATCACCAACCATCACAAACCCTCGTCAACCATCACCAACCATCACAAACCCTCGTCAACCATCACCAACCATCACAAACCCTCGTCAACCATCACCAACCATCACAAACCCTCGTCAACCATCACCAACCATCACAAACCCTCGTCAACCATCACCAACCATCACAAACCCTCGTCAACCATCACCAACCATCACAAACCCTCGTCAACCATCACCAACCATCACAAACCCTCGTGAATGGTAGAGCCCAACACAGCAGCCAATCTGCATCAGTAACGTCCACACACACTGTGACAGAGCCAATCACCGTAGGGACATGTGTTTGGGACCCGTCAATGTCTACCGGGAATCAGAGAGAGCTGCGGTACAGGGAACCAACCGGGGATTGGAAGCTCCTCTGTGATCAGGGAATAGTGTGGGGGCCGCCCCCGGTCACCCCGACAGGGGGTCAAACCCCCTCCACAACATCCCCAGCCTCACTACAGGGATTCACGGTTTCCCCAGTTATCCCCCAGTTATTCCCCGGTTACCCCCCGGGGTTCCCCCGGTTACCCCCCGGGGTTCCCCCGGTTACCCCCCGGGGTTCCCCCGGTTACCCCCCGGGGTTCCCCCGGTTACCCCCCGGGGTTCCCCCGGTTACCCCCCGGGGTTCCCCCGGTTACCCCCCGGGGTTCCCGGCTGCTCCCAGTCTGACCGCAGTGATCACTCACTGTCGGAACATCTTCTCCATATCTCGGATCTGTTTGCGGGAGAACTCCCGGAACTCGGTGTAGGGGTTGAAGACCCTGAGGCTGAGCTGCAGCGGCTCCGCCTGACCCTCACTGAGCTCCGTGCGGCGGCTCAGCTTAGCCGAGAGCTCGGTGCCGGCGCTGGCGGTGGGCGGCTTCCCCTCCGCGCCGTCCATCGCGCCGCTCCCGGACTCCAGCGCCGCCGCCGGTTCCTCCCCCTCCTCGATCTGCAGCCGCCGGTGCAGCTTCCCCGCCAACTCGTCCGTAGCCATTGTCACTGCGCCCCCGGGAGCCCCGCCCCACGGGCCCCGCCCCCGCGGCCCCGCCCCCGGGAGCCCCGCCCCCCGGGAGCCCCGCCCCCCGCGGCCCCGCCCCCGGGAGCCCCGCCCCCGGGAGCCCCGCCCCACGGGCCCCGCCCCCCGCGGCCCCGCCCCCGGGAGCCCCGCCCCCCTCGGCCCCGCCCCCGGGAGCCCCGCCCCACGGGCCCCGCCCCCTCGGCCCCGCCCCCGGGAGCCCCGCCCCCCCTCGGCCCCGCCCCCGGGAGCCCCGCCCCCCGCGGCCCCGCCCCCACAGTGACTCTCTGCCTCTGTATGAAGCTGAAGGTGAGCGCCTGAGACACTGATGAGGAAACTGAGCCTTTACAGTACAATCCTCGTGTTGTCCTCCTGACGTGAAAGGCGCTGTCAAACGCCATCTTGTTGTTGTTGTCATGAAATACTGTGAAATCGCTTTGATGTATTATGTAAACAGGGACTACTGTTACTATCACAGCCGATTCCATCCGTCCTCTGACTCCGCGGCCGGTCACACAGCACGAAGGGCGTTGCCAGCCCGGACCGGGCACCGGTGACCACCAGCGCCAGTTACTGACACCCTCGGGGCTCGGCTCAGAGCTATCGTTCTGATGCTGAGTTTCTGCGATTAACATTTTTGAGTTACAGCCTGAAGCCACCAATGCCATTCAGTAACATAGAGAACGCCTCGCGCCCCACCCGACACCCACCTCACACTCAGTCACTGTACCCCTCACTCTCTCAATGCCTTCAGCCACTGCGCCCCAAAACCCTGAAACTCTCTCCCTCAATTCCCCCGCCTTCCCCCCTCCCTACCCACCTTCAAATCCCACCGAAAGACCTTCCTTTTGATTGTGTTTACCCTCCCCGCTCCCTCTCCCCGTGGCTTGTTGTCAGACTAAAGCCCCACGTGAAGGACACTTTGTAAGTTCAAGTTGTTGTTTTTGAGAGTGATGGTGAGAATGGGAGTGGCAGTGAGCATGAGTGACAATGAGAGTGATACTGAGAGATTATTGGTCATGACACCTTCCCTTCTCTTTTCAAACAGTGCCTTGTGATGTTTGACAGATCCCTGAGCAGGCAGAGGTGACTTGGCTTAGTGTCATCTGAAGGCCGGCACCTCTGACAATGAGGTGCTACCCCCAGCACTGCATTGGCGTATCATCTTAGACAGTGAGCTCAATGTCCTGATGTTGGGTTTGAACCCACAACCTCCTGACTCAGTGATACCGACATATTAAAATTGGCTGACGTATTAAGACTGATGTTAAGAATTTTCCAAATTCCCTGCTGATTGTATATTTGAGGTCAATGGTTTTCAGACTCAGACTGTGGAGAATTTCAAGCCTCTTATCACACCGGAAGCCACTGTTGGAAGGGGCGGAGGGGGGGGAAGAAAGAGAGCGAGGGAAAGAGAGTGAAGGGGTGGAGAGAGAGAGAGAGAGAGGAAGAGCGGGAGGAGTAGGGAGTGAGAAGTGGGGAAGAGATGGGGGAAAGAAAGAGTGGGGGAGGTAGGAGAGAGAGGAAAGAGGGGGCGGGAGATAGCGGAGGAGACAGAGGGAGGGACAGAGAGAGGAAGAGACAGAGAGTGGTGGAGAGAGAGAGAGAGAGAGGGGAGTCAGTTGCTGCTGTGCCTCCCTGTTGACTCATGGCCCTGTGGCTCCTCCTGTCTTTTGCTCAGTTGCTGCCCTTATAAGGCCCTGAGCAGGGGTTTGGGTGCGGGGCTGGAGGCACACAGGGAGGCAGAGCAGACGAGGTATGGGCAGGTCCGAGGTCAGCCGCTGTCCCTGCGACAACACAGCATTAAGGAGGAGGAAGGATGTTTGGTGCAGACTGGGTCCCTCCCTGACACGAACACCACCGGCTGTGCGCAGTGAACAGCTCACAAACCTGTCTCTGTCTCTGTAGTGTTTCACAATGTCCAGAATGTAGCTAATTGTTAAACGCGGCCTTCAGTTTGAATAGAGTTTCCTTTTTTTAGAAAGAGACACTTCTGAGGTTTATTTTAGACTTAATACAATTTGGCCAAGTTGTGGGATCAGGTTTATTTCACCCCATTTTAGAAAGGATCCACCGGCCTCGGAGTGCACCCAGCGATAGTCCACCAGATCCCCTGGGGAGACAGACGGGTGAAAGCAGAAAATGTAATTTATTTCAAGAACAAATTAGACAGATATCTGCTAGAAAATAATATCTGGGGTTACAGTGTATAGTTTTGGGAGTGACTGATGGAAGGTGAACTAGATTGACCTTGGTCTTCCGCCAAGCAAACTCCTATGTTCTTATTAAAACCTGATCTGAAGGGATGATGGTCAACTCTGAGACGCTGGAGAATGGGGTTGTATTCCTTAGAGCAGAGGACGTGAAGTGGTGAGGTGTTTTGAGACATGTAAAACAAGGAGAGGAATTGACAGGTTAGATAGTGGGTGAGTCTGAAAATCAGGTCGGAGAACTTACTGAGCTCTGGAAGTATTTCTTCCACAGAGGGAAGTGGGAATGTGGAACACTGCCCCAGAAAGCTGTATGACTCAAAATGTTTAGTGATGTTTACAAGAGAGACAGATAGTCGCCGGGTACTGGAGATACACAGGGATAATAATAATAATCCTTGCAATTGATATAGAGCCTTATCTCGTCTTCTAGACATCTCAAAGTGCTTCACAGGATATAGTGTAAAGTGTAGTGACTGTATATTTTGTTGAAGAAACATGACAGCTAATTGCGCACGGCTGGAGGCTGGATTCCGAGAATCCCGATGTGTCTCACTCCTCTGGATTCTGTCTCCCTATCATCCGCTGGAAAAGGAAAGCACATCAGATTAGTCTCCTATACACACACTGTACAATTAGATTAGATTACAATGTCAGCAAGGGATCCAGGCTGAAATTCCCAGGCTTAAATCTGAACATCGGGTGGAGAATCGAGAAACACTTGTTGATTTCTACCCAAACAGAACTGTACAAAATCAACTTCCAAACAGACTGAATTTAAGACGTGGGGTCAGGATTGGGGGGATTCGGACAGGGGCCAAGTTGAAAATTAGGGCCTGGAATTGGGGGTGTGGGGTAGGGGCAGGGTTGAGGATTGGGGCTGAGACCAGGGCCAGGGATTGGAGATGGGGTCGGGCTGGGGGTTTGGGGCTGGGATTGGGGGGTTTGGGCTGGGCTGATGTATCGAGGCGAGCTGCAGGTTGACGAGCTGGCTGGTGGTGTGACACAGCTCCTGGTCCTGTTTCCTCAGCTCATTCTTCAGCTTCTCGATCTCGTAACCTTTCCTCTTCAGCTTCTCCTCCATCGCCTTCTGTTTGGCTGGAGCCTGGAGACAGAACAGGGAACGTCATTCAACATGCCCATTGCCTGAGATTGTATCAGGTACACAAGTAAACCTGGACACACACACGCTCTACATAATGCACACACACACGTATAACTTGAATTTATAAAGCGCCCTTCACACCAGGTAGTGTCCCGGAGCACTTAACAGTGGTGGAGTCTGACCCGGAGCCAGGGGAGAGAGGGAGAGGTCACCGTAAGCAATTAAGTATACACACACAAACGCCCGTACACACACTGATGGAGTGACTGGGTGGGTGGTCAGTCTATCACATTCAGAAACTGTGACTGGGTTCAGACCCAAGCATTATACTGGCACGGGGGATGGGGGGGTGGTGAGAGGGAATGATTCAATCCCAAACCTGTCAATATTCGAGACTTGGGTCAATAATTATCACATCACACATTGCATTTTATGGGCAGGGTGTCAGGCTGCTCTCACCTGGCCGAACACGTCCTGCACACAGGTGTGATACACCAGCTTTGTCCCTTGCTTCTCCAGCTGCTCCAGGTGGAAGGTCTGCGTCAACACAGGACACGAAAACACTCAACACGTGAATCTGCCCTGTGTGCACACAGCACTGTGTACGTGAATCTGCTCTGTGTGCACACAGCACTGTGTACGTGAATCTGCCCTGTGTGCATGCAGCACTGTGTACGTGTATCGCCCTGTGTGCACACAGCACTGTGTTCGTGAATCTGCCCTGTGTGCACACGGCACTGTGTACACGTATCTGACCTGTGTGCACACTGAATGTTGAATGTTACATGCAACAACAACTTGCATTTACAGCGGAGTGGTGTCTCAGGCTCACAGTGGTAGAACTTGACACTGAGATGGGGAGAAAGGGAAGGTGGCCGCAGGCATAATCAAAGAAAAAGGTCTTGCATTGCATCTGGAGTTGGGCAAAGATCGGGCAAAAGATTGAGGAATGTTCATAATAGTAATAATATATTGAATGTGATCTCGGGTCTTTCGCATTAAGAGGACGTCTCAAAGACTTCAGAAGATATATTGCCAAGTCTAGTGACTGGTTTGGGTGAGTTGCAAACAGAGCGACGGATTACCTTGCGCTGTTTGATGGCTTTATTGAGCCTCTTCTCCTGGTCCAGGCGGGCCTGAGCTTGCCTCAGCGACTCTCTGATCAGCCCATTCTCCTCAATTTGCCTCTGTAACTCTGTCTGTAATCGCTCAACCTCATATCTCTGTGTGTGTACAACCACCTGCTGCTGCCTGGGAACAGCAAAGTAAGAGAATATTTCACTCCTTATTTAATTCACAAAGTTAAATTTGGCTTTCATATTCCAATTCTTATAAATAATGCTCACACCCAAAGCCAATGGAAGCCAGAGATTTCAGCAAAACTGAACATTGAGAAGGTCCTGGGTTCAATCTCTGTTCTGTGCCAAGACACTATACAACTGGCTTCTTCTCATTTAAGATGTATATTCTTAAATTATTATTATTATATTCTTATCCTCAATAAAATTGAGCCAGGGTGTCTCAGAGTTTTGAGGTCCTTGGGTCAAGTTTTTTTCAAAATTATTCAACACTGAACTGCATCTGTCACCTCTCTGCTCACCCGCCTGGTCTATCTATGTGCTCTGTAGACTTTCACAATGCTTTTCACAATTTAATAATCCTTACATTTGATATGGAGTCCTGGAGCTCAGTGGTTAGAGCACTCGCTTTGCAAGTGAGAGACCTGAGTTCAATTCCAGGCAGAGGGCCAAACCTTGGGCAAGTTTCCTTACTCCACACAGAGCCTAATAATAATCCCACAAAAAAAAACAATAATAAATTGGTCATTTCAATCCACGACTGTTTGTGGCACATTGCTGTGTGCAATTGGCTGCTGCGTTCGCCCACAAATACTGTAAAGTCAATTCACTTTACAGTATATTCTGTGAAGCGCTTTGAGATGTTGAGAAGACGTGAAAAGCGTTAGATCAAATGCAAGGATTATTATTGTCATTATTGAGTGACCAAATATTCTTTTTTAACATTAATCAATCAATCAATCAATCAATCAATCACTCACTCAACTTGGTGTTGCCACAATTCCCAAGTAGGGATCGTTGATAAAAATAATAATCCTTGCATTTGATACAGCGCCTTATCACATCTTTGAGACATCTCAAAAGCGCTTCACAGGATACACTGTTAATCGTATTGACTGTATTCTTAAGAGCCGCCCAACCCAGTGCCCGGCAGGCTGAGGTACCTCAGCTGTTCCAGGTCCTTCTCGTAGGCCTGCAGCAGTTCTTCCTTCCTCTCCAGCTGTGTCTGTAGCTGGCTGATCTGACTGCTCAACATCTCCAAGTCTCTCCTCCGCTGCGTCCCCAGCTTCTCCCTCTCATCCCGAGGGATGTGCTTCATGGAGAGTGATCTCGACAGCTCCGTCATGTTGAGCACTTTGGAGAGAACCTTCACCATATCCAGGTACTACGACGAGAGGGAGGGAGAGCGAGCCAGTGAGAGAGAGATAGAAAGCAAGAGAGCCCAAGCAAGAGAGAGAGAATGCAAGTGAGAGTACGAGAGAGCAAGCAAGAGAAAGTGAGAAAGAGCGAGAGGGATTAAACATAGCCACTTATGCCGTTACATTCCACAGCTCATGGCCATGACCTGACACAGCCAGTACCCACCACTGCCTTTGGTTAGGTGTGAAATAGACTCACACCGAACCCAAGATCTGAAATCCTCACCTGTGCCAATCTGGCTACTCCTGTGGAGATTATTGACCTTCTTTATTCCATACCCATCTCCTTTTGTGCCTCAGCTTGGCGAGGTGGCTTTACCACCACGATACCCAGCTCCCTCCCCACTCCAGCCCCCCACCCCCGAGGGTAAATTTTAAATGCTTGTTTCTAAAACGTACCGTCATCTCACTGAGATCAAGGGCCTCTGACATTTCCAACCGTAAAGTCCTCTCAATGGAAGCCTCTGAGATAGTGACAGAGGCAAGTCTGAGATTCTGAAAGAGAAAATCAGAGGACATTCATCTGTCTTGTCTATGTGTCACACCGAGTCTGTCCCTCTGTCTGTCTGTGGCTGTCTGTTTCACGAGTCGGTCGTTTCGGCAAGACTTTCAGGGGAAATTTCCTCAAACCACATTACATGGGAATGACTCAGCGTTTCACAGGAATTACTGTCAAGTGTAGTGACTGTGTGAAGGTGAGCGCGGCAGCCAATTGATACCAAACAATATCCCACAATTAGCCACAAAGTGGATGAATAATTTTATTTGGGGGATTGTTGGGCAGGACACCAGGAGAAACTCTTTTCTCTTTCCCAATAGTGCCACTACATCACTCCCCCAGCACTGCATTGGAGTATCAGCCTAGACTGTGAGCTCAAATCCCCGATGTGGGGTTTGAAGGAATTAAATATCCAACCACATCATTATCAGACTGATCGTGATGAAGAGCGTTTTTGAGAAGGGTCAAATCACCTTTTAATTCTCTCCGGGGTGACTAAACAAACAGTGACAAGTTTCTGCTCTTGCGATCGAGTCAGAGCTGCAGACAGGAAACACCGAGGAACGAGTTCTTTAATAATTCATTAAATAAACATTGCGTGAAACCAAAGTGCAGCTCAGATAAAACAATTGACATCAATTTTGTATTTGACATTCCAGGGCACTCAACACCCACTGGGAGCGTCCAATGGAGTCTTGTATTGTCAGAACAACAACAACAAGATTGTATTTATAGAGCGCCTTTCACGTCGGGAGGACGTCCCAAGGCGCTGGACAGTTGGGTCGGGACCCGAGCACTGGGGGGAAATGGTCAGGGTGAGGGGAGAGAAGGGAGGGAGCGAGGAGGGGGGGAATGGTCAGGGTGAGGGAGAGAAGGGAGGGAGCGAGGAGGGGGGAATGGTCAGGGTGAGGGGAGAGAAGGGAGGGAGCGAGGAGGGGGGGAATGGTCAGGGTGAGGGGAGAGAAGGGAGGGAGCGAGGCGGGGGGGAATGGTCACGGTGAGGGGAGGGGAGGGAGCGAGGAGCGGGGAATGGTCAGGGTGAGGGGAGAGAAGGGAGGGAGCGAGGAGGGGGGGAATGGTCAGAGTGAGGGGAGAGAAGGGAGGGAGCGAGGAGGGGGGAATGGTCATGGTGAGGGGAGGGAGCGAGGAGGGGGGAATGGTCACGGTGAGGGGAGGGGAGGGAGTGAGGAGGGGGAATGGTCAGGGTGAGGGGAGAGAAGGGAGGGAGCGAGGAGGGGGGAATGGTCAGAGTGAGGGGAGGGAGCGAGGAGGGGGAATGGTCAGGGGGAGGGGAGAGAAGGGAGGGAGCGAGGAGGGGGGGAATGGTCAGAGTGAGGGGAGAGAAGGGAGGGAGCGAGGAGGGGGGGAATGGTCACGGTGAGGGGAGGGGAGGGAGTGAGGAGGGGGGAATGGTCAGGGTGAGGGTTAGGGGAGGGAGGGAGTGAGGAGAGGGGAATGGTCAGGGTGAGGGGAGGGGGAGGGAGGGAGCGAGGAAGGGGGGATGGTCAGGGTGAGGGGAGGGAAGGGAGGGAGCGAGGAGGGGGAAATGGTCAGGGGGAGGGGAGGGAGGGAGCGAGGAGGGGGCAATGGTCAGGGTGAGGGAGAGAAGGGAGGGAGTGAGGAGGGGGGAATGGTCAGAGTGAGGGGAGAGAAGGGAGGGAGCGAGGAGGGGGGGAATGGTCACGGTGAGGGGAGGAGAGGGAGCGAGGAGGGGGGAATGGTCAGGGTGAGGGGAGGGGAGGGAGGGAGTGAGGAGGGGGGAAATGGTCAGGGGGAGGGGAGGGAAGGGAGGGAGTGAGGAGGGGGGGAATGGTCAGGGTGAGGGAAGGGAGGGAGTGAGGAGTGGGGAATGGTCAGGGTGAGGGGAGGGAAGGGAGGGAGTGAGGAGGGGGTAGAGAGTCGAGAGGGCAGCTGAAGACACGGTTGAAGAGAAGTGCCGTCCTTTGGAAGGGACATTATACCGAGGTCCCTCTTGCCTGTTCAGGTGGACGTTAAAGATCGTTTGACACTGTTGGAAAAGAGAAGACAATTTCTCCCGCTGTCCTGGCTAACAATAGCAATAACTTGCATTTAAAATAGCGCCCCTCACGCAGAGCGCTTTCCCTCAGATGTATTAATCATTCATCGCGTGGCTGTTTGTCAGATGTTGCTGTGAGCAAAATGGCTGCCATGTTTGCCCACAAATACAGAGTCACCTCTCTTCAGAGTAAATCCTGTGAAGTGCTTTGAGACGTCTTGATTACATGACCAGGAGCTAAACAAATACAAGGATTATTATTATTATTATTATTATTATTATCTTGTCACATCTCTGCTGACCACATGTAGTCTATACAGCCACTTGCTGCACTCTGAGCAGTCTTGGGACAGAGTTTTAGTGTAAACGTAAGCATCGGCAAATTAACCTCGACATTTCCTCTAATCTTTTAATGCCTAGTGTCCCAGCCCCAACAGCTTCAATCAGTCTCTTACCAGTCACCAAGAGAAACACACAACATTACTGCTCTGAACTGTGGCATTTAGTTACATTTTGCAAATAATACACAAGAAATTGATCTGTAACCCAACGTTTAACAGCTGTATTATCTGTGAACCGCACCCTCCTGGCTCCAATCCAATACCACCCACCATCTCTACTTTGTCTTCTCTAGCAGTTTCACCCACAAAACATAGTCCATTCACTTTACACTATATTCTGTGAAGCGCTTTGAGGCGTCTCGAAGATGTAGTAAGGCGCTACATCAAATGCAAGAATTATTATTAAATTTCTCGAACCCCCTTGCACAGTTACCCACAGAGTATCTCAAGGCTCTCTCCTCAGCCCCTCCTTTCCTCATCTACAAACTCCCTCTTGGTGACATCACCTGCAAACACAGGATTAACTTCCACTTGTCTCTTGTCTGCGGATGACACTAAATCTACTTTCCCACTTCTACTCTCGACCCCAGGTCACTGATGTTCTGTCACCAATCAGACTCCAAGGCCTGGAGAAGCCTCAAATTCCTGTGATGGAGAAGGCAGAAGCCCATCCTCCCCGGTTGCGGTCAACTTCTCCTTATCTCCTCACCTCCGGCCCCAACCTTCTCAATCTCCCCCGGCCGATGCCTCAGACTTATTGAACCAAGGCATGACCTCGGTATAATCTTTGATTTGATCCTCAGTCTCCCGTCTCCCTCACATCCGGTCTCTGACCAGGCAGGACCACTTTTCTTCCTGTTTACTACATGACTCTCGCCTGCCGCATCTCACACCAAACGTCGCTGAGCCTCTCATTCACGATTTTCTTACCTTCTTCTGCTCTGAGTGGCAGGTTAACACACGCTGACTGGTCAGAATTTAACATTACCTCCTGGTTCCCGCGTGCCTCGCCACTGTGGCCCCAGCTCGGTGGGCTCCCGGCCCCTGCCCCTCGCTCCTTTTCCTGGGGGTCTCCTGCCGAAGTCAAAGGTGAAACAAGAAAATGCGTTAACGAAAGAAAGTAGGTTTCAACATCTGCCATCAATTTTGGAGAGCAAATGAGGCTGCAAAATTAACACATTGAGATCTGCAAACATGGATTGGCACAATGTGGCACAGAAAGATGGAGAACAACAACAACATTACAGTCTCAGTGTTTAAAGCTCTTTTATTCCTCCTCTCCCTCATATTTACACAAGTTTTTTTTCCCTTAAAATGCTGGATTACTAACTGATTTGTAACTGTTTAATTATCAAAATGAGACTGTGCAGGGCAGCTAGTTTTACAACAACAAGATAATATTTGTATAACACCTTTCACGTTGGGAGGACGTCCCAAGGTGCTGGACATTGTACAGCATTTCAGACCCAAGCTGGGGTCGGGGGTGGTGGTGGGGGGGAGGGGAAGGGGGGTGTCCGATGGCATAGTTGAAGAGGAGGGTCTTGAGGCGGAGTGATTGGGGGTTGGAATTCCAGAGGTTGGGGGCAGAGTAGCTGAAGGCTCTCCTGCCAATGGTGGGGCGGGTGGGTCGGGGGACGTGGAGCAGCCAGAGCCGGCTGAGCGGAGGGAGCGGGCGGGTTGGTACAGGGTTAGGAGATCGCAGAGGTAGGGTGGGGCGAGACCATGGAGGGCTTTGTAGGTGAGGACCAGGATCTTGAACTGGATCCTCTGAAGGATAAGGAGCCATTGTAGTCGGGCGAGAATGGGGGAGATGGTGTCACGGAGTTTGGTGCGGGAGAGGACACGGGCTGCAGAGTTCTGGATTATCTGCAGCTGTGGAGGGAGGAGTTGGGAAGGCCGACACGCAGGCGTTTGTATAGTCGAGCCTGGAGGTGATGAAGGCATGAACAAGAGTTTCAGCGTCCTGAGGGGTGAGGTAGTGGGGGAGGCGGGCGACGTACAGAAGGCAGAGCAGGTCATGGCTTGAATGTGGGGAAGAAAAGACAGTTGAGGGTCGAACAAGACATCCAGGTTCCTGACTGGCTGGTGAGTTGGTGAGTTGTATCATGGAGGTTGATGCTGTCGGAGCCTGAGGTGCAGGTGTGAGCCAATCAGGAGGGCCTCAGTCTTGTTAACATTCAACTGAAGAAAGTTAACTCTCATCCAGGACTTGATGTCCGACAGACAGTCTGTCAGGACAGCAGTGGTCCTGGAGTTGAGTGTGAGGCAGAAGGACAGAGTTGGGTGTCATCCGCATACATGTGGAAGTTGACCCCATGTCTGTGGATGATGTCACCAAGGGGGAACACGTAGATATTAAAGAGGAGACCGGGACAGAGCCCTGGGGGATGCCAGATGTGACAGTGCGGGGGCTGGAGGAGAAACCGTTAGAGGCAACAAAGTGGAGACGGTGAGAGAGATAGGAATCGAACCAGTCAAGGGCCGGTCCGTGAAGATTGAGTAAAGAGGAGAGGCGGTGTATGAGGATGGAGTGGTTGACAGTGTCGAAGGCAGCAGAGAGGTCGAGGAGGACAAGGAGGCAGAGGGAGCCCTGATCACAGATGTTCAGAATGTCATCAGTGACTGTGACCCCCAGGGCTGTTTCCGTGCTGTGGGCAGCGCGGAAGCTGGATTGGAGGGATTCAAAGAGGGAATGGCGAGAAAGGAGTGGAGCTGGGCCGCGATGACTCGTTCCAGGACCTTGGAGACGAATGGGAGGTTAGAGATGGGGCGGCAGCTGGAGAGGAGGGATGGATTCAGGGAAGATTTTTTCAGGATGGGAGTGATGACGGCTGTTTTTAGGGGGTGGTTTTTACAGAGGTGAGGGAAGGCAGAGCGGGTCATGGCTTGGATGTGGGGAAGAAAAGACAGTTGAGGGTCGAACAAGACACCCAGGTTCCTGACTGGCGGTGAGTTGGTGAGTTGTAGTGTGCAATCATGGAGGGTGATTCTGCCAGGAGAGGTTGATGACATCGGACAGGCGAGGGGTCAGAAGGTGGAGTTGAGAGGTGAGGAGAGAGGTGGGGATGGGATCGAGGGAGCAGGTGGTGGGTTTGAGTTTGCGGACAGTCGTGGTGAGGGAGGAGGAAGAGATAGGGTCAAAGGAGTATAGTGGGGATGGGTGGGGGGTGGGTCATGAGGGTGAGGTGATGTGGGGGTGGCTGTGGGTGGGGCTGAGGTGGCTGAACGTATCCCCTCGATTTTAGATTCGAGGAAGTCCAGCATCTCCTCACAGTTAGAGTTTGAGGAGAGGATGGTCGAGGCTTGGGAAGGTGGAAGAAGGAGACAGTTTGTGGTGGAAAACTGAAGCCAACAACAACAAATTACACTTGAATAACACCCTTCACATCAGAAAGACATTCCAGGGTGTTGGATTGTCAGGGGTTTTTGGGGTCAGGAGGGTGTGGAGGGAAGGGGGTGGACTGTGCTATATTAGAGTTGGATATTCTGGGGTTAGACTCCTTTAGAGCTGAGGAGGTCAGGGTGGTGATTTGATTGAGATTTTACAATTAATTAGAAGAATTGACAGGTTTGATCGTGGACGACGTAATAGTACCAAAATCAGAACCAAAGCATTTTGCAGAATGGAGTGTAGTGGCTGTGTGTTCTGTGTGCAAATTGGACTAATCCCGTCAAACAGCCCTAATGCCAGCTGCCTGCCCGCTTCACGTGCCATCACACCCGGCCTGACTAACAAACACCGGATTAAAGTCCTTTTACAGTGAGCACAGAGGACTGTCCTGTCCTGTCTGGACTGGTGTACTCTGTCCAGTGCCTTGGGATGTTCTCCCGACGTGAATGGCGCTATACAAATGTAATCTTGTTGTTGCCCTCTCTCTGCTCTGAGCCTGAACACCAGGGCCACAACAGGGAGCTTTGGGCAGGAATTTGGAAAAGTCTTAAATTTAGTCTTTAATTTGGAAACAGGTGTGCAGCACTTTTTCACATTCACAGTGATACACTCACACACCCGTAGTGATTCTCACACTCTCAGTGACACACTCACAGTAACACACTCTCATACTCCGTAACACACTAACAGTGACACACTCGCAATGACAGAATCGCAATATATGCTCACACACTCAGTGACACACTCACACTATCACCGTTCGGTTTTATTCTGGACTTTTGATGATGGACTGTTCTAGCCTCCCTGTGTTGCCGGGACCCCAGTGCAAAAATGGCCTTTTACTCCAACATCATCTTGGAGGCTAAACATAACCCTAAACTCCCTTTTTCCAATCACCCACTGCCTTCTCTGTATCCCCCCCCTTAGGCCTCCTCAATCTTCGTATCAAATGCCAAGTGCGAGGAGGTCATGGACTTCTTTTCATCTAAAATACTTAGATGATACTTAGAACATCCGCCAGGCAGCCTCATCCACTGCCCCTTGTCACCCACCACCACGCCCTCTCTGTCCCCCTCACCTTCCTCATCACCTGCTCCTACCACCATCCCCATTCTACGTTCCTTCCTCCCCATCTCTCCCTCTTCCCTCTCACCCACCATCACCTCCATGAAACCCACCACCTGCTGCCTCGCCCCTCCCCACCAACTTGCTAGTCACCCAGCTCCCCCTCCTCTGCCCACTACTGGCTGACATTATTAACCAGTCCCTCTTCTCCGGATCAGTCCCTGCCCCCCTCAAAACTGCTGTCATCAGCCCCCTCCTGACAAAACCCTCCCTAGATCCCTCAAACCCCAGCCACTACCGCCCTATTTCTAACCTGTCCTTCTTCTCAAAAGTCCTTAGAACACGTTGTTGCCAATCAACTCCGCGCGCACCTCTCCTCCCACTCCCTCTTCGAACCCCTCCAGTCCGGTTTCCACCCACAGTACAGAGAGAGAAAGTCACAAATGACATCCTCTCTATCTGTGACCAGGGCTCCCTCTGCCTCCTTGTCCTCCTGGACCTCTCCACTGCTTTTGACACAGTCGATCACGCCATCCTCCTCCACCCTTTCCTCCGTCATCCACCTCAGTGGGACCGCACTCGCCTCTTTGAGTCCTACATCACGAACTGCCAGCAGTACATCTGCACAGATGGCTTTTCCTCCCGCTCTCACCCGGTTACCTGCGGGTACCCCAAAGATCCATCCTGGGCCCCCTCCTCTTTCTGATCTACATGCTCCCTCTTGGGTATGTCATCCGCAGATGTGGGGTACACTTCCACATGTATGTGGACGACACCCAACTTTATTTTTCCACCACTCTTTGTGACCCCCAGTCCCCTGATGTTCTGTCAGCTGCCTGTCAGATCTCAGGGGCTGGATGAGTGCAAATTTCCTTCAGCTGAACGTTGACAAGACGGATGCCATACTCTTTGGCTCTCGTCAACATCTAAAATCTCACGGCTCTCACCTCCTCCACCTACCCGACCTCCCCCTAAAACTCTCCAAACCCATACGCAACCTTGGCACCAGGTTCGACCCCCAATTATCCTTCCTCCACCACATCCAGTCCCTCACCAGCACCGCTTTCTTCCACCTCCGACACATCGCCCGTCTCTGCCAATATCTCACTCCAAAAGCCGCTAAAACCCTGGTCCATCCCAGTCCATGCTTTTGTCACCTCTCGGCTGGACTACTCTAACGCCCTCCTCGCCAGTCTCCCATCCACTACCATCCATAAAATCCAGATCATTCAAAACTCTGCCGCCCGCATTCTCACCCGCACCAAACCCCTCTCCCCGATCCCCCAGTCCTGGCCCTCCCCCCACCCCAAACCCCTCTCCCCGATCCCCCCAGTCCTGGCCAGACTGCACCGGCTGCCTGTCCCAGAGAGGATCGATTTCAAGATCCTCAAACCTTGTCTTCAAATCCCTCCACTCCTCTGCACCCCCCGACCTCTCTGACTTCCTCTCTCCTCAAAACAGTGCCCGTTGCCTTCGTTGCTCCGGGTCTGGCCTCCTCCTTGTCCCCCGAGTCCTCCGCTCCACCCTCAGCGGCTGTGCCTTCAGCCACTACACACCAAGGCTCTGGAATTCCCTTCCTCACTCCCTTCGCCTCGACCCTCTCTTCCCATTTTCAGGTCTCTGCTGAAGACCTTTCTCTTTGACCGCGCCTTTGGTCACCTTCCTCCACCTCCCCCTGGCTCCTCCCCCTCTCACTGGCTCCTCCCCCTACCGCTGGCTCCTCCCCCTGGCTCGGCCCCGGGATCCGTTACTGTAATGCGCTCTGAGACGCCGTCCGGCGTGAAGGGCACTATATAAATCCAAGTTGTTGTTGTTCTTGTTGTTGGGGGAGCACTGCATTGTCAGATGTGATGTTAACCCATGGTCCCATCTGCCTGTTCAGGTAGATGGTAAAGATTCCATGCCGCTATTCGAAAAGAGAAATGAGTTTCTCTCTCCCCGTGGCCTGGCTCCGTCGTTGTTTGTGAAAAGGGCTCTTACCAAATATAAGGATTTTTGAGACCAGCCAATGTATTAATTATCATCAGGTGGAGGATGACCAGTGGGCCTTTTATTATTCCGTGCCCACAGCACGGAAACAGCCCTGGGGGTCACAGTCACTGATGACATTCTGAACATCTGTGATCAGGGCTCCCTCTGCCTCCTTGTCCTCCTCGACCTCTCTGTTGCCTTCGACACTGTCAACCACTCCATCCTCATACACCGCCTCTCCTCTTTACTCAATCTTCACGGACCAGCCCTTGCCTGGTTCGATTCCTATCTCTCTCAACGTCTCCACTTTGTTGCCTCTAACGGTTTCTCCTCCAGCCCCCGCACTGTCACATCTGGCATCCCCCAGGGCTCTGTCCTTGTCTCCTCTTTAATATCTACATGCTCCCCCTTGGTGACATCATCCGCAGACATGGGGTCAACTTCCACATGTATGTGGATGACACCCAACTCTATCTCTCTGCCTCACCCTCAACTCCAGGACCACTGTCTGTCGGACATCATGTCCTGGATGAGGGCAAATTTCCTACAGTTGAAGTGAACAAGACTGAGGCCTTCCTGATTGGCTCACACCAGCGCCTCTGCACCTCAGGCTCCGGCAGCATCAACCTCCATGATTGCACACTACAACTCACCAACTCACCAGCCAGTCAGGAACCCGGGTGTCTTGTTCGACCTTCAACTGTCTTTTCTTCCCCACATCCAAGCCATGACCCGCTCTGCCTTCCCTCACCTCCGTAACATCGCCCGACTCCGCCACTACCGCAGCTCTCAAGCCGCTGAAACTCTTGTTCATGCCTTCATCACCTCCAGGCTCGACTATACAAACGCCTGCGTGTCGGCCTTCCCAACTCCTCCCTCCACAGCTGCAAATAATCCAGAACTCTGCAGTCCGTATCCTCTCCTGCACCAAACACCGTGACCCCATCTCCCCCATTCTCGCCCGACTCCATTGGCTCCTTATCCTTCAGAGGATCCAGTTCTAGATCCTGGTCCTCACCTACAAAGCCCTCCATGGCCTCGCCCCACTCTACCTCTGTGACCTCCTAACGCCCTACCGATCTGCCTGCTCCCTCCGCTCAGCCAGCTCTGGCTGCTCCACGTCCTCTGCCCCACCATTGGTAGGAGAGCCTTTAGATCCTCTTCCCCCAACCTCTGGAATTCCATCCCCCAATCACTCCTCCTCGGCCCCTCCTTAGCCTCCTTCAAGTCCCGCCTCTTGGACCATGCCATCGGCCACCCCCCTGACCCTAGCTCGGGTCTGAAATGCTATCCAGCGCCTTGGGACGTCCTCCCAATGTGAAAGGCGCTATACAAATGTAATTTTGTTGTTGTTGTTATTAAACACCCCCCAAAGCCAGCTGAGATTGGGTGCCTGAAACTGACCACAGTCAGTGCTCCACAGTGACCAGCTCTCTATGTAACTGAAGAAACACCTCCTGACTTTTAAATTTCAGATCTACTCTAACAAACATCAGTGTCCCACTTGCTGCATTGACTGATGTCTGTACATGGGATTTTAATCATCTGTAGACTTGAACCCCTGAGTGAGAGAGTGAGGGGGCTCTTTTTTCCCCAAAAGCAGAGATGCTGTGGAGCTTGTCAACAGGGGGATGGTTTGGAGACATAAAAGAGATATGTAGTTTACATTTATTCATCTCAGGACATCTCAAAGCCCTTCGCACAGCTGAAATAATAATAATTTGTCACTCAATCCATTACTGTTTGTGGGGACGCTGCTGTGCACAATTGGCTGCCGCGTTTCGCCCACAAAACATACAGTCAATTCACTTTATAGTTTATTCTATGAAGCGTTTGAGACGTCTCGAAGACGTGATAAGGCGCTGCATCAAATGCAAGGATTAATATTTTTATTAATGGGCACCTCAACTGGGGTGGGGGCCGAGCTGAAGAGCATAGGTATGTGTGGGGCGGGGGGTGGGGGTGCAGAATGACCAAAGGTCTTGTGGTGGGGAGGGAGAGGCTGAGGCAGAGATATTTAAGTGGTCAGTGGCACTGACGCCTTGTCAGCGAGGGAATGATCTGGCCTGATATTAGCGGCTGAGGTAGCGGGGAGGAGTCTGTACTTGCTGCACACGTCTGCTCCACGGATGTCATCCTGCTCCGCAGCTCCGCCAGCGCAGCCCGCTGTCGCTGAATGACCTCTTCGTGCCGGCGACCTTTGCACTCTAACCCCAGCACTGACAGCTCAGAGGCCAGTGGCTCCTGCAGCAGAAAGACAGCATTTGTTTCATAACCAAAACCCAACAGGTGGTGAAATACCGCTCCTCACACACACACACACACACAAACCTTGCACAAGGTCACAGTGCAGTAAGATTGATTACGTACAAGAAACATTTCCTGCTGTCTGTCTTGAAATTGCCCCTTTCAACCCTAAACCTATGTCCTCTTGTTCTATGGAGAGAGGAAAGTGAGGTAACGTTTCAGGTCGATGACCTTTTGTCTTCTTTGTCAAGAAAAGCCCTGTAGCTTGTCCAATCGTTGCTCGTATCTCATTCCTCTAACATTGGGGATCATTGCTCTCCTCTGCACTGCCTCAAGGACCCTTGTGTCATCGACCTGCAAGTTAACACTCTCTCCACCAATGCTGCCTGACCTGCTGAGTGCTCCCAGCGACTTTGGGTTTGTGTTTCAGATTTCCAGCATCTGCAGTATTTTGCCTTTTGTTTCTTCTTGTTCTATTGCCTTGATACATCTTAAAGTATTGGTTGACTAATTAACTCCCATTTAGAATATTGTCTCCCCTGAGTCATCTTCTTTCAATACCAAAGAGCCCTATAACTTATCTAATCGTTGCTCATAAATAGCTCATTCCCCTAACACTGGAGATCATTGCTTTCCTGTGCACTGCCTCTAAGGCCCTTATGACATAGGACCTGAACATTCGTGGTTCTCCAGGTGTGGGATGAGCAGGTGCTCAATGTGGAATTTCCCCCGGAATTCCAAAGTTTTTTCCTCATTTTGTTGTCTCATTTAGGAGACCTTGGGAGGCGGAATCCTGGGATTGGACTCACTGGGCTCTGTGTCTCTCCTGTCCATGTCTCTGTGTGAGTACGTTCTCTGTTCCACACATTATCTATCTCTCAATGGCATTATTATCTGAGCAGAAGGTTTGTTGCTGCTTTTTAAGACTAATTCACTCAATCCCTCAGTAACCAGATTGGGAATGGAAATGGTAAAGTGGGTAATTAGAGGGATTAACATGCAGCTGGCTGAGAGTGAGCGAGCGAGCAGGCAACTGCTGTCAGTCAGCCAACATTGGGTGAGGAGCAAACACAGCATAGCAGTGAGAGGAGACCAGGTTAGCCTGAGGGACAATACCTGCAGCTCAGGCCTGTGATCCATATTCAAGACACTCCTCCTCTTCAACCGTGCCTTCGGTCATCCTCCTTCTCCCCTTCCTCTCCACCCTCCCCGATCCCAACCCCCAGCTCAAAAACACAAATTGTCTAGCACCTTGGGACATCCTCCTGACATGAAAGGTGCTATACATATGTCATTTTGTTGTTGTGAGAGCACTGGCTAATTATCCCCAACACAGAATCAATCCCCAGGCTGGGTGTGATATCCCTCAAGCCCTCTGCCTTGCCACCTCTCTCCCCTTTTTAAAATTGGGCCTGAATACCTTCCTTTTCAACCGTGCTTACCTCCCCCTCTTCCCCCCTGCCCACCTGGCTCAGTGTCAGACTCTGCCACTGTTAAGCGCTCTGAGACACTACACTGCGTGGAGGGCGCTATATAAGTGCAAATTGTTTTTGTGGGTGAGGGTGTGTGATATCCCTGAGCAAACAGACAGGTACAGTGCAAGCCTCTCTTCCCTTTTGCCACAAGGAATAACCTGTCTTTAATATTATTGTGTTATGAGCCGACCTCCCAATGTGAAAGGCGTTATATCAATGTAACATCAACATCCTTGTAACAGGCATCAAGGTTCAAAAAGTTGAACCAATGGAATCTGAGCTGGGAGGGTTGGGGGATGCTGCTCATGTGGTTGATGATATTTTTCCATTTCCTTGTATTAGTCATTCTGACAATGCAAACTTGATGTCTCGCAGCAATCAGAGCGATTACTCAGTGAGATACTGTATATTTTGGAGGAAACAGCAGCAGAAATTTTTTTTTGTACAAAACAATGCCGCACGTAGTCTAGCGATGAATGATCAATTTATTTCCAGGATTGGTGCCCAGGACAACGAAAGAAACTTCCTTCTCTTTAACAATATTAATAATAATCCTTGCATTTGATGTAGTGCCTTATCACGTCTTCGAGACGTCTCAAAGAGCTTCACAGAATATACTGTAAAGTGGATTGACTGTATATTTTGTGGGCGAAATATCCCTGTTTAATATCCCTATAATCTCCCTGTACCTCAGTATTTGTGTGAAGCTGCTTTAGGGGACTTTGTCCCTGGCTCAGTGCGTCCTGTAAATTCCGGCATTCGGCTGCCTTTTCGCCGACTGCCTGTCTCACCTCCTCCAGACTCTCCTCACGCTTCCTGCATGACATTCATGGCAAACATCATGGAATTGAGCAAAGTAAAGTACAGTCAGAGATAGAGTGACAGAGCCTGGGGTAGGCCATGAGCAGCCCCAGATAAGCTACACTGTTGAAGGGCAGCACGAATACATTGTGGGAGATGGCATAACTGAGCTGCTCTGACTTCATGCGTATTGTTATAATATTAATAATAATCCTTGCATTTGATACAGCGTGTTATCACGTCTTCGAGACGTCTCAAAGCGCTTCATAGTAGACTATATATTTTGTGGGCGAAACTCGGCACCCAATTGTGCACATCAGTGTCCCACAAATAGTCGTGGGTTGAGTGACCACACTGTTTATTTAATAATAGATGCCTGGGGGTGGGGGGTTGTGAGCAGTAGAGTTTTGGATCCTGTGATCGGGTGAGAGCTTGGAGTGACTGTCAATGAATCTATCACCCGTCTGATGACTAAACAAACGATCTTTCATTCTGTGCCTAGAACAGGAAACCACTTAACCAGCAAGTAGTATTTTTAACCAGGCAAGAGCTACAAGGAACTCAAAGAAATGATTCATTGATTAGAACCTCCTCACACATCCTTCCCCTCACCTTTCTCTGACAATAGTGTCCTAGAGTCTGTACCAGACTCTTGTAATAAATAATCAGCATCCAGGACTTCAGAAGAGACAAAATAATTTTTTTCAGGGGCAGAAATTCGATGTCATTTTATCACCAGGACTTAAAAGGCAGAAAGAAAGGGGACGGGGTGAGATGGAGGGGTAGAGACTAATAGAGAGGGGTTGTAGTCAAAAGAGTTAATAGCTGTGATAGGCCATTGGAGACACATTTGCGGTGGATATTATGAGCTACAATTTCCTCCTTACACTGCAAATGTACTAGTTTCAGTCTCAGTTCCTGCTATTCAACTCTCTCCCTCAACCAACCCCTTTGTCTTGCCTCTCCCCCCGTCAGTCTCCATCTCGCTCTCTCTGACTCAGTCTCTACTCCTCTCTCTCGCCCCCCACTTCATCAATCTCTACCTCTCCATCTTCCCCACCACCCCCATTAATCTCTTCCTCCCTCCCTTGCCTCCTTCAAAGCACGTCTCAAGACCCTCCTCTTCGCCCACGTCTTTGGTCACCCTCCCTGCCATCCACCCCTCCTGATAGGAAGGAAGCAGTGCTAGATCTGGTTCTGGGGAATGAAGTAGGGCAAGTGGAGCAGGTTTTAGTGGGAGAGCATCTGGGCAATAGTGATCATAACATTATTAGATTCAGATGCATATGGAAAGAGACAAGGAACCATCTAAGGTGAAGATATTCAACTGGAAGAGGGCAAATTTCAGTGAGTTAAAAAGGGACAGAGCCAAGATGGACTGGAAAGAAAGATTGGCAGATGAAACAACTAAAGAGCAGTGGGAAGTCTTCAAGGATGAGATAGCTCGGGGACAGAAAAAATATATTCCAAAAGAGAAAAGTGGGGCATCCAAACCTCCCTGGATGACGAAGGTAATTGTATCTAAAATGAAGCAGAAAAAAGAGGCGTTGACAAATGTCAAACCCAAGACACAGAAGACAACCAAATAGAATATAGGAAGTGCAGAAGAGGTTTGAAAAAGGAAATAAGAGGGGCAAAAAGATTATACAAGAAAGGGTTAGCGGGTAACACTAAAGGGAATTCTAAAATATTTTACAAGCATATCAAGAAAAAAAGGCTAGTCAAAGGTAGGGTGGGGCCAATTAAGGACCAAGAGGGAAATCTTATTGTGGAAGCAGAGGGCAATGGCTGATGTGCTGAATGAGTACTTTGCATCTGTCTTCACAAAAGAAGTGGATGCACCAAATGCCGTAGTATCGGAGGAAAGGGCAGAGGAAATGGATAGGATAAGTATAAACAGAGAGGAAGTACTGAAAAGGTTGACTGCGCTGAAGGTGATAAGTCGCCCGGTCCGGACGGGATGCAGCCTATGGGAGGCACGAGTACAAATAGCGGAGGCTTTGGCTACAATTTTTCAATCTTCGTTGGACACAGGAGTGGTGCCCGAGGACTGGAGAGTGGCCAATGTGACTCCCTGTACAAAAAGGGACAGAAGGACAAACCTGGGAACAACAGGCCAATCAGTAGTGGGGAAACTCCTGGAGACTATAATCCGGGACAGAATAAATCTTCACTTAGAAGAATATGGGTTAATTAGGGACAGCCGCACGGATTTGTTAAAGGCAAATCTTGTCTAACAAATCTAATAGAATTTTTTGATGAGGTAACGGAGAGGGTGGATAAAGGTAGTGCAGTTGATGTAGTTTATATGGACTTTCAAAAGGCATTTGACAAAGTGCCACATGAAAGACTTGTAAGAAAGATAGAAGCCCATGGTATAAAAGGGACAGTGGCAGCAGATCCAGAACTCACTGGGAGACAGAAAGCAGAGAGTTGTGGTGAACAGCTGCTTTTCTGACTGGAGGGAAGTTTACAGTGGTGTCCCCCAGGAATCGGTATTAGGACCACTGCTCTTCTTAATATACATAAATGATCTGGACTTGGGTATAGCAAGTACCATCTCCAAGTTTGTGGACGACACAAAGTTAGGGAGGGGGTAAACAGCGAGAAGGATAGGAGCCGACTGCAGGAAGACATAGACAGAATGGTACAATGGGCGACACATGGCAGATGAGTTTCAATGTGGAGAAATGTGAGGCAATGCATTTTGGTAGAAAGAATGAGGGGAGCAATATAGGCGGTAATACAATCTTAAGGGGGGGTGAAGGAACAGAGAGACCTGGGGGTGCAGGTAAATGAATCCTTGAAGGTGGCAGGACAGGTAGATACAGCTGTAAAAAGGGCATATGGGATACTGGGCTTTATAAATAGGGGCATAGAGTACAAGAGTCAGGAGGTTATCATTAACCGATACAAAACACTGGTTAGGCCTCAGTTAGAATACTGCGCCCAGTTCTGGGCACTGCACTATAGGAAGGATGTTAAGGCATTGGAAAGGGCACAGAGGAGATTTACGAGGATGGACCAGGAATGAGGGATCGTGATGATGATGAAAGGCCTGAGAGGCCGGGATTATTCTCATTGGAGCAGAGAAGGTTACGAGGACCTAATAGAGGGCTTCAAAATCATGAGGGGATTTGATAGGTTGGAAAGAGAAAAACTGTTCCCACTGGTGGGTGTGTCGGTGACTCGAGGTCACAGATTCAAAATAGTCTCTAAACGAAGCAGAGGGGAGAGAAGAAATGTTTTCACGCAGCGAGTTGTTCGAATCTGGAACGCATTGCCTGAAAGGGCAGTCGAGGCCGATTCGATGACAACTTTTAAAAACGCGGTGGACGGGTATTTGAGGAGGACAGGTTTGCAGGTTATGGGGAAAGGGCCGGGGAGTGGGATTGACATTAATTGCTCTATTCAAAGAGCCGCACAGACTCGATGGGCCGAATGGCCTCTTTTTGTGCTGTACGATTCTATGATCCCAACCACAGGTTTGGATCCAATTCCCTGACGGTCCATCACCTTGGGACGTGCTCCCGACGTGAAAGGCGCTGTGTAAATGTAAGTTATTGTTGTGATTGTTTGTACCTCAGCCGCATGTTGACCTCCTGGAGTTCCTGCTCCTTCTCCCCCAGCAGCCGGGCAGTGCGGGCCAGCTGTTTGCGCAGGGAGCTGAGCGCCTGGGCCTGAAGCTCACTCAGTCGTCGCTGCTCCTCCAGCTCCTCCTTCTGCTTCTCACTCAGCTCACCTGCCAATACAGCACAATGTAACATGACATTTACATGGAGCCTTTCACATCGAGAGGACATACCAAGGCGCTGGGCAGTCGGGGATTTACACCCGAGCTGGGGGGGGGGCTGGGATCAGGGAGGGTGGAGGGCAGTGAGAGTGGGGGTAGAGAGGGTGGCCGAAGGCGCGGTCAAACAGGAGGATCTTAAGACGTGCCTTGACATTGTGTAGCCACGGACACCATACCTGCCAGGTCTGACATACTGGCGTTCGCTGTCACGAGGAGCCGTCTCAGCCCCTCGATCACATCCTGCTGTGTCCGGAGACGGTCCCCAGCCTCAGCCAACTCCATCCTGGTCACACACACAGGCCAGCGTGTCACACACACACACACACACAGGCCAGCGTGTCACACACACACACAGGCCAGCGTGTCACACACACACACACACACACAGGCCAGCGTGTCACACACACACACACACAGGCCAGCGTGTCACACACACACACACACAGGCCAGCGTGTCACACACACACACAGGCCAGCGTGTCACACACACACACACACACAGGCCAGCGTGTCACACACACACACACACACACAGGCCAGCGTGTCACACACACACACACACAGGCCAGCGTGTCACACACACACACACACACACAGGCCTGCGTGTCACACACACACACACACACACACAGGCCAGCGTGTCACACACACACAGCCTTGGCCTGGACTCGCCTGGTCTTCTCCTCCAGACTGTGCTTACACGGTTCCTCCACCTCCTCCGCGCTGCTCGGCATCTGATCCACGCGGTTCTGAGGAGGCAGCAATATACATTTGGTCCAACAGGATGGGGGCAGGGATTGGGGAGCGGGGAAGGAAGCTGTGGAGGAGTTGCATTTTCTTTTCTAACATGTAATCCAGAAGTTGTCCAAGAGGAGCCTTTTGTGGTGATCAGCCAGTGACTGACACACACGGAAACCCATCACCATGTTTAAGAGTATTCAAACCAAACTGAGAATTCCAGGTATGATTTCCACTTGTCTGGAATGGAATGCGGACTCTCTTCCTGGAGGGTTACATCTTACTTACCCAATTTCTGAATGTTTAGGGACTGATGTTAGTGTAGGGATTGAAAGCTTGGCCACTGATGGTGGTGCAAAAGGTAGGAAACCACAATTATCTGAGCAGAGGAGTTGGGTAGAGTAAGAGACCACAGAGCAAGGGGAGAGGTAAGGGTGTGTAGGGATTTCTGGGTGAGGCTGTGATATCAGTGAATGTGTTGGGGCAGTGAGCCAGTGGGGGCTGACAATGAGGTCCACGAAAGTGCTCTTCCCTCCCCTGTGACCTACCTCTGGCTCTGAATATCTGAATACAAAAGCTAATGCTACCCCTATCGTCCTTACCTGCTGCTCCACACTCTCACACTGTTCCCCCAAGAGACTCACACATCCTGCAATCCCTGCACCGGACAAAGATAAGACTATCAGCCTATGATGGGGGCTGGAGGGGAAATCGAGAGTCAGACATACTCGTTCCCCCACCCCCAGTCTCTCTCTCCCTCCAACCCAATCTCTATCCACCTGTCCTGCTGCCTTTAAAGACCTTTGTAGGTTACAAAATTGTTAAGGAACGGATCAAATTTATAGCAACGAATAAGAGAGGCTTATGATGGGTCGCATTGGGGATAGTTTAGGCGGAAAGCTCAGAAAGGGGCAGGATGGTGGCCACCAGGCTGGCCTGTCTGGTGGCCGCCCAGAAGGACCATCCAGGCGATTGCCATCCTGTCCTATGGACTGTCAAAACGCAGAGAGTGAGGCCACACACAGCTGGTCCTGGGAGCCACTGGTTTAACCTCACACTTAACAGACATGCGAGAAGGATAAATAGTCAGGCTGGAGTAGCGAGCCCTGTGAGCTGCTATCTTACCTCCCGCAGGAAGAGTTTTAACGCGAGGAGGAGGAGATTTTGAGACGTTTTATATGGTGAGGAGTGGATGCAGTGTAAATAGTTTTTGAAGCTTATTTGAGTTATTAGAGTTGTTGAACAGTGTACAGTGTGAAAGATATAGATGGGTATAAACGATTTTAAGCAACATAATTCAATAGAATTAATAGAATTCAATGGAATTAATATCATTTAAAAGTATCACTAAAGCTTAAGGAGTAATTAAAGAAATTATATATTGTATGCAAAAGATTCGGCATCAAAACCCCAGCCTCTCACCCCGCCCCGAGCCCGTGCCCTGTTGTCCAGAATCCTGGAGTTTCTGCAGTTGCCAAGCCAACTTGCTGTCCAGAATGGCCACAAAAGCGCTGTGAAGGGGTTGGAGGAAAGGCTCCAGCTCCAGTTCCCGTAGCATCCGAATCTTATTGTTCACAGTCCCCTCACCATGGCTCACGGCACCCCCGCACTGAGCCATCTGCAGTCCTACCTGCCGCAAAGACAGCTCTGGTTTAGTGGTCAACAGTGACTTAGGCAGCGGAGAGATCAAGAAGGAAGAGGAGAGAGAGAGCCCTGGTCAAAAAATAGATATAATATCTTTGAAACTTTCCTTAGAACAGGGACCCTAAGAAGGGTGGTTGAGGCCAGGACACTGGGGCTCATTTAAAGAGCAGTTGGATGCTGTGATGGGGAGACAGCAGGGATGGGATGTTCTGGAGGGATGAGATCGGATGGGCCGAAAAGGCTTCTTCATCCAGAACTGATCCTGTAACCTGGTCACTGTCAAGGTCACCACCTTCTTGTGCAACTCAAGGAAGTGATGTTGGCGGCGACCTGATGACCCAGAAGTCGGCCATGTTTGTTTTATCCTGGGACCCGTCCATCAGGCGCTGCGTGAATCTGACTTGCACTCATCGGAATCTGACTTGCACTCATCCAAAAAGGCTCCATCTCTATGGCTCCCAGAATTCTGTCTGTGTAGCACCTGGGACCTTACCTGGCTCTCCTCTAGTGCACTCCTCAGCCGTTCCACACTGGTGTTCCTCTCCTCCTGCTCCCGGCATTCCAGCTCCTCAAGTTCCCGTCGTTCCCGCCCTTCACGTTTCCGATCCTCACGTTCCTGTTCCTCATATTCCTGTCGTTCCCAGCATTCCCGCTCCTCACGTTCCTGGCCTTCACACTCCTCACACTCCCGCTGATGCCGAATCTGCTGCAGCGCCTCCTGGAACTCGGATCTCTCGGCGATGATCTGCTTCATCTGCTCGAGGACCTGCGCACGGAACAGTCACAACTCTCGCTCACAACATGTCCCAGCAACACAAGGGGACATCACACTGCAGTGTCAGCCCGGCTTAGGTGTGTTTGTGTCAGCCCGGCTCAGTGCGTGTGTCAGCCTGGCTCAGTCGTACTCTTGTCTCTGAATCAGACGGTTGTCAAGTGTGATTGACCCAAAGTGAACATGTGGCACAATTCTCTCTCTAACAAGCACCAGGCTGTGTTGAAATGTTAAAAATAATAATAATAATAATCCTTGCATTTGATATAGCGCTTTTCACGTCGGGAGGACGTCCCAAAGCGCTTCACAGAACACACTGTAAAGTGAATTGACTGTATATTTGTGGGCGAACGCGGCAGCCAATTGCACACAGCAATGTCCCATAAACAGTCATGGACTGAAAATGACCAATTTATTATTGTTTTTGGTTTTGGAGGGATTATTATTAGGCTCTGTGTGGAGTAAGGAAACTTGCCCAAGGTTTCGCCCTCTGCCTGGAATTGAACTCAGGTCTCTCACTTGCAAAGCGAGTGCTCTAACCACTGAGCTACAGCACTGCACAAAATAGCATAAGAGCGCCGTGCAGTGGTGCAAGAAGGTAACTGTACAATTTTTAATAATCGTAGCGTTTGACACAGCGCCTTATCACATTGTTGAGACATCTCGAAAGGCTTCACAGGATTTATTGTGTGTTTTGTGGGCGAACGCAACAGCCAATTTGTGCACAGCAATGTCCCCACAAATAGCCACGGAGTGAGTGATCAGTTTCATTTGAGGGATTATTGGCCAGGAAACCCAGAGAGAGAAATTCCTTTCTCTTTTCAATTAATAGTTCCACGGGATCTTCATCATCCTCCTGAACAGACACAGATGGGACCTTGGTTTGACATCTCATTTGAAGGACGGCACTTCTTACAATGCCGCGCTCCCCCGGGACTGCACTGCATGACCTTGCTCCTTTCTTCCTCTGTGACCTGCTAACCCCACATCAACCTGTCCGCTCCCTCGGCTCAGCAGGCTCCGGCCTGCTCCAAGTCCCCCGCACCGGCCCGCCCCACTGTCAGGGGTCGAGCCTTCAGTCTTTCTGGCACCATACTTTGGAACTCCATCCCACAGTCCCTTTGGCTCGTTCCCTCGCCTTGCCTCCTTCAAGGCACGTCTCAATACCCTCCTCTTTGACCTCCTACCTCACCATCCCTGATCCCAAACCCCTACTCAGGTCCAAATCCCTGACTGTCCAGCACCTTGGAACGTCCTCCTGACGTGAAAGGCGCAATACAAATATAATATTGTATTGGACGGTCAGTGTGGACTGTGAGCTCAAGGTCCTAATGTGGGATTCCACAACCAACTGACTCAGATCACGTACATAGAATTGTAGAATGGGTAACAGCACAGAAACCCGATCAGATAGCCCAACTAGTTGGTGCGTGTTCAGACTCCGCGAGTCCAACCCCCTCCTATTCCCTTCATGTTTGCAACAAACTTCCTTTAAAATATTTTGGTGCTTTTTGCTTCAACCACAGCTTCCGTCAGTGAGTTCCACATTCTCACCTCCCTCTGTGTGAACAAGTTCCCCCTCAACTTTTAGATCTGCTGTTTCTGCTTTTTGAACTACTGTATGATTTCAGGTTCATAGAATCATGCATATCATAGAATCATAGCCACAAAAGGAGGCCATTCAGCCAATTGTGTCTGTGCCAGCTATTTGAAAAAAGGTATCCAATTCAATCTGACTCCCCCGCTTTCTCCCCATAGCCCTTCAAACTTGTCCTCCCCAGATTGGTGAACTTCTATTGCGTTCTGTGTGTAAACCATGTGTAAATGTGCAAGTGTTGCAGTGTGAAGAACTGTAGTCTGTCTTGATATTGCCCTCTGTTTGCCTAGCAGTAAGTAGAAACTCGCTTGCTATTCGACTGGCAAATCGGTTTCCGGGGGTACTGATTCTTTCAGGAAAGAATAATAATTTGGTCGAACAATCCATGACTGTTTGTGGGACACTGGGTGCAATTGGGTGATACTTGCCTCCTTCAAGACATGTCTCAAGACCCTCCTCTTCAACCGAGCCTCTAGTCCGGTCTCTAGTCTGATTCTCAAATCTGGTGGGGCCACAGTGCTCCAGGGCACTGCTGATGAAAGCCCAGCCAGGCTTACTGGCCAATTAATGGGACAACTGGAAGGGTGAGTGAATCCTCTCACTATTCCAGAATTTGAGCCATTATCACACAATAATTTAGTGACAAGAACCTACCTGTTGATCCGTGAGCAACTCTCGAGGAGCTGGGACTCCAGGGGCACAGTACGTGGTCTGGATGATCCGACTTCGGAATCTCTCCAGCTGTGGGGCGGGAACAGAGAGAGCAGCGGGAGATGAGTGAGGCTCCGAAACCCTTGAGCTCAGCTAGTGAGGTGAAGGCTGAGAATTGAGACGTCTCAAGGAATGGGAATGACCTCACTTGCCACCGGCTCTTCCCTCCAGGGACAGAGATGGATTAATAATAATAATAATCCTTGCATTTGATACAGCGCCTTATCCTGTTTTCGATGTCTTAAAGCACTTCACAGACTAAACTGTGATGTGAATTGACTGTATGTTTTGTGGATGAAATGCAGCAGCCAATTGCACACAGCAGTACTCAAAGTGCTTCACTGTGAAGTGTAGTGACAGTGTGTTTTGTGGGGGGTATGTCACGGGATTGGTTCCATCCTGGAGACATGCGACAGTCACGGTGAAGCCAAGATTCGGTTTGAAGCTCGATGACGAGCCAGCCAGCTTCCTGCAACTATTTCAGATTTTTGGTCAATAAATAACGATGGGTTTGCATCCCAGCAAGTGACCTATGCCCCACAAAACACACAGTCACTACACTTTACAGTGAATCCTGTGAAGCGCTTTGAGACGTCTCGAAGACGTGATAAGGCACTGTCAAATGCAAAGATTATTATTATATCTTATTACAGGGTCCTACTGTACCCGGGAAGTTAGGATATTGTGGGACCTGAACAAAGGCACTGACACAGGTGCGCGGGGTAGACAGAGAGTTCCCCTTCCCCCCACCTTCTCTCCCCGACTGACACCACAGTTCTCTGCCATGGTGCTGGGGAGATTCGCTCAAGTGGGATAACAGCTAACTGCCCTCCGACTACCCGCTCCCTGCCCACTCTCTGCTCTCTGACTGCCCGTTCCCTGCCCACTCTCTGCCCTCCGACTGCCCACTCTTTGCCCACTCTCTGCCCTCTGACTGCCCGCTCCCTGCCCCCTCATGCCTCTGACTGCCCATTCTTTGCGCCCTCTCTGCTCTCTGACTGCCCGCTCTTTGCCCACTCTCTGCCCTCTGACTGCCCACTCTTTGCCCAGTCTGCCCTGACTGCCCGCTCCCTGCCCACTTTCTGCCCTCTGACTGCCCGCTCCCTGCCCACTTTCTGCCCTCTGACTGCCCACTCTTTGCCCACTCTCTGCTCTCTGACTGCCCACTCTTTGCCCATTCTCTGCTCTCTGACTGCCCACTCTTTGCCCACTCTCTGCTCTCTGACTGCCCGCTCCCTGTCTGCTGCCTGCGCTCACCCTGGCCTGGGTTTGCTGCAGTTGAACTCTGAGCAGTCGCTCCCCCCGCTCTGTGGCCTGTAGCTGCTGGCGGCTCGTCACCAGTTCCTGTCGCTGCCACTCCTGAATCTGAAATAAATAGCAAAGTGCAATGTTAATTATCACACAGACAGAAAGCGCAGTCTGAAACCTATAATAATCCTTGCATTTGATACGGTGCCTTAGCACGTCTTCGAGACGTTTTAAAGCGCTTCATAGAATATACTGTAAAGTGTAGTGACTATATATTTTGTGGGCAAAACACCCCCTCCGGCTTTGCTTGAGAGCAAGCTTTGGGGTTGGGGTGGGGAGGAGGTGGGTGGGGGGGGGTGGGCTCAGCACTGATAGCATTGGCCTGTGCAGACCCTCACTCCCCCCACCAAGCCACTGTGCAGTCTTGTTCCACTCCCAACTGTCCTTCAATCATCTGGGCTCTCACTCGCTCGACTACGCCTCAGGCACTGGCACAGACGAGGCCTCGGTTTAACATCTCGTCTGAAGATATGGCACCTCTGACAATGCAGCGCTGTGTTGGGGCTGTCATCTTAGATTATATGAGTTCCAAGAACTTTCTGCCCCTTGAGCCTTTGGTCACCCTCCTACCCCTGCCCTCCCCACCCTCCCCACCAACCACCAGCTCGGGTGAGGATTCCTGATTGTCCAGGGCCTTGGGAGTCCTGAAGTGAAAGGGGCTGTGTAAATGTATTTTGTTGTGGTTGCTCGACACTGGTCCTTAAGTTAAGGGCAGGTGATATTCAGGCCTTTGTTTACCCGCTTCTCCTCAGCTCGCAAGGTGTTGACACTCTCCAGCTCTCCACGGTAAACCTGCACCTCAGCCTTCAGCTCCTCCACTGTCTGAGAGACGTAACACAGTTACCAGGTTAGTGATCTTCAATAGTTTGATTCACTGCTACCCTTCTTCTCTTTCTCTCTCTTCGCTGTCTCCCTCCCCACCCCCCACCCCCCCACCTCTTCCCCTCCCTATCCTTCACTCTCAAGATTGATTGTACAACCATAGAATGTTATATTTGTTCATCGGTCTGTGATGGGGCAGGTGGTAGGGGTAGTGGGTGGTGGGTAGAGGGCAGTGAGCAGGGGGTAGGGACTGTGGGTAGGGGATAGTGTGAGGAGAGAAGTAAACAGGGGGCAGTGGGTAGGGTGTGTGGGCAGGGGACAGTGAGGTTGGGATCAGACGCTCCAACTGGGGATTCTCGCCTGTTCCTGACTCACATGTCTGAGTGTCACCAACTCTGATTCTCTGACCTTCACCTCATCGTTGATCTTCCGCGATTCCTTCATTCTGGAAAACTGAAACAGAAATTATTCCTCAAGCCGGGAAGCACGTGGAAACCCAGCACCGTGATCCCCCGTCTCCAAACCAAAGTCTCCAAACCTCCTACGCTTCCACCTATTTGCAACAACACGTTCCAGAACTTTAGCTGGGTTGGAAAGGCTGGGGGTTTTAACCACTTGTCAGAAGTTTTTCAGGAAGATATCCACGCCCAGAATAGCAAAAGCCTTGTAAACTGTTAATATTTGGCTCCTGGAATTTCAAGGTAATCATGTCTGTCATCAACGTGTTGTGAAGTGACTGAACACAACTCATCCAATCCACCCTACCCCAACAAGCTGTTTGCTTTCAGACAGTTTTTTTTCTTTGTCTCCTCCCCCACACACACACACACACCCCGCACTCCCACCCCCACCGCGCGGAGTTCTTGGTACCTTGGCAGACATGGCTGCCAGCTGACTGTCCTTCTCACTCAACTTTCTCCGCAGTGTCTCAGCCTCAGAGATTGCCCGCTGGACTTGCTGTTGCCGAGCAGCGAGATCTCTCTGGAGGCTGGTCACCAGCCCTGGGTATGGATGACAGACAAAGTCACATTACACACATTCACTCACAGTCAGCTCCTATGTCAAACTGCAGGTCACGGTGAAAGATCTGGGAAGTACATTTCTAGATGTGCAAGCGCTCTGGAATGTTGCCCGTTGCGAGGGGCATTATATAAATACAAGTTGTTGTAGTTGTTGGAATAGAGCCGAAGGAGCGAGTTGGAGGGCCTTCTGTTTAGCATCCAGAGCACGGAGGCAGATAGGCTGAAGGCCGATGATGGGGTGGACAATTTGGTTTGAGGAAGTCACACAGGTCAGGTGGGGGCAAAACCATGGAAGGAATTGAAGGCCAGAACGAGGATCTTGAATCAATCCCCTGGAAAAACGGGAGCCAGTGGAGCTGAGTGAGCACATGGGAAGTGACAGACTTGTGGAGCCTGGTGAAGGACACAAGCAACAGCCTGTGCAGGGAAGAACAGGGAAGAGCCCAGCGAACAGACTCCAGGCTTGGTGTGGTCAAGCCTGGACATGACGAAAGCATGGGTGAGGGTCTCGGTGACCCGAGGGGAGAGGTAGTACAGATTCACCTGTCATTGACATATCACACCCCTGTCAAACCTGAGGTCATGTTATTGTTTCTCTTGAGGTTTTTGGTTTCGTTTCTGAGCTGGATAATCTCCAGGTCTTTCTCCTTCAGGGAGTGAATCAAAATCTCATTCGATCCCTTTTCAAAATTGTTGATCTGAAAGAGTGAACCGAGTCAGTGAAGCAATGAGCAATCACAGAGTCATTGATCTGCAAGTCAATGAATCGCCGAATCAATGAGTCACCAAGTCATCGAATCACCAAGTCACAGAATCACTGAGTCACTGAGTTATCAAGATACCAAATCACTGAGTCACTGAATCACTGAAACATCAAATCACTGAGTCAAGTCACCAAATCATTGAGACTTGAATCATGAGGTCCACCATGTGACCAAGTCACCAAGTCATTGAGTCACTGAATCACTGAAACACCAAGTCACCAAGATATGAGGCACACTTTCACTGTATGGATATTTGTGACGAGCAAAAGGTGAATGAGTGAGGACAGAGCTGGTGGCGCCTTCAATCTCTTTTGGTCTCAGTTATAAATGAATGATTATATGGGGTGAGGGTCACTGCCGTGTGACTGAGCAAACTGCTGTGTGAATCACTGTGTGAGTCGCTGAGTGGTTCTGTGTATGTGAGTCGCTGAGTGGTTGTGTGTGTGTGTCGCTGAGTCGTGTGTGTGTGTGAGTCGCTGAGTGGTTTTGTGTGTGTGAGTCGCTGAGTGGTTGTGTGTGTGTGAGTCGTGTGTGTGTGTGTGAGTCGTGTGTGTGTGTGAGTCGCTGAGTGGTTGTGTGTGTGTGAGTCGCTGAGTGGTTGTGTGTGTGTGTGAGTCGCTGAGTCGTGTGTGTGTGTGAGTTGCTGAGTGGTTGTGTGTGTGTGAGACGCTGTGTGACCTTGTGAATCACTGCAAGTGTCACTGTGTGACTGGGGAATGGCTGTCCCATAGTCAGGGCAAAAGGTTGGTATTTTTTTTGTGGGGGGTCAACCGGGTGTCTGACATATGCGGAAACCCATGACTGTGTTTCAGAGTATCCAAACCAAGCTGAGAATTCCATGCATCCCAACTGCACAAGGAAAACTCAGATAGATTGTTGGAATGGAACACGTACTCTCTCCCTGGAAGGACATCCTGTTTACCTAATTCTGGAAAGTATTAGGTGCAGCTTGGTGTGATTCAAGGCTTGGGCCCCCAGAGTTGGGGTAACCGCCGGAGTCTAACCAGCTAAAACCACATAATTAGCCATTGATGTTGCTGCCTGGCAAGCTTTCCCACTGCTTGTCCAGCTAGGACCACCCTACCCGTTAAGAGCTTTGGTTTGCAGGGTTAACAGGATGACTCCTGTTCCCAGTGACTGGTCTGCCCTTCCAGGACCTGACGATGAGCCAGGCTGTGCTGTCATCAGCAGTGCTGAAGGTTGGTGCAATAACTGAGGCAATTGTGAAACTCAGGAAGTTCTTGTCTGGTTAATGAGCCTCGAAACAGGCTCCAGCAGGAGCTCACTGACAGCCACACCCACAGAGCCCTGCCCAGCCCTGCTCCGCAAAGCAACTCTGCAGCTCATTCATTGCCCAACGGGAGAGGGCACACGCCTATGTGAGCGCGTGTATGGCTGTGTGTGTGTGTCTGTATGTGTGCGCTTTTTGTGTGTGTGTGCCTGTGCACGTTTGTGGCTGTGTGTGTGTGTCTATATGTATTCATGTGTGTGTGTGGCTTTAGGCATGTGTCTAAATGTCTGTGTGTTTGTGTCTGTATATGTGTGTGTGTGGCATTGTGTATATGTGTATGTGTGAGGGGAGGGCCGGGGGGGAAGGTGGTTGGAGAATCTGTCCATCCTTCTAGTGACAAGAGAGAATGCTTGTGAGATACACATGTCAGATACATGTGTTAGAGTACACATGACAGACACCTTTCACGTCAGATGATCCTCCTGATATGAAAGGCGCTATACGAATGTAATTTATTGTTGTTATCTGTTGGTACCTGTTCTTTCAGAGCTTCAATTTCCGTTGTCTTGGCCTCGATGTCACAGCCAAGGGTCAGAAGTTTCTGGCTGATCTCCAGGTTGTGCTGGCTGCTGTCTGTCCCTGTGTGTGTGGCCGCCTGGCGCAGTGACTCCATTTCATTCCTCAGCTGGGCCATGGTGGAGTCTTTACGCTTGGACTCGCTTTCAAACTCACACAGTCGTTTGATCTCATCTCCCATCCTCATGATCAGCTGCTCCTAACCCCACACAGCACAGCAGTCAGCCGCACTGCGCACAGTCAGCCCAGAATAATAATATATAATAATCCTTGCATTTGATATGGTGCCTATCACGTCTTTGAGACGTCTCAAAGAATACGGGAACACACAAACATAGGAACCAGCAAACCATGATCTCATACAACAACAACAACAACAAGATTTCATTTACATCGGGAGGACGTCCCAAAGCGCTGGACAGTTGAGTCGGGACCCGAGCATTGGGAGGATATGGTCAGGGTGAAGGGAGGGAAGGGAGGGAGCGAGGAGGGGGTAGGGAGTCGAGAGGGGAGCTGAAGGCTGAAGGTCAAAGAAAAAGTTCTTGAGACCGGCCTTGAAGGAGGAAAGGGAGGAAGCGGCGAAGGCACTGGGGATGGAGTTCCAGAGCCTCGGGGCTGAGAGGCTGAAGGCCACCGATGGTAGGGGGGTTGGGGCGGGGGATGTGGAGCAGACCGGAGCCAGAGGAACGGAGGGTACGGGCAGGTAGGTAGGGGGATAGTAGGTCGGAGAGGTAGGAAGGCCTACTCCTGTTTGGAGTATGGCTGAATGGCCTACTCCTGTTTCTTTGTTTCTATGTAACAGGAACGCAAAACACACAAACATACAGGAATGGACAAACACGGGAACACACAAGCTTGAGAACAGGAACAGAAGGTGAAACTATAACATTTTGTTGTATGTTATAATCATCGTTGAAGTGAATCTCTGCTGCTTGTGATGTCTGTCCTGGTCTGATCTGATCTGTCCTGGTCTGGTCTGTCTGTCTGTCTGTCTGTCTGTCTCCTGACTGGAGTCTCTTAACCTCAGCTCCACGCAGCCTCCCCTCAAAGCTAACTGTGACTGTCAGGTGTTATTGTGGTGACTAGTCACAGGCCGGCCTTGCAGGCCTCTGTGTAACGCCTCACCTTCTCCTGCTGGAGATATTGCCCAGACTGTCCAGGGGGCGTGGGAACGCTGTCTCCCACAGCCTGACACCCGGCTGGAGGATCTGTCCATCCCCCTAGTGACGAGAGAGAACGCGTGTGAGATACACATGGTAAAGTACACATGTCAAATACATGTGTTAGAGTACGCGTGTCAGGTACATGTGTTAGAGTACGCGTGTCAGATACATGTGTTACAGTACGCGTGTCAGATACATGTGTTAGAGTACGCGTGTCAGATACACGTGTTAGAGTATGCGTGTCAGTTACACGTGTTAGAGTACACGTGTCAGGTACATGTGTTAGAGTACGCGTGTCAGGTACATGTGTTAGAGTACGCGTGTCAGATACACGTGTTAGAGTACGCGTGTCAGATACAGGTGTTAGAGTACGCGTGTCAGGTACATGTGTTAAGAGTACGCGTGTCAGGTACACATGTTAAGAGTACGCGTGTCAGATACACGTGTTAAGAGTACGCGTGTCAGGTACACGTGTTAAGAGTACGCGTGTCAGTTACACGTGTTAGAGTACACGTGTCAGGTACATGTGTTAGAGTACGCGTGTCAGATACATGTGTTAGAGTACGCGTGTCAGATACACGTGTTAGAGTACGCGTGTCAGATACAGGTGTTAGAGTACGCGTGTCAGGTACATGTGTTAGAGTACGCGTGTCAGATGCACGTGTTAAGAGTACGCGTGTCAGGTACACGTGTTAAGAGTACGCGTGTCAGATACACGTGTTAAGAGTACGCGTGTCAGGTACACGTGTTAAGAGTACGCGTGTCAGTTACACGTGTTAGAGTACGCGTGTCAGGTACATGTGTTAGAGTACGCGTGTCAGATACATGTGTTAGAGTACGCGTGTCAGATACACGTGTTAGAGTACGCGTGTCAGATACAGGTGTTAGAGTACGCGTGTCAGATACAGGTGTTAGAGTACGCGTGTCAGGTACATGTGTTAGAGTACGCGTGTCAGGTACACGTGTTAAGAGTACGCGTGTCAGGTACACGTGTTAAGAGTACGCGTGTCAGATACACGTGTTAAGAGTACGCGTGTCAGGTACACGTGTTAAGAGTACGCGTGTCAGTTACACGTGTTAGAGTACGCGTGTCAGGTACATGTGTTAGAGTACGCGTGTCAGATACATGTGTTAGAGTACGCGTGTCAGATACACGTGTTAGAGTACGCGTGTCAGATACAGGTGTTAGAGTACGCGTGTCAGATACAGGTGTTAGAGTACGCGTGTCAGGTACATGTGTTAGAGTACGCGTGTCAGGTACACGTGTTAAGAGTACGCGTGTCAGGTACACGTGTTAAGAGTACGCGTGTCAGGTACACGTGTTAAGAGTACGCGTGTCAGATACACGTGTTAAGAGTACGCGTGTCAGGTACACGTGTTAAGAGTACGCGTGTCAGTTACACGTGTTAGAGTACGCGTGTCAGGTACATGTGTTAGAGTACGCGTGTCAGATACATGTGTTAGAGTACGCGTGTCAGTTACACGTGTTAGAGTACGCGTGTCAGGTACATGTGTTAGAGTACGCGTGTCAGATACATGTGTTAGAGTACGCGTGTCAGATACACGTGTTAGAGTACGCGTGTCAGATACAGGTGTTAGAGTACGCGTGTCAGATACAGGTGTTAGAGTACGCGTGTCAGGTACATGTGTTAGAGTACGCGTGTCAGGTACAGGTGTTAGAGTACGCGTGTCAGGTACACGTGTTAAGAGTACGCGTGTCAGGTACACGTGTTAAGAGTACGCGTGTCAGATATATATTTACTGCTGGTAAACAGAGGTGTGTGGAGTCAGGATACTTGCCCAACGTTTTGGTCGCCCGGGAGTTGAACCCGAGTCCTTTCGCTTGTGAGGCGAGTGCTGTAACCACTGAGCTACAGGAATGCCCTGTGCCATGGCTCCCGGCAGCCGGTGACTGTTTCGGTGCTGGGATCCTGTGTAGCTCTACGTCTGATCCCGGTTTCCAGGTGAACAGTGAGTGAGACCCACCGTGTGTGGCCACAGGTAGCTGAGGGTGGGTGTCGGTGGAGAGACGTTCAGATGCCCGTGCGTTGCTGCCGCTGGTCGCTCGCTGTCTGGGAGGAGGTCGGGGGAACGTCCTGCTGCTCCCGAGGATCCAGCCACTGCTCATGATGGAGGGGCTGAGAGAGGTCAGTGCTGGGAGCTGGGGAGAGCCCCCGGCAGGAAGAGGAACTGTCTTGGGATCTTCAGTCATGTGGAGGTGCCCAGGACAGGCGGAGCGCTGGCAGACACACTGGCACGTCACCTGAGGGGCCAGAGGCAACAAGGTCAAATTATCTCCCCTCAACCCACCTGCAATCACTGTTTTTTGAAATTCCAGCTGACCGTCTGAGATCACTAGTTATTGAGAGCATTGGTTACTGAGGTCACTAGTTATGGTTTAGCTGTAAGTATCACTAGTTACTGGGATTATTAATTACTGATATTACTTGTCACTGGGATAACTAGTTACTAATACTATTGGTTTCTGGATCACTGGTCACCAGTGGCAGGCAGTGTCACCAAAGCACAGAGACAGCAATACTAACACTGAGTGTGAGTGGTGAGTGTGAGCAGTGAGTGTGCAGGCACCAACACTGAGTGGTGAGTGTGAGCAGTGAGTGTGAGCAGTGATTGTGAGCACTGAGTGTGCAGCCACCAAAGCTGAGTGTGAACAGTGAGTGTGAGCAGTGAGTGTGCAGACACTAATACTGAGTGTGAGCAGCCCCTCACCTGCAGACAAAGGTCGGGCTCTCTGTGCCGCCCCACAGACGTGCTCCTGGGTTTCAGGGTATAAACCCCATCATAGCTCTGTACATAACCTTCCATCCCGTCAGCCAAACCCGAGGAACAGACCAACACAGGAGCAAAAAAATGTGTGTGTGTGAGAGAGAGATCTGTTCACTGTGTAGCCCGAGACACAGTGATCAGCCACAGTGCGAGAGCTTGCGTGTGTGTGTGCGGCAGCTCACCCGACACTGGTCCCAGACTCCGTCTCTCTCTGGATCTTTCTCTCAGTATGTCTCACTCTCTCTATCACTCTGTCTGCTTCTCTCTTTCTTAAATTCTTTCAGTTTTAGTCTCTTTTCTTCAGCCTCTTTCTCTCTCTCTGTGTCTCTCTATCAGTGTTTTTTCTGTCTCTCTTTCAGGCTCTCTGACTCTCTCCCAGTCTTTCTCTTTCTCTCTCTCTCTCTCTCTATGGCCCTCTCTTTCTCTCTGTCTCAGTCTCACTTTCACTCGCTGTGTTCCAGTCTGTGTTTCTGTGTTGACTCCTTGGAAACAGAGACTATGAGAAAAAAAACTGGAGCTCCTCCCCGTAGGGCCACAGAGAGGCGAGAGAGACACACACAAGACAGAGACAGACACGCACAAAGAGACAGATACAGAATGAGAGGGAGAGAGTCACATACAGACCTGGACACATGTGGACACAGAGAGACACACAGATACAGATATTGAGGGAGACACACCCCAAACACAGAGGGAGATGGAGAGACACACACACAGACAGAGAGACAGTGTTAGCCAGTGTCGGACACATGTGGAAAACGATTGCTGTGCTTATGAGTATCCAAACCAAACTCAGTGTTCCACATGTGATGAACCTTCATAAAACACTGGTGAGGCCTCAGCGAGAGACTGGGTTCAGTTCTGGGCCCCACACTTTAGGAAGGGTTTCAAGGCATTGGAGATGGTGCAAAGGAGATTTATCAGGATGATACCAGGAATGAGGGACTTCAGTTATCAGGAGAGAAGCTCCTGATAATTCTCCTTGGAGCAGAGAAGGTTAAGAGGAGACTTAATAGAACTTTTCAAAATGATGAGGGGATTCACTAGAGTGAACAAAGAGAAACTATTTCCACTGGCGGGTGGGTCGGTAACCTGAGGACACCGATTTAAAATAGTTGACAGAGGGGAGGTGAGGAGAAATGTTTTCACACAGCGAGTTGTTGGGATCTGGAATGCGTTGCCTGAAAGGCTGGTGGGAACCGATTCACTAACAACTTAAGAAATAAGTAGATAATTATTTGGGGAGCTCAAGTTTGCAGGGCTATGGGGAGAGAGCGGGGGAGTGGGGTTGATCAGGGCTATGGGGAGAGTGTGGGGGAGTGGGGTTGATCAGGGCTATGGGGAGAGAGTGGGGGAGTGGGGTTGATCAGGGCTATGGGGAGAGTGTGGGGGAGTGGGGTTGATCAGGGCTATGGGGAGAGAGCGGGGGAGTGGGGTTGATTTGGAAGCTATTTTCAAAGAACCGGTACAGACACGATGGGCCGAATGGCCTCCTTCTGTGTTGTATAATTCTATGATTCTATAACATAGAATTTGTAGATGACAGATTTCCCCATGTCTGGAATGGAATGTGCACCCTCTCCCTGGAGGGATGTACTCTGCTTACCCAAGTCCAGAGAGTATTAAGCCCAGGCTGGTAAGAGCGAAGGTTTATTTGTGAACTGCTAATATGTGACATGGGCACATTCCATTGGGAAAGATCAGAGCGTCTGAGGCCTGCCGAGCGGTGGGGGGGTGGGCATGGTGGGCTCACTCACTTCACAGCTGTTTGTGGGACATTGCCCTTCACAAATTGGCTGCCGCATTTTTCACACAAAACACACAGTCGAAACCGCTTTACAGTACATCCCGTGAAACACTTTGAGACATCGGGACAACTTGGAAGGTGCTATACCAAATGCAAGGATTATTATTATTTGTCGCAGTCCCAAAAATGATTGTAAGCATTTCGCAGGGCTTCACTGTGAAGTGTAGTAACTGTCATTTTTAAAAAAATACTCATCGAGGGATGTGAGTGACACTGCAAAATTGAGATTCCCTGGATTATAGGATCAAAGGAGGCCAACCAGCCAGGGAGCACGCTTCACCCCCACCAGATCAGCCTCAGCCTTCGAATGTGAAGCCTCTCTCCCTGCAAACACAGCTGTGTATAGACACATGTTCGGCCAGGATTCTAATAACAATCTCTCGCCTCGATTCAAGGATTGTGGGTTAGGCCTTTTGAGTTCAGTCAGGGCTGATGCTCCAGTGCAGTGGAGTCCTGTAGCTCAGTGGTTAAAGCACTCACCTCGCAAGCGAGCGGACCTGGTTTGATTCCCAGCAGGGTGAAACGTTGGGCAAGTTTCCTTCCTTCACGCGCCTCATATCACCTAGCAGTAGGTAGGAACCCAGTTATTAGTCGATTGGCGGATCGCTTTTTGCAGGGGTAATAATTTCCTCCCAAAAAATAATTAAAAAAATAATGATTTGGTTACTTCAATCCACGACTGTTTGTGGGACGCTGCTGTGTACAATTGGCTGCAGCGTTTCGCCCACAAAATACCCAGTCAATTTACTGTATCCTGTGAAGCGCTTTGAGTCGTCTAATGATAATGAGTGACAGTGATAATGCGCTACATCAAACGCAAGGATTATTAATATGAAGGGGGCATTGAAAGAGAGAATCGATTACAAAACAAAATAGCGAGGCATGAAATCCCAAACCAATATTTTATTAGAGTTTACAAATTACAAAATCATCACTGGCCTGTCCCAGCCACTGACATCAACAAAACCCACCCAACCCGTGTAGTGTACAGACAGGCATCAACCTGATCCTCGGACATCTTCCCAAAGTCATCGGCAAATGCCAGCCTTCCCGCAGCATGGAGGCTGTGACGAAAAGCACGGCCAAGGGAATCCCCATTCGTCATCAACAGGGGAATGAACATATTGTGACAGAGTGAGAAGGAGAGACAAGAGAGAAACAGAGAGTGAGAGAAAGAATGTGAAGAGAAAGGGCAGAAAAAGTGACAGGTAGACCAAAAGAGAAGAGAAAAAGAGAGCAAGAGAGAGTGGGAGACAGTGAGAGAGAGAGTGAGACAGTGAGACAGTGAGAGAGAGTGGGAGACAGTGAGAGAGAGTGAGACAGTGAGAGAGAGAGACAGTTTGAGTGAGAGAGACAGTGAGAGAGTGAGACAGTGAGAGAGTGAGACAGTGAGAGAAAGTGAGTGAGAGAGAGTGAGACAGTGAGAGAGTAAACGTCAGTTGTTCAGAGCAGGTGTTAATTGTCGGGTGAGAGCGAAGCTGCCCCTGGAGGTGATGTTGCACTTGGTCCCATTGTGATTGTTTGTCCAGACGTCTGTTGCATCTCTGGTCCTCACCAAGGGGGTTCACACTGCCTGAGCCCCCCCGAAACAGCTGCCCTGCCCTTCCTCATACTCGGGAGGTGGGGTGAGGGGCTCGATGGTCACAGCCCTGCCCCCAGCCCCTGCCCCTGAGCCACCGCTGCTCAGTTTAATCCTGAAATCTTTCAGGTGGGTTTTGTCCGACAGGATCCGCCGCACTTTCTTGGAGCTGAAGAGTTTGCCGTTTCGGAAGCTTGGCCTCTCGCGCAGCTGCTGGGAGGTTCCAGGGTCTGCACTCGGCCCCGGACGGACCACCACTCCGGCCCCAGCCCCCGCCCCCACCTCCTCTGGCTCCACCAGAGACTCGTAAGATGGCAGTGTCGTGGAGGACAGATCCCCCGGATTCATTCCAGCACCTTCCGTCCCCTGCGCCGGCTCCGACTGCATGACCTCGGCATAACTGGGCACGCTCAAGTTACTGGGCTCCTCGTCCACCCTGAGGGGAAAGGCAGCGCATTAGTCACATACTCCACGCACAGCAACACGCACAGTAACACGCAGTACTACATGGCGACATGCACAGCAACTCAGTACCACACAGCGACACGCATAGCAACACAGTACCACAGTAACATGCATTTACATGCACAGCAACACACAGTACTACACGGTGACACGCAGTACACTTTACAGTAAATCCTGATTTATATAATCAGGCCTCGGGTCACACTTGTTGCTGTGGATCACAAAATCAGATCTGGATGAAAAAGCCCTTCTGGTGCATCTGATTTCATCCTTCAGAACCCACCCCCTTCCACTCCCTTCATCATAGATTTGAGCTGATTTCTAAAAGTGTCCCGGCCTCAGCCACCTTTTCTGGTAACCCTGTTCCTTACATTAATTACCCTCTCAGTAAAGAAACACTTTCTGGTGTCTGTTGTGAAATTGCGCTCTAAAACTCTACAACAACAACAAGATTTCATTTATAGAGCGCCTTTCACGTCCGGAGGACATCCCAAGGCGCTGGATGGACAGTTGGGTCAGGACCCGAGCAGGGGGGAAATGGTCAGGGTAAGGGGAGGGAGCGAGGAGGGGGGAAAATGGTCAGGGTGAGGGGAGAGAATGGAGGCAGTGAGGAGGGGGTAGAGAGTCGAGAGGGGAGCTGAAGGCTGAAGGTCAAAGAAAAGGTCTTGAGACCGGCCTTGAAGGAGGAAAGGGAGGAAGCGGCGAAGTCACTGGGGGATAGAGTTCCAGAGCCTCGGGGCTGAGAGGCTGAAGGCCACCGATAGTAGGACGGTTGGGGCGGGGGATGTGGAGCAGACCTGAGCCAGAGGAACTCTAAACCTTGTGTCACCATGTTCTACTGTCTTGATGCATCCTAAGGTATTGCTCTGGATTTATTCTTCTACTCTTGCCCCCATCACTTCCCGCACTGTCTCCTACTCTCGCTCCTCCCCCTGGTACACCACCCACCTCCGCTCACTGAAAAGCCAGGTGCGGGCCGCTGAACGCACCTGTGTCAAATCTGGCCTAACGGTCCACCGACAAATCTGGCTGGACCTCCTCAAAATTTACCGCTCCACTCTAGCCTCGGCCAAGTCGTCCTTCTACTCCAGGATAATCCTGGAGGCGAAGAACAACCCCAGGCTACTGTTTTCCACCACAACCCGACTCCTCCGTCCCCCCGCCACCCCGCGCAGGTCATCTCCTCCAACCTTCACTGCGAGGAGATGCTGGATTTCCTTGAATCCAAGATCAAGGGAATCCGCTCCGCGGTCACTTCCCCTCCAACTTCCACCCACCACCCACCCCTTCCCTCCCACACTCCGACTCCTACCCATCCTCCCCTACACACCTTCGTACCCGTTTCCCCACCCTCTGTCACTGAACTCATCCTATCCCTAAAACCAACCACCTGCTCCCTTGACCCCATCCCCACTCCACTCCTTATCTCCCAGCTCCACTTTCTTGCCCCACATATCACTGACATCATCAACCTGTCCCTCTCCTCTGGCTCTGTCCCCATTCCATTAAAAACTGCCATCATCACGCCCACCCTGAAAAAACCCTCCCTTGATGCGTCGCAGCTATCAAGCTACCGGCCCATCTCCAACCTCCCCTTTCTCTCCAAGGTCTTGGAAAGAGTTGTCGCCTCCCAACTGCGCTCTTTCCTTTCCACCCATTCTCTTTTCGAACCCCTTCAGTCAGGTTTCCGTGCTGCCCATAGCACAGAAACTGCCCTGGTCAAGGTCACCAATGATATCCTGACCATCTGTGACCAGGGCTCCCTCTGTCTCCTCGTCCTCCTCGACCTATCGGCAGCATTCGATACGGTCGACCACGCTATCCTACTCCACCGCTTGTCCTCCCACCTCAACCTTCAAGGCACTGTCCTTGAATGGTTTAGGTCGTACCTTTCTCACCGTCTTCACTTTGTCTCGACGAATGGCTTCTCCTCCACCCCCCGCACTGTCTCATGTGGTGTCCCTCAGGGCTCTGTCCTCGGTCCCCTCCTCTTCACCCTCTATATGCTCCCCCTTGGTGACATCATCCGCAGACATGGGGTTAACTTCCACATGTATGCGGATGACACCCAACTCTACCTTTCCTCCTCTACTCTCAACTCCACGACCACCGATGTCCTGACAGCTGCCTGTCCGACATCGAGTCCTGGACGAGAGACAACTTTCTTCAGCTCAACGTGCGAAAAACCGAGGCCCTCCTGATTGGCTCACGTCAGCGCCTCCGCACCTCAGGCGCTGACACCATCAGCATCCAAGGCTGCACTCTCCACCTCTCAAAGCCAGTCAGGAACCTCGGCGTTTTGTTCGACCCTGAGCTGTCCTTTCTCCCTCACATCCGCACCACAACTGGCACCGCCTTCCATCACCTCCGGAACATCGCCAGACTACGGCATTACCTCACCCCTCACGCTGCTGAAACCCTGGTCCACGCCTTTGTCACCTCAAGGCTGGACTATGGGAACTCTCTCCTCGCCGGCCTTCCCGCCCCTCCCTCCACAAGCTGCAGGTCATTCAGAACTCTGCAGCTCGTGTACTGTCCCGCACCAGGCTTCGGGACCACATCACTCCCACCCTCGCTCGCCTCCACTGGCTCCCCATCCCCCAGAGGATTGATTTCAAGATCCTCATCCTCACCTACAAGGCCATTCACGGCCTTGCTCCCTCCTACCTCTCCAACCTACTATCCCCCTACCTACCTGCCCGTACCCTCCGTTCCTCTGGCTCCGGTCTGCTCCACGTCCCCCGCCCCAACCGCCCTACCATCGGTGGTCGGGCCTTCAGCCTCTCAGCCCCGAGGCTCTGGAACTCCATCCCCCAGTGCCTTCGCCGCTTCCTCCCTTTCCTCCTTCAAGGCCGGTCTCAAAACCTTTCTCTTTGACCGAGCCTTCAGCTCCCCTCTCGACTCTCTTCCCCCTCCTCGCTCCCTCCCTTCCCTCCCCTCACCCTGACCATTTCCCCCCTCCTCGCTCCCTCCCTTCCCTCCCCTCACCCTGACCATTTCCCCCCTGCTCGGGTCATGACCCAACTGTGCAGCGCCTTGGGACGTCCTCCTGACGTGAAAGGCGCTTTATAAATGGAATCTTGTTGTTGTTGTTGTAATCTCTACGAGGTCTACCCAGAGGCATTTGAGAGCCCTAAAGCTTGTCTAATTGTTACTGTGTGATGTGTCACACCTGTAAAACACAATTTACAGTGTATCCTGTGAAACGCTTTGAGACACCTCTAAGACGTGATAAGGCACTGTATCAAATGCAAGGATTATTATTATTATTCCTATAGCTTGTCTAATCGCCAGGTCACACGTGCGTCTGGTCTCACTGGATGGGTTGCAGGCTGACTCACCGATGGGGTAACACGGCTGTCTGGTTGACCTGGCTGTCGGCATTGGGCTGGTTTTGACGTCGCTTCTTCTCCCAGACGCTCAGGCAGATGGAGAGCAGGAGCAGTAGCACACCACCAGCACACAGCAGGTAGGAAACCTGTGAGATTTTGCCCTTGGACTGCTCAGTGGCAGAGGAGCTGTCGTTGCCGGTTCCTTGATTACTGTCATTGCCTGAGCCATTGCCAAAACCCGGCATCACACTCCACACCATCATGACAATGCCCAGGGCGAGCAGCCCCACCCCCAGGGCGGTCAGGGCGTACTGAGAGCCACCACTTTGAGAGGCCATGGGCGCGCGCAGGCCCGCGAGCCCAGGCCTCCCCTCAGCCTGAGGCCTCTACTCACACCTCCGTTATCCCACAAACACAGCAGCACCAGCAACAAGATTTCAGTTCACACAGAAGCTACCCGCTGTCAGCACCCAGCCTGTGGAGATACAAACATCTCACGTTACACACAGGCTGCCCAGTATCATCAGAGTCACCAGCAGAAGCGTCACACAGACTTTCAAAAATGTTTGACAACGTATTTTCGCCCACAAAATAGTCAATTCACTTCTTGCTGTGGATAAGGCGCTGTATCAAATACAAGGATTATTATTATTATAATATTTATTATGACAAAGAGCCACATGAAAGATTCCTTCATTGCTCCACACTGGGGATCAGCAAGACATGGATTCAGAATGGGCTGAAAGGAAGCATAGGGTCGGTTATGGAACTTAGCCCAACGTGGGGGAGGTATTAAGCGGTGTGCCTCAGTGATCTGTCATCATAATAATAAATAAGAATAATCCTTATTTATTTAGTATTATACCATTCATGTAGGAAGACTTTCCAAATGCTTTGTAGGATTTGCTGTGATGTGTAGTGACTTGTGTGTTTTGGTGGGTGAACGCGGCAGCCAATGCGCACACGTAACGACCCGCAAACAGCCATGAAGTGAGGCGAGTGACTGATTTTATCTGGGGAATTGCCGGCCAGGACACTGGAAGAAAGTTCCTTCTCTCTGAATACTGGAACCTCCTGCTCCTCATTTCCAGATGGCATCACGTTTGAGCGGAAATGTGGCATCAGAGAGGGCAATAAGTGTCCTACAGGAGAGCTTGATAAGGTGTGCACACAGGTTTGATACCGGTAAATACAGTTTAATACAGGTAAATGCAAGGTACCATATATAGGAAGTAAGAGAAGAGGAGGAAACACAAGGACTCCATGGATGGGTTTGAAAGGATGGGGAAGCTGAAAGAGATCTTGCTCTGGGTGTTAGTTGACTCGTTGCTCACTCGTCAAACAGTGTGAGGCAGCAATAAACTCAACAAACAGGATCTGGGCTATATCCTAGGCTGTCCAGTGCTCTAGGCAGATTGCAACGAGTGCACTTGTCTGATCATCGCCACATGAGTAGCTGCATAGACCCCAGAGGCAGTACAGAGGACAGCAATGATGACAATCCCAGGGTTGGAGGTTTAAACAATGAACAACAAGAAGCTCTGATGTTGAGTAGCTCAGTGGTTAGAGCGCTTGCCTCACGAGCGACAGGACCTGGGTTTGATTCCTGGGCAGCTAAAATGTTGGGCAAGTTTCCTTACTCCACACACCTCTGTTTAAGGGCTCCAAGATGCGGTCCAGCATGAAGTGTGCTATATAAATGTAAGTTGTTGTTGTTGTTTACCTAGCAATACGTAGGAACCCGGTTGTTAGTCGATTGGTGGATCGCTTTCCATTGGAGAGGGTAATAATCCCTTCAATAAAAATGAATAAAGAATATTAATTTGGTCACTTCAATCCACGACTGTTTGTGGGACACTGCCGTGCGCATTTGGCTGCTGTGTTTCACCCACAAAATATAGTCACTTCTCGAGGTGTATAACATTTTAAATGCGATTGAAAAATAAACCCAGAGCAACACATTAGGATGCATCAAGACAGTAGAACAAGAGGACACAAGTTTAGAGTTGTAAAAGGCAATTTCAGGATATACAACAGGAAGTGTTTCTTTACTCAGAGGGTAATTAATGACTGGAACAGGTTGAACCCGGAAGGAGTGTTGAGGCCACGACTCTGGGATTTAATTAAAAAACAGCTCAATCCTGCGATGGGGGGCGGGAGTGTAGGTCTGGTGTTCTGAAGGGATGGGATCAGATGGACTGTAGAGGCTTCTTTAAACAAACCAATCATGGTCTTGAGTGAAGGGAGCTTTGCTCGAACATGCGCTGTCACTGACCTGGGAGTGTGGACGGACAGTGTAGAGGGAGCTTTACTCTGTGTCTAACCCTGACCTGGGAGTGTGGGCGCATGGTGTAAAAGGATCTGTATTTCTTTCCCAAACTTTACACAGCTTGCTGCTAATTCAGCAGAGCTCTGAGCTTTTGGCAGAAGCCGCTTTGTGCCCACCCGCCCCTGGAGAGGATAGAAGCGCAACAGCTTTAAGCCTACCACTCCCTCCCTCCCTCTCTCCCACACTATGCAATAAGTGGGGGGAATCCATTTTTATTTTTAAAAAATCTTACCTTTTTTCCCAACGGCCTCACTTTTGATGGAGCCAAAATAGACGACCAGCAACCGGATACAAAGCTGAGCTGAGCACAGCTGGCGCCCGAGGCAGTGGCTTCATGAGGAGGGCTTTTGAGAAGCTATTTGCTTCACCGGTTGGTGAGTCGCTAACTGGAGCCGTCAATTTAATCCATCAGCAAAATAAAACAAAGGGAGAGTGGTCTTTAGTTACAGGGAAATCTTGCCCAACCCATTATGATGGCGTCTCATCTCTTCAACCTCTCACCTGTCTGTCTCCCTACTCTTCTGGCTTTCCCTTCCTTTGACTGAGCCCCTCCACCCACATCGCCCCGCTCTCCTTTCCTTCAACATCCCTCACTTCATCCCCCATTTCAAACGACTCCCAGCGGATACACTTCAAGGTCCTCACCTTCACCTGTAACTCCCTTCACACCCTCACACTTGGCTAAGTGTGTGCCCCACCCCCCCCACTAGGTAGACTTTGGGCTTGCTGCGTGGACCCATCCCAGCGGTCACTGTGCTCTGAACTTCTGGGGTTTGTCAGGCTCCGGTGAGGCAAGGCCATTATTCTATGTGATGGACTCGCGCAGTGTAAATACCGGCTACTGTAAAACAGCCAGCATTGGACTGAAGGGTGTGGTGACAGGGTCACCTCCATTAGGCCCAGTATCGCCGTACAAACACGCAGTGTATCGCAGCGTCCATTATAGCTTTCACAAGGCAATTGGACAAATATAATAACAATCCTTTCATTTGATACAGAGCCTCCATCACATCGTCAAAAACCTCCAAAAGCATTTCACAGGATTCACTGTGAACTGTAGTGACTGCAACTGCAGATATGTAGGCAAACATGGCAGCCAATTTACACACAACATCCCACAATCAGCCAGGAAATGAATGACCAATTTTAATTGGGAGGTTCTCAGCCAGGATTCTGGGAAAGAAAAACTCCCTTCTCCTTTCGAACAGTGCCATGGGATCTTTAACGTCCACCTAGTGAGGGCTCAAACCCTCGCTTGTCAGATGGGGGGTAATCAGGGTCTCCTCAGACCTGACTCCAAGGTGATGTTTGGCAATGGAATGTGGGAATCGAGTCCACTCTCTGTAACTGTCTCATATCCGGTTCCTGAGCCAGGCGGGTCCACAGTATTCCAGGTCACTGGAAGCGGCTTGGCTCATCGGAAGGACTTGGAAGGGCCGACCAGTCACTGGGGCCAGGAAATCCTCTCACTCAGCTCCTATTAACCCTGCAGCCAAAGCCCTATCGGGCAGGGTGTTCGTAGCCGGGCAAACAGTGGGAAAGCTGCCAGACAGCGCTCTCATTGGGCAAACTATGTGGTTTTAGCTGGTTAGACTCCAGCAGTTACCCCAATGCACACTCTGGGGTACCCAAGCCTTGGCTCTTGCCAACCTGTGCCTAATACTCTCAGGAAAAAGTAATAGAAGGTGCACATTTCATTCATAAATAAATAAACAAACATCTCAGGAATTTCCGTATCCAAGGTGGAAAGGCACAGAATTCTCAGTTTGGTTTGGGGATGTGTGGGGGACACATCCACATCACTGCATCAGAGCATCAGCCGAGACAATGTCAGCTCAAGGTCCCAAAGTGGGGCTTGAACATCCCCCACCCCAACCTCCTGCCTCCATGGGGGTGGGGGGAAGCACTCGCTCTGCCCCAGGCACACCCCCACCCCCACACCCCCTCCCCCACACCCCCCGCATACACCCCCACACACACACACCCCCCACCCACACACACCCACACACCCTCCCCCACCCCCCCCACACACACCCCCACAGCCCCTCCCCCATACCCCCCTCCCCCACACCCCCACACACACACACCCACACACACCCTCCCCCACACCCCCCATACACACACCCTCCCCCACACCCCCCATACACACACCCTCCTCCACACCCCCCCACACACACACCCACACAACCCCTCCCCACACCCCCTCCCCCACACCCCCCGAGACCCCCCCTCCCCCCCACACCCCCTCCCCCCCCACCCCCTCCCCCCACCCCCCCTCCCCCCCCCTCCCCCACCCCCCCTCCCCCACCCCCCTCCCCCCCACCCCCCCTCCCCACCCCCCCTCCCCCCACCCCCCCTCCCCACCCCCCCTCCCCCCCACCCCCCCTCCCCCTCACGGGCCGCGGTTCTCACGGGAAGTTTTGAAAGAAGAAACAAGTTTCTCTTCTGAGCGGAAATCACTGTAGCGACGTGACGGCTCTCCCCACAACCCCCGAACCCCCCCCTCCCCCTCCCACACCCACACCCCCCCCACACACCCTCCCACACACCCACACACACCCCCCCCCCACACCCACACCCACACCCCCCCCCCACACACCCTCCCACACACCCACACACACCCCCCCCCACACCCACACCCACACCCCCCCCCACACACCCCTCCCACACACCCACACACCCCCACACACACACCCCCACACACACACCCCCACACATCCCCTCACACTCCCCCTCTCACCCCTCACACTCCCCCTCACAGCCTCTCCTCCTCCCGGGAAACTTTGTGTACAGTTTGACTGTCGGCGGCCCTCACCCTCTCCTCCGCTCCGCTCCCGCGGCCGCTCCCGCCCACAGCGCCTCCCCGCGGCCGCGCCCGCCCACAGCGCCTCCCCGCGGCCGCGCCCGCCCACAGCGCCTCCCCGCGGCCGCTCCCGCCCACAGCGCCTCCCCGCGGCCGCGCCCGCCCACAGCGCCTCCCCGCGGCCGCGCCCGCCCACAGCGCCTCCCCGCGGCCGCGCCCGCCCACAGCGCCTCCCCGCGGCCGCGCCCGCCCACAGCGCCCCCACTGCCCCGACTCGGAGTCACCTCCGCCACTGGGAAGTGATGTGGTCTGAGATGCTGCCCCCGGTGGAGGGCCATTATAAGTGCAAGTTGTTGTTGTGGTGGTTGTTGACCTCTCCAACAAACGCCTCTCCCCCTCTGCCCACAGCGTTACTGTTGATGGAAACATCGCCATTCTCACCCTCACGAAACCAGGATCGTCCCCGGGGCCACCTTCCCCCTGACTGAGGCCACACCACCCAGATACACCTTCCACCATATCTCAGGACCTAATCGGTGTGGTGATGGTGTGGCTCTCATTTCTAGGTCCTCATTTGGCCTGGCTCCTCTGGACTTTTCTTTCGAGCGCTTTACTCTTACCTCTGTTCTTTACTCAATCTTCACGGACCAGCCCTTGACTGATTCGATTCCTATCTCTCTCACCGTCTCCACTTTGTTGCCTCTAACGGTTTCTCCTCCAGCCCCCGCACTGTCACATCTGGCATCCCCCAGGGCTCTGTCCCTGTCTCCTCTTTAATATCTCCATGCTCCCCCTTGGTGACATCATCCGCAGACATGGGGTCAACTTCCACATGTATGTGGATGACACCCAACTCTCTCTTTCTGCCTCACCCTCAACTCCAGGACCACTGCTGTCCTGACAGTGACTGTCTGTCGGACATCAAGTCCTGGATGAGGGCAAATTTCCTACAGTTGAAGTGAACAAGACTGAGGCCCTCCTGATTGGCTCACACCAGCGCCTCTGCACCTCAGGCTCCGGCAGCATCAACCTCCATGGTGTACACTACAACTCACCAACTCACCAGCCAGTCAGGAACCCGGGGGTCTTGTTCGACCCTCAACTGTCTTTTCTTCCCCACATTCAAGCCATGACCCGCTCTGCCTTCCCTCACCTCCGTAACATCGCCCGACTCCGCCACTACCTCACCCCTCAGGCGCTGAAACTCTTGTTCATGCCTTCATCACCTCCAGACTCGACTATGCAAACGCCTGCGTGTCGGCCTTCCCAACTCCTCCCTCCACAGCTGCAAATAATCCAGAACTCTGCAGCCCATGTCCTCTCCCGCACCAAACACCGTGACCCCATCTCCCCCATTCTCGCCCGACTCCATTGGCTCCTTATCCTTCAGAGGATCCAGTTCAAGATCTTGGTCCTCACCTACAAACCCCTCCATGGCCTCGCCCCACCCTACCTCTGTGACCTCCTAACGCCCTACCGACCCACCCGCTCCCTCCGCTCAGCCGGCTCTGGCTGCTCCACGTCCCCCGACCCACCCGCCCCACCATTGGTGGGAGAGCCTTCAGCCACTCTTCCCCCAATCACTCTGCCTCGCCCCCTCCTTAGCCTCCTTCAAGTCCCGCCTCAAGACCCTCTTCTTCGACCAAGCCATTGGCTATCCCCCCTTCCCCTCCCCTCCCTTCTCCCCCCCTGACCCCAGCTCAGGTCTGAAATGCTGTCACTATCCAGCACCTTGGGATTTCCTCCCGACATGAAAGGCGCTATACACATGTAACCTTGTTATTGTTGTTGTTGTTACCATTCCTCCAATCTTTCTCTTAATATTCTCCTCATTTAACACCCCCCCAATACCTCCCCCACCTTCTTATCTGACATCTCCACTCTTGTATCTTTCCTCTGCCCATGTTCCTAACGCCTCCTCATCCTGGGAGACTTCAACCTCCACTTCACTCCACCTCTGTTGATTTCTCCTCCCTCTAGTCCTCTCACAACCTCTCCTGCCACATCAGCTCCGCGTCTCGGATATCACTATCACCGACAACGCTATCAAGGACCACTGCTTCATCTCTCTTATCTCCTCCATCCCTCTCCCCATCACCCAACCGACCTCCATCTCCTTCCTCCCCTGGAAAAAATAACACTGCTATACCTATACCCGCCAGCGAAGGATGAAGGCACAGGTCTTGCCAGGAACTCATTCCTTCCCATAATCTTCTCACTTATTGGTGAGATTCACTGTGCTGGACTTCGCAAGCCAATCTCAACAGGAGAATTTCTCTGGCAGGTGCTCGCCCTGATAAGAACAGATATTACCCTTGATCTTAAGGCAAAAGACAAAGAATTCTCCAACTGAAGGGAACAGCCTTTCCCAGGTCACCAGGATTTTTTTCTTGTGGGGAACTGAAACTGAGTTTGGAGAGGAGACTCCAAGCCAAATAACATTGTAAATGGGATTGAACAAGTAAACCCACTGCAGCACATTAGGATGCACTGAGACAGTAGAACAAGAGGACACAGGTTTTGAGTTGTAAAGGGCAATTTCAGGACAGACAGCGGGAAGTTTTTCTTTAATAATTGGAATAGGGTTTATAGGAAGGAGCCAGGACACTGGGACTCAATGCTATGATGGGGGGACAAAGGGCGGGTGTCCTGGAGGGGCTTCTTCATCAGAACCGATCTTGTGATCTTGTGAGATATTTACAGTACAAAATGAACCATTTATTGTTATTTATTGAACAGACTGTAAAAAAAGGAAAACCAATATAATGGATGGATGTTTGTGGGCAGATGTAACAGCTGATCATAATAACGACAACTTGCATTTATATTGCGCCCTTCACGTGGGCCAGTGTCCCAGAGCGCTTAAGAACTTAAGATCATATGCAACAGAGTCATGTTCGGAGAAACATTGTAAAGGAGCCAGTTGTGGAATGACTTTCTGTTATATAAAAGCTTGTTTGTTGCTGAGCTGCGTGAGAGTGATTCTCATCACTGATCTGTTGGACACACTGTGACACACTGGACTCAGGAGAAAGTCTTATTAAAGAAGAGCGGGAAATTTAGATACTTGATTGATACTTTCTGTTTGTTAGCAGCTTATCTTAACTCTTGCAAAATTCCACCTTCAGACGCTTCCCCTCTGCTCTTTATTGCTGTTTAAAAGATGATAACAATAATAAGAATCTTTACAATTCCTTTACAGTGCCTTATCACTTTGCTGACATAGTGGATTTTGCTGTAAAGTGCAGTAACTGTGTATTTTGTGAGCAAACCTGGAAGGAACTCTTCTCTTTTTGAGTAGGTCCATACATGGGCTTTAACTTGGGTTCAACATCAGTGCAGCACACTTCACAGCACTGTGCTGGAGGCTGAGACTGTGAGCTCAGTCCTGCCGTGGGTTTGTACCCACAACCTTCTGATTCAGAGTCGAAAATCCCATCACCTGTGATTAAGTGACAGTGTAAAAGGTGTCTGGTTTGGGGGCTGTGTGGCACATCTCTATTGAATGGCCTCAGTAGCCTCTTCCCTGGTCACTATCGTTTATTCCAACTGCACACAGCTTTGCTTGTTCCGAGCCTAGTCACTGTTTCCATAAGCACAGAGTAACACACCAGCGATCACTCACCAGGCTCCACAGTTCTGATGAAAGGCCATCGACCTGAAATGTTAACTCACTTTCCTCTCTCCATATATGCTGCCTGACCTCTAAAGTGTTCTCAACCGCTTCTGTTTTAATTTCAATGCGTTTCACCCACAATACACAATCAATTTGCTTGACAGTATATCCTGTGCAGCGCTTTGAGACGTCTCGAAGACGTGATAAGGCGCTATATCAAATGCAAGGATTAATATTACTATAGTAATAGTAATTAGTAATTACTAAATACTGAATTACTAATTACTAATTACTATAGTAATTACTATAGTACACCGAGCCCAGGGCTACAATGCCGTTTGTGGGCATCAGGCGGCGCTAAATATCAGCAGTAACATTATCTAAATACCTGAGCCATTGTTTGTGGGAAAGAATGTGGGCTTCACAGCGTTTCATTACCTGACCTGTTACTGACTCATTATACAGACAAACATAGCTGCCATTTTGCAAAATTGTCAGTGAGGACACAGGGAGAAATCATCTTCTCTTTCCGAACAGCTATGATCACCAACAACAACTTGTGTCAGCCCGGCTCAGTGGGTGTGTCAGTCCGGCTCAGTGGGTGTGTCAGCCTCTCTAATTCTCTATTTGAGAATTTATACTTATACTTCCCGATTCCAAAAGAATGTTGGAATTGAGCCACGAGGGGCCGCAGTGTCCCAGGGCACTCACTGCTGATGGCAGCACAGCCCGGCCCGGCTCATCAGCAGGACTTGGAAGGGCCGACCAGTCACTGGGGGCCGGGAATCTAACAACAACAACAAATTAGCTTTTTATACCTTTCACATCGGGAAGACATTCCCACTCAGCTCCTGATAACCCTGTAAGCCAAAGCCCTAACTGTTAGTGTGGTCCTAGCTGGACGAGCAGCGGGAAAGCTTGCCAGGGAGTGCTCTCAATGGCTAGCAATGCAGTTTTAGCTGGTTCGATTCCAGCAATGACTCCAAAGCCCACTGTGGGGTCCTCAAGCTTTGGCTCTTGCCAACCTAATACTCTCCAGATTTTTGGTAGCAGCATGTGTCCCTCCGGAGCAAATGCACATTCCATTTCAGACACAAGAATTTCCATATCTAGGTGGGATACATGAAATTCTCAACCTGGTCTGGACACTCTTAAGCAATAGTGATGGGTTTCCTTATGTGTCAGACAGCCGGCTGACCAAAAAAATTGCAGTGCTGGTGGAGCGCTGCATTGTCGGAGTGCCGACTTTGGATGAGATGTTAAACTGACGTTTCGTCTGCCTGTTCAGGTGGTGTTTAAATATCCTATGACGCTGTTCAAAAAGAGAAGGGAGTTTCTCTCTCCCGATGTCCTGGATGACAATCTCCCAGAAAAAATTTCTCACTCACTCCGTGGTTGTTTACGGGACGTGGCTGTGTGCAAATTGGATGCCAAGTTTGCCCACAAAACACAGTTTCCGAACTTTACAGGAAGCACTTTGAGATATTTCAGTGACATGATGGGGCATAATATCAAATGTAAGAATTATTATTAGTTAACCTGAGCCCTGAACTGGAACATTAATGGTGTGTATATTTGCGCTACATGTAAACCATGTGTAAAGATGGGCACCACAGTGTATATATTCTAGGTACTGTGAGAGGGTGGTGACGCATGGTGAGGAGAGGTGAAGCATGTTTGCCGCTCTGCAGCTCCCTGCAAACTCAGGGATTTGAAATCAAGGCACAGAGCACGTGGAGTCAGAGGCTAATGCCTTTTCCTGTGTATCTGATCCTGCAAACAGACTGCTCACATCAACATGTTTAACAAGAACAGATTCCAGCACTGACTGAACCTTAACCTTATTTAACAGCACAGCCTATCCAACTGCAGGAATTGACAGTTCTGGAATGTTCTGAATGCAGACAAAAAAAGAGCTTATTAAGTCCTCCATTAAACCCTTGAAAATCTAACTAAACAGCTTCAAGCACAGCTCCCAGCAGCTCAGACACAAGCTGAAGTTATACCTCCTCCGGTCTCACGGAAGGACGTGGATTCTTATAGCACCTTTCATGTCCAAAGTCTCAAATGGCTTCATGGTAATCAATGAGGGAATTTATATGGGTAAACTTGGCAGCCATTTTCTACATGGCAAAATCCTCCACACAAAGTGAATGGAGGACAATCAGCCAGGACATGGGGAGAAAGTGTAGTGTTATACCTTCTTGCCTGATTCAAGACCTGTCTAAAGACCTTCCTCTTCGACCATACCTTCAGCCACCCTCCCACCCCCCAACTCGGGTCCCAAACCCCAGGTTGTCAGCGACTTGAGATGTCTTTCTGACATGAAGAGCTCTATAGAAGTATAATTTGTTGTTGTTGTGGTGGTTAGCGCAGTTGCCTTGCAAGTGTGAGGACCCGGGTTGGACCAATTTGCCATATGTAAATCTATGTATATCTATGCTTGCTTTAAAATGTGGAAATGGGATTGAGGGCAGGAGGCAGGCAATTCATTCACGATTCTCGGGATGAGGGACTTCAGTGATGTGGAGAGACCAGAGGCTGGGACTGTTCTCCTTAGAGCAGAGAAGGTGTATATGTTTGTGTGTGGGTGGGGGGAGCTCTCTCTCGCTCTGGGGGAAATCAGCCTCCTCTCAATCACTGTGGGGTTAACCTCTGAACACTGTAGAATTCACTCCTTTGCCAGCTGAAGCCACACGCATCCGTGTTTAACCCCTTCGATGCTGAGCATCATATGACACAGAAAACCAGAGAGGAAACGTACAGTTTATTTTAAAATAGGTTTTATTTTTATAAGTTCTGCTTTGTAGCTGAGGCCACACCACCCAACCCACAGACCCACTTAGCCGGCAGAAACCTCTATTAAATAAATCCATTTTCTTTTAACTTTCTCTTTAGCATTATTTTCCTAATTTACAAAACAAAAACACTGAACCCGAGTTAATGGGAATGTTTTTTAAAAAACGTCAGGCTCAAACGTACAAGGAATTTCAAACTGCATCTTGTCGCCTCCCCTGGAGATAGGAGTATGTGTGTATCAGCCTGGGCTGGGAGGCTAATGTGCTTTAGAACAAGGTTTCATCCAGGCTGTGATCTCAAGGTGGTGCCTCATGCACTCATTGGAACAGAGAGAGAATGTGGGGAGGAGAAAGTGTGTGGTGGTGTGGGGGGAGGGGGAAGAGAGAGAAAGGTAAGATTAGGGGGAGAGAGGGGAAAGGTGTGAGGGAGGGAGGGAGAGTGAGAGGCAGACCACCCTCTGTGGCCTGTGTTTTTTGAGCGAGGCAGTGTTCTTGTTGGTATTTGTGAGGCTGGAGTGAGGATGGAGCAGGTGCCCTCCCCTGGAGGGGGGGCGCTGGCTGCGGAGCAAAGCCTCCCTCTGCCCTTCCCAGCAGCGGAGCCGAGACCCAGAGCCCGAGGGCCTGGCATGCTGCACCCGCATTCCCCTCCCACGACTGGCCACACACTCTGGACGGCGCTGAGCTACAGGCCAAGCCACAGCTGGCTTCTAATTGATTGAATCTCGTTTTCCATGGTGGTAACAGAGATAACTTCCTCCTTGTGCTGGATTCCCACCCGGCTCCAGCTCCCACTGCCTGTCAACTGCTCGATCTCCAGAGTTTGCAAAGCTCAAGAGCTGAAATAATTTATAAGCCAGACATTATCTGAACAGATAAACGCGAATTGTCTCCTTTAAAAAATAAAAACACCAGACTTTCGTCCAAGGTCCTGCAATGCAAGTATTACCTCCCACCCAACATTCCCCACCCCCCCACACACATCTAACAGGGATCGATGGTCGGTTTAGAGAGCTCCCTGTGCAGGGTGGCGCTTGCTTGCACCCGATGGCAGTGTTAGCATGACATTGCTCAGGCTGACACTGAATATCCTCAATGTGAAAGCACTGCCCCCCCCACCACCCTGAATGGACATGTTTGGGGCTTGGGGTAACTTTTGATGATTGGACAGGATTTTTCATAATTTTATTTTAAACTCTGATCTGACTTTTTAATCTCTTGAATATCAGACAATTGTCAAACATCACTACGGGGGTGGGGTCTTGCAGGCAGTAATGACACACAGTAACACTTTCACGTGGCCAGAACACCAGGGTCTCCACAGCTCAAGAAAGGCTGTGGAGCAGGGGATGGGCTGGGGGCGGAGCAGGGGCCGGGGTAGGACAGGGGCAAGGAGACTGGGGGTGGGGCCAAGATGGGGATGGGAACAATTCACATTGAGCCCCCACCTGCTCGGTCAACTGCTTCAATGCATTGTGGGAGAGTGCTGCCAGCTGGGCGGTCTCGGGGGAGTGGGGTTTCAGGGGAGGGGAACGATGATGGGATGACCAGTAACGCTGCACAGGTAAGAGTGAGAGAATCTGGTCCCACTGTCACACTGAGGGAAGCAACACGTTTTGACAAACAGCAGAGGACAAACACCGAGTACACTGGTCAGTTATTTACATAAACAGCTGGTCCTTCAAGGGGCTCCCAGGAGCGAGATTAAAACGAGAGCCACCGCGCTGAGCGGGTGTCTCCACCACAGTCCTATCATTCCTTCTTCCGAAAGACACTGATTTCTGTACACGTTAATTACAGAGGGTGCTGGCATACAGCACGCAGGCTCACATTGTTAATGTTTAAAAACAGAACACGCTCACACACACACACACAGAGGTTAGGAGCAGTCTTCTTCTGGTCACCAGTCTGCATCCTCCTCCACATAATAATCGGTCGAAGTACCATCAAACAGGCTGGGGTCCAGGGATTTCCGCTGCTTCCCCCTGGCAAAGACCCGCGAGATGGAGCCAAAGACCAACTTCTCTTTCTTTTTCTTCCTCTTTTGCTCTTCCAGGTCTTCTAGAGACTGGAAATAAAAAACAACACACCTCGTCTTTTGCAACAAAATCCAGGGATTTGGGTTCTCTACATGGATTAATGTGCCCTCAGCAAATAAGATGGTCTGGAATGCACTGCCTGAAAGGTGTAGTGGAAACAGATTGAATAACAACTTTCGAAGGGGAACAGGTACTTGAAAAGGAAAAATTTCAAAGGAAATGGGGAAAGAGCAGGGGAGTGGGACTAGTTGGGTAGCTCTTCCAATGGGCCGAATGGCCTCCTTCTGTGCTGTAATATTCTATGTAGGCTGGAGTCAAATCCAGGGGTTTGGAGGTTAACATATAAATTAATGTACTCTCCCAGGAATGAGTTACAGGTTGGAATCTAACCCTGGGATTCGAGAGCTCCAACCTGGCAACTGAACTCTGATCCTTCCACCTGCTCACATATCAACTGCACCGGGGGTGGTATGTGGGCTGGTGAAAGGGTCAGAGTTCAGCTGGCAGGTTGAAGCGCTGCAGGAGCAAGTCCCTCACCCCCCCCCAAGCTTGTGCTTACGTTACAGAGCGAGTGTGTCCGGTGTCGCGGGGAATTGATGTCACTGGGTGTTGACGACCTTTCCCCTTCCAGCATGGAGGCGTCGGAGATGATGGAGGGTTGCCGTGAGTGGCAGGGACTGACTCGGACACCTGCGGGAGGAGGAGAAAGACAGTGAACAGTGGGGATCTCTGATCTCTTTACAACAGAATACAAAATTACATAAAATGGGGGAGATGGGTTCACGGAGTTTGGTGCGGGAGAGGACACGGGCTGCAGAGTTCTGGATTATCTGCATCTGTGGAGGGAGGAGTTGGGAAGGCCGACACGCAGGGAGTTTGTATAGTCGAGCCTGGAGGTGATGAAGACAAGAACAAGAGTTTCAGCGTCCTGAGGGGTGAGGTAGTGGGGAAGTCGGGCGATGTTCCCTCGGAGGTGAGGGAAGGCAGAGCGGGTCATGGCTTGGATGTGGGGGAGAGAAGACAGTTGAGGGTCAAACAAGACATCCAGGTTCCTGACTGGCTGGTGAGTTGGTGAGTTGTATCATGGAGGTTGATGCTGTCGGAGCCTGAGGTGCAGGTGTGAGCCAATCAGGAGGGCCTCAGTCTTGTTAACATTCAACTGAAGAAAGTTAACTCTCATCCAGGACTTGATGTCCGACAGACAGTTTGTCAGGACAGCAGTGGTCCTGAAGTTGAGGGTGAGGCAGAAGGACAGAGTTGGGTGTCATCCGCATACATGTGGAAGTTGACCCCATGTCTGCGGATGATGACACCAAGTTCCAAAATGCAGGTGGATTGATGATGACTTCAAACAGCCCAACACAAAGTGAAACATCAAGCAGTCTGGGACACTACCCTGCATGAGGGGCGCTATATAAATGCAAGTTGTTGTTGTTGTTGAAGGACTGTGAACTGGTCAGTCTCAGTGTTTCATAAGGACCAGGAGGGACTGATGCTGACTCAGTGACCGGCCACTCCACAGGTACTGGCTGAATCACCAGGTGACAGTGGCGGAAGCTCTACTTTGAGGGCAAGAAACAAAAACAACAATAACTTGCATCTATATAGCCCACCTCTCACGCAGGGCAGCATCCCAGAGAGCTTGGTGTTCCACTTTGTGATAGGCTGTTTGAAGTCATCATCAATCCACCTGCATTTTGGGATTACAACCCTTTGGAACTCCCTCCTACTGCTAAAGTCCCAGAGCAGCTGGGACTGAGTTTATTGGCAGGTTAATTAAAGTCAGGGCACAGATATTTCGCCCACAAAATATACTGTCAATTCACTTTACAGTACATCCTGTGAAGCGCTTTGAGACATCTCAAAGAAGTGATAAGGCGCTTTATCAAATGCACGCATTATTATTATTCATTGAAGAAAGAACTCAATGCGTAAAAGCTTGAGAGTTCTTGAAGGACGAGAACAAATAGTCTGAAGGACCTTTTTCATCCAAACTTCTCGTGCTTGTAACATCAATGAAGTACAAACTACTCACTCGGTGACAAGATAACTCAGTTTACATATGAATGAAATAAAGTCTGATGAGATAACAAGCTATCTCTGTATATAGAAATATATACACTCCCCTTCCCTTGCTACTTCAGACTGAATATATTGAGTTTCTAAGTATTTTTCAGGCAGTTACTGATCACTAGACAAGCGTAGAACCAAAAATAGCATCTATATTCCAGAAGTGTCTTCCCTACATTGAGGTGACAGCCTGGCTCCATTGTAGCACTCTTGCCTCTGAGTCAGAAGGCGTAGATTCAAACCCCACGTCAGGACTCTGAACTCACTGTCAAATAAAATAAGTCATTTGCCCCATGGCTGTTTGTGGGTCATTGTTGTGTGCAAATTGGCTGCTGCATTTGTCTAAAAATACAGTCACTACACTTTACAGGATATCCTGTGATGTCCTGTGAAGTATTTTGACATTGTGAAAAGTCCTATTCCAAATGCAAGTATTGTTATTCTTCATTCAAATCCCTCATGGGGACTTTTGAGCTAAAAAGTCTAGAATGACACTCCAGCGCAGTGCTGGGAAAGTGCTGCCTTGTCAGATGTGCTGTTCTTCGGATGAGGCATTAAAACCCAACGTCCCGTGTGCCTGTTCAGGGGAATGTTGGATCTTGTGACATTGTTTGAAAGCAGAGGGAGTTTCTCCTGGTCTGGCCATGAGATAAATCGGTCGTTCAGCTTGAGCACAAAGCGGCTGCTGTGTTTGCCTGTAGAAACAGGTCACAGATTGACTACCTTGACAGATTGACTGGTTCATTTCCCCTGCTCCAGTGTATGCTGTGGGTCTGGCTTACCTTGCCGGTCTCCTGAGTGCTGGTGTGCATGGTACAGGGTCTGCTGGCTCTGGCGGATGGCGGCTGTGAGAGGCAGCTCAGAGTGCATCACCCATTCCTGGTTGCCGTTCAACATACTTTCACTTGGCATTGCCAGTGAGTGCCGCTTGGGGACGTCCTTGGTCAGCGTGGCTAGGGACTGCTTGGCCTGGAAGGGAAACACAAGGCAGATGAAACAAGTCGCTGAGTGGTCTCAAAGGGGGGGTGGGGGGGGGGGCTGATCCCTCTGTAAAGGACGGGTGGTCATGGTGGAAGAGTGTGTCGTCTCTCTCTGCAGCTTCATGTACATCACAACCACCGAAGGGTGAAGTGAACAAAACCCAGTCATTCAGCAAAGGACCCAAAACCACTGAAGAAATTCATGCAGACTCCGTGCAATTCACAAACACCCACATCAGTGCCTCTGCCCAGGCTTTGAGGGCTCTGAAATGGTACCGGCTAGGCTTTCTTCCCTTCTGTCTTTTTCCCCTCATCCCCAAATCCCACCCATCTCCTATCCTGACACCCATTTCCGCTCCTTAAGCCTGAAAGTCCACCTCGTCTGAGCCACTCTAGTAATTAACATGGAACAGAATCTTGGAAAGTTTCTCAATTTGGTCTTTAATTTGGAAGTTATTTTTTTCTTTTTAATGACTGTAAAAAATCAGCTTTTAAAGATGGAGTTTAACAATTGTGCACAGTTTGAAAGTGTAAATGGTCTGTCAGGGGGAGGTTTGGGCTTCTCTTTCCTTCTAACCTAATTCCTTAAATATTATTAATAATTATTAAATATTATTATTGCATAGATAAGCAGAACATGTTTATGAATAGCAGGATTTGGGGCTTGCTGAAGCTGGCCAGCACGGAGCACAGTGGCTGCCTATTTCTAACAGAGCAACATCAATGGGAGGAAGAGGCAGCACGCAGAGCAGACTGGCATTGCTGAGCAGCACAAGACTTCATTGAGGACCAACAGCTTCTAATCTGGGTCAAAAGCAGGAAGTACTCCGAGAGCCTGGAGACAAACCAGGGCTTGGAAATTCATCCCCTGCCCCAGTCAGCAGAGAACCTGCCATTGCCTTTGACACCCCACCCCCCATCCCACACAACAGCCAATTATTGTCGTCCCTTCGCACTGACCACTTCAGAGACCTCGAAAGGCAGAGCCCTGGGCAAACTGGGACTAACATCACATTGAGACATCACTACAGGACTGGGAGATTGGCTATGTGTATGTATGTGTATGTATATGAGTGTCTGAGATGCAAGGATTTCCTTGGGTCCAAAATCGAGAGGATCTGCTCTGCCACCTCAACCCCCACCCCAACCTTCTGGCCTCCACCTACCCCTCCTTGTATACCTCTGACTCCTTCTCTGCCCATTCCCCTCCTCCCTCATCTTCCATACGAAACCTCCCACATGCCCCTGGACCACATGCCCCTCCTTGCCCCCTTGCGGATACCTTGAACCTCTCCCTCTCCACTGGTACAGTTCCCACCTCCTTTAAAACTACCATCACCATCTTCTCCAAACAACTCCCTCAGCCCTCCCGTGCTCCCACGTTACTGCCCGTCTCCAACCTGGATTTCCTTTCCAAGGTGTTGGAACGAGTCGTTGTTTCCCAGCTTTAGTCTTTCCTTTTCCGGCATGCCCTGCATAAGCCCCTCAATCTTGTTTCTGCCCCATGCACAGTACCAAGACTGCCCCAGCCAAAGATACCTGTGACACTCTCTCCATCTGTGACCAGGGCTTTCACTTGCCTTCTCATTCTCCTCAATCTCACAGCCACCTTCAGAACTGTCGACCTGTTGAGAACTATCGTTCTCCACCGTCTCTCCTCTCTGCTCCACCAATGCGGTTCTGTCCTATCTTGGTGTCCCTGTCAGCCCGACAGCGATCAGCTCAGCATCGTGCATTTCACCGTTGCTAAAAGCTTCAAAATATTCGAAACACCCTCTGGTCTCAACCATAATGTTGTCATAAAATTTAAGACTGTAAAGACTTTTGGAAAATTCTTAGATTCAGTCTTAATGCACTTAAGTGCAATTGTAATCTGTTCTTAAAATGTGTCTAAAACCCGTCCTTAACAACAGGTTAGGGATTCAACACACGCTCTCCTCCTCCACCGTGTGCCAACATTGCTCTCCCCGCAAGCTTGTCAAAATCCAAACGGCCTCCTGCATTCTGTCAGCTGGTGATGAGTGAGATCTCTGCTCACCACGGAAACAGTTTCACTTTTAATTTTAATCCATTAGCGCTGACCAAGAAAATAAACTGCTCTGTGTTGCGCACTGTGTGTGTGTATTAGGCTGCCTTTATATATATATATATATATAGTATATGTGTGTGTGTGTTGGGGTGCAGCCTGGCTCTGTGTTGCACTGTGTGTGTGTGGATGTATAGTAGGTATGTGTGGGGCAGCCTGGTTCTGCGTCACGCGCAGACTGCATCTGCCAGTTGTCCCCCAAGCCCCACCCCTGGGCAAGTTAAGCACACAGTGGCATTGGGGACAACGGGTGCTGTTCTCTAACACCGTATAACTACAAAATGAACCGTCTGCCAGCAAACAGCATCTCTCCCCAGACAGACAGAGAACTCAACAAAAGATCAAATCTGGTTTTAGTTGGGGGCGATCCATTACCCTTCATGGGAAAGGCAAACCACCTCTCAGAGCTGGGCTAGTGCTGCTCTGAAACTCACCACGAGGAGGCAGGCAAGAGCAGCCTTAGGATGGCCCTCAGTGATGCTGATCCCTGGCTGTGGCGGATGTGTGTTTGCGTGTGTGAAAGAGAGGGAGGGGAGGAGGAGTAATAAAAAGTAAAACCTCCAGTTCCCATGACAGTGCTGGTGCTAATACCACGGCTGACAAGCACGAGGGGCACAGGCTCAGGAGTGTTAGTAGAGAAATTGAAGCAAGGTCAGAAGGAATTTCTAAACTCAAGAGCGTTATTAGGGTGGGTACAGATGAGCAGCAAAAATAGTCAGCAATGTGGGGAGAGAGTTGGAAAGTGCGGTATTAAATATGATTTAGAAAAACAATCATATCAGTGGCACAGATGCAATGGGCCACAAGGTCTCTTCCTGTGCTAAAACGTATATTTCTAAACTCAACAACTCCCGATTGATGGTTCCTGTGGTTGACTGATGGACGCGGTTACCACTGATTGACTACTGAAGTCTGCTTGAGCATTACTTGCCTTGCGTCCCTCATGTAGTGCCGTGCTAATGTGCAGGTCTCGTAACGTCTACAGGGGGAGGGCAAGTAACAGGACACAAACGTGCACACCAGGCCCAAGATCCACCCTGAGGGCAAGGGGACCAATTGGTGCCAATTGTACAACAGAACACCACTTAATACACACAGTGCTCGACAGTTTCTCAGTGCACCTCTTACCGCTGGCACCCGAGGGTAGGGATCCTTCTCAGCTGAACGATCAAAAATGCGATATTCCATTTTCTGGCCCATACGGTTCATTATCTGGGGAAGATAGCACGTCATATTTACGACCCAATGTTGGTCCCTAGTACTTACGATCCTTTGACCCAATCTGACCTCTAACTTGCAGTCATGTAATTCCCTGCAAACACCAGTCGGTGGAGCAATTCGACCAAGAGTGTCCTATTGAGGTAATCGCGCTGTGACGGGGAGAGCAAAGCATGGAAAGGTGAAGCAGCGTGGACTGAGAAAGACAGAAATAAGAGTTAAAATAAATACACACAACTTTACTGATGGGGTTAGATTGGGGGATGGAGGAGCCAGGATAGTGAGAAAGCAGGGAATGGGGTTAGAGAGCTCCAGTGGGAGCGAGCACCAGCACAGATACGATGGGGAAAGAGAGCAGGGAATGGGGTTAGAGTAGAGAGCTCCAGTGGGGAGCGAGCCCCAGCACAGACACAATGGGGAGAGAGAGAGAGAGAGCAGGGAATGGGGTTAGAGTAGAGAGCTCCAGTAGGGAGCGAGCACCAGCACAGACACGATGGGGCCATGTGCTGTGAAACATTCCAGGATTCTAGCCTCCTTTTCATGGAGAGTGGATTTTATTGAGGTTAGGGAGGAGGGGACATAAATCAGTGAAATCTCTGATCCCGTGCACTGAAGATTCATTCCCATTCCCATTCTGATTTAAGAAGAAACAGGAGGGAAAGAGATTATGGTGATCTATCTGACCGGCCGGTCCCAATAAAAGGGAATAAGAAATAATCCTACATGACTCTCCATCTCTCTGATTGCTTCTCCAAACAGCTGCCTAATTCACTAATGAATTTACCGAATAATCTGCCTCCGACACTTCCCTAATCATCCGTTGCACACATTCACCGCTCTCCGCGTAAAGTCATTCAATCTGAACTGTCTTTTTTTTTCACTGTTCCTCTCCTGGTCTCCAGGACCCATCGCCCTACGTTTTTTGATCATATTAAAACATATTATGGTGCAGTTAAATCAATATATTTTAGGATCTTCTGTAGGTCAGTAAGATCTCCTCCAAGTACGGTGGCAACATAGCACTGCCTCTGATGGCCTGATACAGTCCAGAGAAGGTAAGCCTCTGATGCACGCGGTATTTTCTCTAATGGAGAATAAAAAGACCTGGCGCTTTGAAAGTAGCAGTGAGTGTGTAATAATCACCCACACAGTACAATTCAGAGCCTGGGTCAATTGATCCCACTGCACACTGCAAACCACATGATCAATCCGACTGATTGGAAACTAATCGCGTACCACTGCATCCTAACCAGAAGCGATTCTGTGCAACTGTGAGGTCAATACTGCAGTGTTCTTAAATACCATCCACTGCTTAATCTCTGCTGGCAATAGGTATAAGCAGTAAGCGAGAGACCTGAGTTTAATTCCAGGCAGAGGGCGAAACGTTGGGTAAGTTTCCTTACTCCACACAGAGCCTAATAATAATCCCTCCAAAAAAAACAAAACAATAATAAATTGGTCATTTTCAATCCACGACTGTTTGTGGGACATTGCTGTGCGCAATTGGCTGCCGCATTCGCCCACAAATATACAGTCAATTCACTTTACAGTGTGTTCTGTGAAGCGCTTTGGGACGTCCTTCTGACGTGAAAAGCGCTATATCAAATGCAAGGATTATTATTATTAATAAACCTGCTCTCATTAATGACATGTTTGGAACCCCTCACCCCACCCCGCTGGACTGAATGAAAATACCAGCAATATTGTTTTGTAGGCAAACATGACAACCGTTTTTACCAACCAGTTGATTGAGCGATTTATCTTGGAGAGTGTCACCAGGACACTGGGAGAGAGAAACCCTCTTCTTTTTTCCAATAGTGCTTCAGAAGCTTTAACATCCAACCGAACAGACGCAGACGAGACCTTGGTTTTACTATCTTGTGGAACGAACAGCACCTCTGGCAAGGCAGCGATTCCCTCCCACTCCCCTGTCCTGTGCTGGAGTCTGAGCTCAACATCCCCCACATGGGACTTGAACCAATAATCTTCCAATCTGTTAACTACCATAGACCTGGTTCCTACCTGGGCTCAGGCAAGAAGAAATTGGCCCTTGGGTTGAGGTACAAGAAGGTGCCTGTGGACTTCACTTGCTGTGTACTTGTTGCGAGAAATTAGAATTGGAAGTTAATGGGGAAATGAAGCTGAAATGCAGTGTCCAAGCCAGGGGGAGGAAAGGGGCTTTGGATCACCAACACTGTCTGCATCTGCTCACTCACTTTGTCCAGCACCAACATGACAAGGAGGGGATACAGCAAAATGTACAGAAAGAAATAAACTGGGGTGAGGTGGGGGAAAGAAGAGGAAATCAATTGCACCTGCAGTACTAGCTTTGCACCTTAAAGTGACACTAGCACACTGCCTCAAGTGGCAGAAGGCTGATCCTGGAGCATGTTGGTCACACAAATGCTGTGGTGATATATCAAGTGAGAAGAATACTGTCTGCACATTCAGGGGCAAAGAGGCAGATCAGGCCCTGCTGCAAATTAGAAAAGAGCTCGATCCTTTGGTAAGAGCCATCCCGAGGGAACAAAAGGTCACTCAGCCAGGAATATTTGCCACGGGAACACTGCAAAGTGTTCTGTCTCACTCTGGTTCATCTGACTACCATAAACTCAAAGTTGTATTTGTATATTTGTTTGGATTAAAATTGTGGTGTTTTTTGTTTTGTCCTTAAATATAGAATGTCATTAAAATGTGATTTGCTCCCCACCCTCCCACTCAACACACACCCTCACATTCTGAACAATGTGAACACCCAAAGCTGGGTGCCAATGCCTTGAATTGAACAGTGAGGCCAGAGTCTGAGATAAAGCGAGGGAACTGCCAATGTGCTGGCACCGGCCACATTGTTTAGTGGTTGAAATGTAATGAGTTCCCTGATTAAGGGCTGCTTCACAGGATAATTACCCAACAGCATCGATATCTGTAAAGTGCTATCTGAAAGGCCACTCACACCGATGGTGGCTCCAAACAGTTGCTGGACTCTACTGTGATTCTGGCGTCAAGTGGGACAGTGGAATTAACACACTTTGAATGGTGTTCCTTCATTAAGGAATGACATGTTCAGGAATGCCAGAATTCTAAGCCTGTTGTTTAGTATCAAATGATTTGAGACCTGAGCGACGATGTGGGGGCCTGCCTTACCATGGCCAGCTCTGCCTCCAACTCCTTGATCCTATTCTCTTTCAGGTCCAGCTGTGTGCGGAGTGTGGTGGCGTGGTCCGTGGCGTCCTTCGTCTGCCTGCGAAGCTCCCACTTCTCCCGCTCCAGAGAATCCTTCTCTTTCGCCAGCAGCTTCACTGCATCCTCACTTTCCTACCCAGGGAGCAAGAGAGAGCACAGACCTCAGTGTCAGTGCACTTGACCTTTTCCAAACGAAAGGCAGCAACTTACATTGATACAGCAATAATAACTAACACAGAGCCTTCCATGCAGGGATAGTTTCAAAGTGCTTCACAGAAATGCTGGGGAGAACTGAGGAAGGTGAGTACAGAGGGTGAGGGTGTTGGTACTCCTACCAACGGGTTAGACACAGAGTAAAGCTCCCTCTAGACTGTCGGTCCACACTCCCCGGTCAGTGACAGCACGGATTAGAGACAGAGTAAAGTTCCCTCTACACTGTCCATCCACACTCCCCTGTCAGTGACAGTACGGATTAGATACAGAGTAAAGCTCCTCTACACTGACCGTCCATACTTCCAGTGTCAGTGACAACACAGGTTAGAGACAGAATGAAGCTCCTCCACAGGAGCCACAAGCACAGAAAGGTGGGTACCTTTTACAGGACGAGAGACATTTCCCAATTCAGAGCTCAATGAAGAACCGATCAGTGCTGTGTTCCTATGCCCATTCGGATTGCCCAAACTCATCCCATTCACTCACCTATACAGACAGAGGAGACTTGTATCTCTCGAGGATGGGCTAGATTTGAACCAAAGTTACTGAGGTACAGTACACTTCACACCTAGCCTCCCCCACTACCCAATTGATAAGAAAAACATTTTCACATTTAAAAGTTAAGAGCATTTAAGGAGAAGATTAGCTTGTGGAAGGCTACACTCCAGTTGAGACCGGCTGCAGGGGTGGAATGGTGTAATAGCAAGACATTTTAATGTAGCATAACGAGGGGTTATTACAGAAAGTAATAATGTACAATCTCATTAAAGATTCAGACAGTGTTGAAGGTCCTACGTTGAGGAATTTACTGAAATGCAGCTGATTAAATACATGGCAGGATTTCAGTCTCTCTTATTAAAGGGCTATTCATTATTCACAACTTGTCAATGTTGGTCACTATTGGTGGTCGCAGACTCTGGAGTTCTATAGTCAGTCTGAAGGACAGTAACCTACATTTTATACCTAAACCATCTCAAAGACGTAATAAGGCATAATATCAAATGCAAGGATTATTATTATTATCTCAAAGCCGTTCGTAGAACATGATGCATAAAATTAAGTGAATGTTGGCATGGAGGTAGTTAATCCACGTCAGTATATATGAGACGAGTGGCTGTTTTAGTTGAATTTAGCTTTTAGGTAAGAAGAGAAACAATGAGGGTAAGCCAGGATTCTGGGAGAGCAGAGGAGCAGTGGCTAAAAGGCTTGGCCATCGATGGAGTGAGGATATAATAATAATAATAATCCTTGCATTTGATATAGCGCTTTTCACGTCGGGAGGACGTCCCAAAGCGCTTCACAGAACACACTGTAAAGTGAATTGACTGTATATTTGTGGGCGAACGCGGCAGCCAATTGCGCACAGCAATGTCCCACAAACAGTCGTAGATTGAAAATGACCAATTTATTATTGTTTTTGGTTTTGGAGGGATTATTATTATTAGGCGTGTGGAGTAAGGAAACTTGCCCAAGGTTTCGCCCTGACCTATTATTTATTATTTACATGAGAAATTATTTACATGAGAAATTTGGATACACACAATGTTTCCAAATTGGAAAACATACAGGATATACTGGCTTATAACTTTAGAGACCACTTAATGCCATCAATAAATATCCACAATACAACTCCGGGTTTGAAGAAGCTGCCTGATTTAGAGAAATAAAAGCAAATCGCAATTCTTAATCTTCAGCAAATACTGGGACCTGAATTGCATAACAAAACAGGCAAGAAAACAATCAAGACTATGGTAATTTAAAATGTACAAAACTAGCTCACTCATGTAAACTGCTTTTACAAAACGCAGTCCATTTCTTTCATTCCTATTGAAGAAACTACCTGGATGCTTGTGCATTTACTAATAATGGAAAGAATGAAAACGAGATAATCTGATTCAATGTTTAGCGGAAATAATTATTTTGCCTCGGCTCTTATCTGTCATTCAGTTGATTCACAGGGTTTATAATGCTGTTGATAACTATGACTAACTCTTAGCTTAAAATCTCAAACAGCTCATTTATGAGCAGGTCTAGCGAGTTGGAATGATCACACAGGTGTGTGGAGCTACAACATTCCCTGAGCTAGGGTTTCAATAGGTTTTCCTATTTTAGAATCTGCTCCCTCCCATGTGAATTTCTTTAAGTATTTTATACCCATTATTCCAGAGTACTAACTATTTAGTGTTGCATATTAACATTTACGTTCTTAAGGCAACCAGGTTTGAATCTGAAATTGACAGGGAAAATATTAGAATACGTTAAAAGCTGTAGAAAAAGTGGAAATTAAGTTAGTTTTAAGAACCTCTGTTAAGAACCTTTCCATAATGTTGTGTCATTTGGAGAAATCTATCACCATAGATTTTGTTCAAGGTATTTCCACACGGATAGGAAGCAATACTCTTTCATACTGGAAGTCCACTGGAATGATCATAATATTATACAAAGTTGCATATTCAAGGGGTCTTGAATGATTAGCTTCACTGTTAGAACAATGCAGATTAAAAACTATAGCAGATTGTTCCTCCTCCTAGGCAATGATAATATTGACATTCCTCCACCTACTGTAGTTCCACTATTACTTAACATCAAAGGTGAAGCAAACATCTTGAGGCTAAGGAATGTAAATGCTCCAAAAAAATACAATCTATGTATTTACAGAGAGAAAATAAAACTCAAATATTGATAGAATTAGAAGAGGAAAACTGTGACACGTAAGAGGCAAGTACAGGGTTGGTTGGAAGTACTTTGATGGGCAGATCCCAGCTGAACGTGTCCACATCGATCCGCTCCGCCCCAGTCCAGGTAATGATCTCCGATTGGTTCTCAAGGACTGTAGGATAGAGCAAAGTTGGAAGAGAGGAGTGTGGACAGGAGAATGGGCAAAAGATCGGGCAGGGCACTATAGTGAAGAAATTTAAAAATCAGAAGCAGGAACTTGGAAGTTAATTTCCTGAGACGAGGCGTCGGTGGGTGGAGGGGGAGAGACAGAGGGAGATGAGCCCCGAGGGAGTGTGAGCAATAACTACATGGAGAGTAGTAAGAGGGGAAATAGCTAGCAGCTGGTCACCTTTGGGGGCGGTGTGAGATTATTAAACCTTAAATCCAGGGAGTTTTTGAGGGTAAATGTGCTCAAGCGGCTCAAGTTACTTTTTGGGTGTAAATTATGTCATAATCAGAATAGATTTAACTGCTTCCAAAGCTGGCTGATCAGAACAGTTGCTGCAATGGCTCTGTCATTCAGTCAGAGCCTGACCGTTAGCTCCTCTCTGAAAGGCAGCACCAGAGCGTTCCTCTCCTCTTCTCCCCACATCAGTGTTCTCTGTCTGCTCCAGACACATCTCTGTATCTCTGTCCCTCAGTTGATGGCACTCTTGCCTCAGGGTCAGGAGATTCAAGCTCTAAATTGCGACTGGAGTTCACAGTCTAGGCTGACACTCCATTGAGTTACTGGGGAAGTACTGCATTGCCAGAGACGCTGTTCTTTGGATAAGCTGTCAAATAATGATAATCCTTGCATTTGATATAGTGCTTTTTACGTCTTTGAGACGTCTCAAAGGGCTTCACAGAATAGACTGTAAAGTGAATTGATCGTATATTTGTAGGTGAAACGTGGCAGCCAATTGCGCACAGCAGCGTCCCCCAAGCAGCCGTGGATTGAAATGACCCATTTATTATTGTTTTTTTCTTCTTCAGGAATTATTATCAGGCGTGTGGAGTAAAGAAACCCAAAAAACATTAAACAGTGAAACTAATTCAATAAAAATCAGTGATATAATTACTGGGAGGGAGAGGGGGGGAGGGATACTTTGGAGCTCCCTGATGATCCTTTCCCACTCCCTTTCCCTCGTACACCCGAGAAATGTGACAGAGTCCCAGGATTATTGGTAACTTGGTCAGAGTGAAGAGGTATCGAGCAGTGGTCCAGTGGACTTTCTAGAAGATTTTGGGTTGGGGGAGGTGAGGGGGTGGGAAGAGGTCGAGATGGCAAGATAACAATCCTCCTCCCACCTCAAACCCAAGCTGTCTCTAATGCATACAAGGGGAAGGGAATAGAGCCGAATAGGAGGGAATAAGAAGGGTAGAGGCTTGTGTGGAGCCTAGAGTACAGATATTAGCACAGTTTCTGTGCTGGTTCTGCTATGGGTTTCTATGTGTTTCCATTGGTCGCCATTATACTGATCATCACCAGGAGAGATTTTAATGATATAGCGCCTTATCACATCTTTGAGACGTCTCAAAGCGCTTCACAAAATATACTGTAAAGTGAATTGACTGTATATTTTGTGAGTGAAAATACATTCGCCCATGTGGTCACCAACAATCACTTGCCTTTCTGTGTTGCTCATAGTTTCGTATAAAATCCCGGAGCTGTTCCTCCCGGCTCTCGAGAGTTGCATACAACTGCTGCATTTGATTCACCAGGTCGGCCTTCTCCGCTTTCAGCCGTTTGCGGTCAGTCTTCATGGCTGTTAGGAGAGGAAAGGGATAATCAGACCTTGGTTGTATGTGCAGTGAGAGGGTGGTAAAAACGTGAAGAATTCAGCCTCACTGATCCTGTGGGTGATAAATGGCAAGGAAACAAGGCGTTTTTTTACAGCACCTCATCATACCAACATGCTTTAGTGCAATTTACAGTAATTACTATCAAGTGTAGTGTTTATTTCCTTAAATCAGTGTGGTCCAATAGATGGCCCTTGGGCCGCATCTGGGCCGGCGGATGATTTCCCTCCCTCCCCCGGTGAATTATCCTCTGAAGGCAGCAGGAGGAGCCAGCGAAAATAATGCAGTCCGTTTCTGCAGTCTGTCAGGAAGCCCTGACCCCTCCCATCAGAGATCTCTCCCCCCTCCCCCTAGGAAGCTCTCCCCACTGCCCCCCTCCACCTCCCCCGTGCATTAAATGTTATCATTTGGGAAAGGGTATTTGTGATTAGAATTTTTACTTGAAGGGATTTTCCGTTGCCATCACGTAGCAGGGAGCTGATGGCTTGAATTGGTCTCACCATCACATGCATACATATTTGTTCATACCATGAGCAACCTTATCCCTGCAGAAATCTTCCATTAAGTGGCCCCAGAAATCAAATAATTATTTCTCTGCAGCCTTCATGTTGCTGATCATAAAATAACATGGATTTAAATTCAGTGGAATGAGGTTATCAAATAAATGGATCTTCACATTTTCACTGAGGGCTCTGATAATAATAATCCTTGCATTTGATATAGAGCTTTTCACGCCTTCTAGACGTGACCATTTCCCCCCTGCTCGGGTCCCGACCCAACTGTCCAGCGCCTTGGGACGTCCTCCCGACGTGAAAGGTGCTCTATAAATGAAATCTTGTTGTTGTTGTTGTCTCAAAGCGCTTCACAGAATATACTGTAAAGTGAATTGACTGTAAATGTACAGTCTGTGGATTTCTGACATTCAATCGGGAATAACCAATCCAACAGCCCCGCCAATTCTTCATGTGAAAGCTTTGACAGTGAGTGTTGGCAGTGAGGGCGTGCACTGCGGGGGAATGGGGGGGGTGTGGAGGGTGGTGGGAGAGGAAGGATGTCACACCACCATTTAATCACATTCTCATTTCTGATTTCCACCAGAGAAACCACATTCCTAGCCTTGGGGTTGAAGGTTTGTGTGTCGTCCCATGCTCACCCTAGCTGAGATCTGCCTATTCAATAACAAATTACATTTGTATAGAGCCTTTCATGTTGGAGGACTCCCTCAAGGTGCTGGATAGTTAGGGATTTGGAGAGTGTTTAGAGCAGGGACCAGAGAGGAAGCCACCGCTTAATCAGGAGAGGCATAATGCACAACCCTTTTTCTCAACTGAAAATGACCTCAAACTAGGAAACAATTAACTAGCGATGAAGGGTTTTCTGTCACAAAGAGAGATTTGGGAAATTAGGGATTTTTTCAGCAGAGCTGAGAAAGCAAAAGGGTGAAACTATCAAGATTATGAGGGACAAATTGTACACAATTATTTCCACTGGTTGTGAGTGTGGCAGTCCTGAATGGTTAGGTTAGGTAATGGGGAAAGAGTGGGGGAGTGGGGCTGATTGGGCAGCTCTTCCAAAGAACCAGCACAGGCACGATGGGCTGAATGGCCTCCTTCTGTGCTGTAATATTCAATGATTCTATGAAGGAATGGATTTTTGCTCTTTCAAAAAGTTAGCAGACATGATTATCCAAATGACCTGTGCTATACATTTCTATGGGCTTGTCTGGTTTGGTAAGCATGGCAATGGGTTTCTTGTAGTCAGACATCTGCCTGACCCCAAAATGTGATAGCAAATACTGTTATTGCTGTGTGTAAATTGGCTGCCACGTTCACACTGCAAATCCAGAGTCACTGCACTTCATAGTGAAGTGGTTTGAGATGTCTCAACAACATAAGTGCAGCATCAAATGCAAGGATTATTATTATTGTGAAGCGCTTTTACGTGATAAAGCCCATAAAAATTTAATTTCTCTCTTTCTAATATTCTACCTTTTTTCACAAACTTGACCTTGATCCCAAGACCTTCTTTCCCCTGTTCCTCCTCTCACAGAATGTATACATTTATTCTGCTGATTAAAGTTATTTAATTCATCAATAACTAGAAAAGGGACCAGGAGTAAACTCTCCAACCTTGAGAAACACCCCTTCCTGTCAGCCTAACCTGAATCCAGTTTCAAAACCTCAAGAAGCTAAGCAGCCTTGACCTAATCATCAATCAAATCTCATTATTGTGATCACATTGCAATAAGTCCTCCAAGATGTGAAAGTGAGTGAGTGAAAGGAGTTACAAGTCAATTATATGGGATTACTTATAAACAGACCATGTAGGAAGCCATCACCAAGGAGACAGCAGAGAGGTCGCAGGGCAAGTGCTGGGGTCTGACCTTTGCCCCTATGACAAAAAAGGCTTGTTGAAAGTCAAAGGTCACAATCAGAATCCGGAAACTTCTCCTGGTCCTCAGCCTCAAGAACGTTGTCTCGAAATTTAAGAGGGTACAGAATTTTTTTTAAAAAATCATAAATTTGCTCTTAAATTGGAAGCTTTTATTTAAACAAAATGGAAAACAGGCTTGCAAATTAAGATTATATTTAAGACATTTTCCACAATTCTGATTGATCTTTGATATTAACGGCTTGTCTGCCTGGCTGGCCGTGTGTCTGTCTGCCTGCCAATGTGCGAGCCTTCAGCCTCTCTGCCCCCACCCTCTGGAACTCCATCCCACACGTGTGCCTCGCCCCCTCCCTTCTCAAGACCCTCCTCTTCGACCTTACCTTTGCTGACTTTCCTACCCTCCCCCCTCCTGATCCCGACCACCAGTTCGGATACGGATCACTGACTGTCCAGTGCCTTATGACATCCCCCCTGACGCTACACAAATGTAATTTGTCGGCGTCGTTGTCTGCCTGCCCTCATGTCAGGGAGTCCTGTAGCTCAGTGGTTAGAGCACTCGCCTTGCAAGCGAGACATGGGTTCAATTCCAGGCAGAGGGCGAAACCTTGGGCAAGTTTCCTTACTCTACACGCCTAATAATAATCCCTCCAAAGCAAAACAATAATAAAATAATAAAATTGGTCACTTCAATCCACGACTGTTTGTGGGACATTGCTGTGAGCAATTGGCTACTGCATTTCACCCACAAATATACAGTCTATTCACTTTACAGTCTATTCTGTGAAGCGCTTTGAGACGTCGAGAAGATGTGAAACGCAATATCAAATGCAAAGATTATTTTTTATTATTTTATGTGTCCCAGTGCATTGTGTCTGTGCCTGTGAATGAAACCTGGTTGACTATTCGACCAACACAAGGATCTGGTTCACACAGGTCATACAGAGCACAGGACTGGGCTGGTTACTAGTGCCCTGGAGCACATCAATCCCCATAATATACAGAGAAGCACATTTTCCCTGTTGATTTTATTCCCATTATGCTTGAAATGTGTTCTGTGCTGATTGATGTCAGGAGAAGAAAGCTAATCCTGTGAAAAGGATTAGAGGGTTTCAACCTCTGGCTGAGGCTTGGCCCTTGGCATTTGAGCTTTGATTTTTAAGAAGATTAAAATGTGTCCCTTTAGGGCTAACTTAAGGAACACTTTATTCCAATCAGTGACCAGAGACCTGAAATTTCTCCATTTTCTCCATTCTCACCATTTGAAAATTTAACACAGCACATTATTTTTTTAAATAATTCTTCAATTAAATTTCAATTTGGAAACTTTTTTGTGGAGAATGTGGGGAATTAAAACTGAACTTAAGAACTTTCTGATATTCTGGCACAAGATGAAATATTAAGACTTAAGGTAAATAGCATAATGCAGATAACAGGCCTGTGTTTGCACAATAATAAGATCTTTGCATTTGTCAGGTCTTTGAGACATCTCAAAGCTCTTCACGGGAGTACACTGTAAAGTGAATTGTCTGTATATTTTTTGTAGGCGAAACGCGTCAGCCAATTGCACACGGCAGCGTCCCACAAACAGTCGTGGATTGAGTGACAATGTTTATACACAGAACGTGACAGACCTGTGTTCATACATGGTGCTGTGTAACACTCACCCTGCAGGGCTTCTTTGGCTCGAGCCAACTCATCCTCTTTCTGTGCTAGCTGCACCTTCAACTCAGTAGCCGACAGAACCTCAGCCGATTTGCCCCCGTGTGATTCCTCCAACTCCTTTGTCAGCATCTCCTTCATCTGCCTCAGCCACTGTACCTCCTCCTGGAGCTGCGACACCTCCTCCCGCAGGAGCACTATTAGGACAGAAGCACACACAGGTGAGACACCACCTGACACATTGCTGTCCCTCGCACAAGTCAGAACCCATAACCTTCCTGATTCAGAGGCGACATTGTTACCTGAATTTACTTGATTCTAACATACTGTTGCATGCATGCCATCTTGGAGCAAGCTCATCTACAAAGGAGACCATTGGGAATGGCCTTGGAAATTACCTTCCCCCTCCAAGGAGGATAGTCAAGCCTTCAAGAGGGAACTAGAAAGATACTGAAAAAGGACTACGAAATCCCACTTACTCCTCTGCTCCTCGTTATCTAATCATCCCCTGTTAACCAGGGAAAGAACTCAACTGTTTTAATTCTTTCAAGACGCTTTGTTCCAAAGTGCATGGCCTGAACATGACTGACTTTTGAGGGTGAACCTTGAGATAAATCCACTTGGCTTCTCACAGCTTCGTTTCAGCCCCAGACCCAAGCAGCACAGCAACAGTTGAGAAACTTTTAACTGGCCATGTCTTTGCCAGCTTAGACTTCTCTCATCAATGCTTTCAACAGCCAGCCTCCCTCGCTGCACTCTTCATTAACCTCAACTGGTTCAGAGCGTGCCCTGGGTTCTATTTCTATCACTTCCTCCTTCCCACAGTTAGAGACAAGCGTCCAGTCACCATGCCTCTTCCCTCTGGATCGCTCTTCCAAGACCTCACAGTTTTGCTACCACAGTCTTTCAATTCAAAATCGGTCACTGGACACGTTATCAATCACCTCTAGACATATCTAGATGGCATTCTATAATAACCAGTTGTCAAGGGAATCTATAAAGCCATATTTCTGGGTGATTCCACCTCCCCCAGCATTATTTGGGCATGTCACCAAACTTCGGATGCCCCCGTCAGCAAAACTCAACTCAACCACATCCCAAATATATCACCTGCAATGTAAGCCTTCAATACAGCTCCAGAAACTCCCAGACCCTCAGCGACGGGAGGATCCCCAGCGACAGCTGAAACCTCAATGCCCTCTCTGTGGTTCCTATCTGGCCCAGCCTCTCAATACTCTTCTTACAACAATTCGACAACAGCAGTTTGACTTAGGCTCCCATTGTCCCCTGTGCAACATTTTTCTTACTCATGCCTCCAAAGGCAACTGCCCCCTCAACATTATGAGCCCAACCAAGTATTTGAGCTCCCGGACTCCCAGCAGCAGGTTTTTCAGTCCCCAGGACTTCATACAAGCTCAGGCTCCAAACCTAGATCATTCCTACGAGGATTGGACAGGTGGCTCACCCAGCCTGCCAGCAGCAGCTGGAGTCCCACCAGCTCCCTGCCTCCCAGCAGCAATTGGAGTCCCAGTGCCTCTCGGCCTCCCAGCCGCTTCAAGGCCCCCATTAGCCGAAGGCCCATCGACAAGCCTGTGACAATGCCCACTGACCCCAACACCCCAACAACAGGAAAATCCACACCAGCGACTGGACAGGATACTCCCCTAATGCAACCACCTCTACCAGCCCATCGACAGCGATCAGCCTCCCAACAGCAATCAGACCCCCGACAGCGACCAGAACCCTTACAGGGATTGGACAGCCGACAGCGATTGGACAGCCGACAGCGACCAGATCTCCAACAGCAACCAGATCCCCAACAACAATCGGACCCCCAGCAACAAATTGCAGTCCCAGCCCCAAGCAGCACAGCAACAGTTGAGAAACTCCTGTTGGCAATTCCTACCTTAAATGGCCACTTAGCAACCTTGGTCCTACGGCGGCTTCCATCTTCCTGGCCTTGAACTCCCTTGAGGTCTAGCCCCTTCCTGTCTGATAAGAAATTCCTACCTTACCTGGATCCCCGGTGCCCTCTGTGCAACAGCTGCTTTACCGGACGGACAGCACCCAGATCCCAGGCAAACGGATTCCCAGCAGCCACCAGGTTTCCAGCACCACCCCAGTGACATCCAGGGCCCCTCAGCAACACCCACTGCTCCTCATCTCCCAGCAGCTGCCCATCCAACATCCATCGACCTCCGTCGCCCCAAAGCAGCCTGTCCACCCAATACAATGCTCACCTACCTCAGCCCCCCAGAAACAGTTGTTCCAGTATGTCCAATATCCCCCTTCTTCAGCTCAGTCAAACCATCGCTGCCCTTTCTGTAGCGCCAGGCTCATTCAGCCCCCCCATGCCACACAAATCCCCAATGTTGCTAAGACCCCCAGTGCTACTCCAAACCCTACTGCCATTCGGATTGCTGGGGCATCTCATACCTCTAGGAAATCTCAGACCAGCAGTATCATTCTCAGTGCTAGTAACACGGACACTATCACCAAACTAATGGGTCCCTGTAACCAAACAAAATGGAAATCACTGGCCTTCAGAAAAACAGGGACTCCTGGCACATCAGACACCCCCAGCAAACCAGGGACCCCCAATAAACTGGGGATGCAGAGCAAGATGCGGAGCCCCACTAACATTCGAAGCTCCAGTGGCATTCGAACCTCCGCTGTCCGCTGTGCCTGGTTTCGATCCCTCGACTCCTGCGAGTGAAAGAAGAATGTGCTCTGGGCTGAGAGGGACACGGAAGTACATAAGCATTTCAGCGTGACATTCAGTGGCAACAGAGGGATGTAAGTGGCTCAGTGTTGGACTAAAGACCTGCAGCCTGATGCCTTCACGCTCCAGTTCACTGGTTTGATTAAAAAACAAAAAGGAAAATGATGGGCACGTCCCGAGATGTCTGAATGAGGGAGACTACACAGATACTCCATCAGGACTCGAGACTAATGTGTGGTGAGTTTCATCTCCCCCTTCTCCAAATCTCATCAAGAGGCTTCAAAAGCGTCGCCCACAGAATATACATCACTACACAGTATAATCCACGAAGCAAGCGCTTGAGACGTCTCGAAGACGTGATAAGGCGCTATATCAAATACAACAATTATTATTATTAAAGCATTGTTCAGTCAGCACCAAGCCGTGCCCAGTGCAGGTAATAGCAGCACCACTGTTGCAAACGGGAGATTCAGCACAGAGCTCATTCCATTTGCCTCATATTATGGAGGCTGGTTGAGGCTTCTCTGGCCACACAAACAGCTTGTTGAATGTTCACCTTTCAGAGTCCTAACGCCACAGACCCCTGACATTAGCTCCTCCTGGTGACCCTCCTTCTCATCGAGACCTCTCCACTGGGGCAAATTTTCCACTTCACTCCTCACCCCACCTCTATTGGTCTCGCTCCTTTGGGCTCCTGTAGCTCAGTGGTTAGGTCACTCGCTTTGCAAGTGAGAGACCTGAGTTCAATTCCAGGCAGAGGGCGAAACCTTGGGCAAGTTTCCTTACTCCACACAGAGCCTAATAATAATCCCTCCAAAACCAAAACAATAATAAATTGGTCATTTTCAATCCATGACTGTTTGTGGGACACTGCTGTGTGCAATTGGCTGCCGCGTTCGCCCACAAATATACAGTCAATTCACTTTACAGTATATTCTGTGAAGCGCTTTGGGACGTCTAGAAGACGTGAAAAGCGCTATATCAAATGCAAGGATTATTATTATTATAGAATCATAGAAATTTACAATGCAGAAGGAGGCTATTTGGTTCCTTGAGCCTGCACCAGCTCTGAGCAAGATGTTCATTCAACCCTCTCCTAAACCCTCCACTACATCCTTCCCCTTGAGTGCCTCTTAAATATTATCCTTCTTGTACTCTGACCTTCTCTCAGTCTGGTCCTCTACCTGCACTGCCCTCAATGCAATCCTTAGGTTTCTCAATGACTCAAGGACACTACCCTGTGTGAGGGGCGCTATATAAATGCAAGTTGTTGTTGTTGATTCACATTTAACACCCTTGCCCCCCCACCCCCACCCACCCGTTGCCCCGGTACAAAAAGCATCTCTACTCCCTTGCTGCAGTCCAAATTTGCGTGGTTCATCACAGAAATTATCGGTGCTCCCTCATTGAGGCAAATCCCTCCTTTCTACTCCAAGGTGATCCTGGAATCCCAGGACAAACCCAAGTTCCTCTTGTCCACCACCAATCACGTCTTCTGTTTCCCACCCTCAAAAAAACACCCTCCATCCTGCCAAACTCAGCAACTACTGACCAATCTCCATCTGTCCTTCTTTGTCTAAAGTGCTGGAACATGAACTCTGCTTCCACTTGCCCTTCAATCGCTGTTTGAGCCCCTCCAGGCCGGCATCCACCACATTGATGCCAAAGTCACCAACTATCTCCCTGTAACTAATCCTACCTGACCCATCGCCTCCACTTTGTCTCCTCCAATGGTTTCTCCTCTCGCCCTCCCAAGGTGATCCTAGCTGGACAAGCACCGGGAAAGCTTGAAGGACAGCAATCGTAACAACTTTAGCTGATTAGACTTCAGCAATTACCCCAATGCACATTCTGGGGTGCCCAAGCCTTGGCTCTTGCCAAACTGTGCCTAATACTTTCCAGAATTAGGTAAGCAGGATGCGGCCCTCCAGGGAAAGAGTGCACATTCCATTCCAACAATCTAACTCACGGATTTCAATACGTAGGTGGGATGCATGGAATTCTCAATTTAGTTTGGTGATGGGTTTCCGCATGTGTCAGACACCCAGCTGACCAAAAAAAGCCAATTTATCTGAAGGATTGTTGGTCAGGACACCAGGAGAAACTCTGTTCTGTTCTCAGTGTTGTGGAATCTTTAAAGTATTTTAAGTCTTTAAAGTGAAGAAGCACAAATGGAATTTCGTTTAATGTCTCATCTGAAGGATGACACCTCTGACAACGCAGTGCCAGCATTCCCCAAGTGAAGGGTCTGTAATTTTAAGGCTGAGCTGCATCTATCATCTGGACAGTGAACAGGCTCGTCAATTGTTCGGGGCGACTGCTCCCAGGCACAGTATTAGCTCTGAAACCAGCAGCATTGACAGCACACTAGGGCTAAGCTACAACTTTGTGAGGTAAGCTCGATTCTCAAGGACAAATCTGTTCCTGAGAAATGAAGCCCAAACTCTTGCCCTTCTATTAAATTCCCCATTCCTCCCAAGCCAGCCACTAATAATAATAATAATAATCCTTGCATTTGATATAGCGCTTTTCACGTCGGGAGGACGTCCCAAAGCGCTTCACAGAACACACTGTAAAGTGAATTGACTGTATATTTGTGGGCGAACGCGGCAGCCAATTGCGCACAGCAATGTCCCACAAACAGTCGTAGATTGAAATTGACCAATTTATTATTGTTTGGTTTTGGAGGGATTATTATTAGGCTCTGTGTGGAGTAAGGAAACTTGCCCAAGGTTTCGCCCTCTGCCTGGAATTGAACTCAGGTCTCTCACTTGCAAAGCGAGTGCTCTAACCACTGAGCTACAGGACTCCACTCCACTAGTCTGTGCTTTGACAACAAAGGGAGCCTAGTGCTGCTATTTCATCTCAATCTGAGTTCAGATGTGCCAGGAGTATTGAGGGGTGGTGGGGGAATGGAAAAGGAGGAATGTTACAGCAGGCAAATACAACAGATTCACAAACATCTATTATATATAATTGTTGCATTTGATACAGCGCCTTATCGCGTCTTCAAGGTGCCTCAAAGTGCTTCACAGAATATTCTGACTATAATAAATAATAATAATAATCCTTGCATTTGCTATAGCGCTTTTCACATCTTCTAGACGTCTCAAAGCGCTTCACAGAATATGCTGTAAAGTGAATTAACTGTATATTTGTGGGCGAATCGCGGCAGCCAGTGGATTGAGTGCCCAATTTTTTTTGAAGGAATTATTACATCATTATTAATCTTAATTAATCAATCTGAAACAAGTTTGTTTAAGCTGCACACCTGGACACAAGTGCACACCGGCACACATATGTTCCAGATGTAACACTACAATTAAACCGCTCAGCTGGTAAAGACACCAGAGAGGAGCTGAAGCAGGCAATGTAGTGGCTTCCAACAACAACAACAAAAATTATAATTGTATAGCGCCTTTCACGTCGGGAGGACATCCCAAGGTGCTGGACAGAATCAATTTAGGGAATATTGGAGCTGAGATCAGCTGGTTCAGCTCAGGCCTGGAATTGAACCTGAATTCCACAGAGATGGTGAGGATTACCAAGGAGGGAGGAAAGGAGGGGGAGGTTTGAAAAAGGCACGGTCAAAGGGAGACATTTTTAAGAGGGTTTTGAAAACAGGGAGACCAGGGTGGGAGGTAAAGTGAAAGCGACGTAGTCAGTGGCTGGGACAAGCAAAAGGCAGGCAGTGTAAAACGCCCTTTTGGAAGTTGCTGTTTGCAGATTAAGCAACGGCATAGCACAGCACAGCTGCAAAACTCAGTGCACCTGCCTTGTGAAAGCCTGTCTAACTACAGTGAATGACCTCTGTCCCTGACCCACCTCCCAAACACACTGGAGAGCGCGCGCATGAAGAATCCCTGCAGGTGAATGAGATCACAGGCACAGGCAGCAGCCACAGATATCTAGGCCATGACTGAAACACAAACCACCTTTTCTGCTAACCTCCACCACCTACTGCACAATTCACCCCCTCCCCTCAGCTCAATCTCCAGCAGGAACTAAATACAGCTTCTACAACAAAGAGACAAACACTTACAATCCTCCCGGTCTGACTTCATGCCACCAGCACCTGTCTCGCTGCCTATAATCTCCTGTCTTGTTTCTGCCTTTCTCTTGGAATGTTTTCCTGTGAATGTCAGACCGGGCTCCTCCCGGTACAGCCCTGAAGCTGCTCAACTGAACTTTACCTGCGCTGGGAGGAGTCATCCTCCCTCCCCCCACCTGCAAGTTCTCCAATCAACTGTAATGTCACCAGTGGCAGTGAAAGGCTGAGCTGACGCTGAAACCATCTCGTGTTACACCAGACAGACTCTGCTCCTATGAACCTCAGTGTTGAGGAGTCCACTCCAAGCACTTCAGAGCTCTGGCCATCCTGCACATGCTGCTATCAACTGTTTGTGGGGACGCTGCTGTGCGCAATTGGCTGCCACGTTTCACGCACAAAATATACAGTCACTTCACTTTACAGTATATTCTGTGAAACACTTTGAAACATCTTGAAGACGTGATAAGGCGTTATATCAAATGCAAGGATTATTATTATTTATTATTGTTATCTCTTGGCAACATCCTCTCCCCCAGGTAAGTTGCCCTCTTAGGACCTTGAATGCTCTTGTTTTTCTGCAAGGTTCTCTAAATGAACCTTGCAGAAAAACAAAGGGTCAAAGAACATATCAAAAAGCAAACAACTTAGATTTTTATAGCAGCTAATCATATCAAATAGAAAGCTGTCGACGTGCTTTCAAAGTGTAGTGACTTCCTTGTAAAGGCAGCCAAGGTGCCACAAACAGCTACAAAATGAATGATTAAT